GCCCAAGACATTTATGTGAACAGTTTAGTGTCCGGTTCGGCAAATGGCAGCGTGTGCTACATTGTGTTGAATCTTCACGGATCACTTCCTTGTAGTTTTTGTGTGTGAGTGGTTGTTCTGCAGTGCACCCCGTGTTGACATATAAGTCGGATTACATCTTTCAAGTCCAGTATTTTCAACGTAAGTGTGCTGCAACCTACTTGATGATCATTGTCCGTTCTTGTATGGGCAATCTTCCGGATAACCTCTAGAATTGGGGATTGCCTATCTCCTGGCAGCTGGGAGAATAATTTTCCCGCAATCTTACCGACAGTCGCCTGCCATTATCTGTCTGAAATAATGTCACAACCGCAGGTAGAATACTGACTTTTTTATTCTACCTGCGTTTCGCAAAAACACGTTTCGTTGCCACCTTTCTGGTCGGCATTTACGTTTCATCGACATTCGTTACGCGAATTGCGCGCTGTAGGGGCATTTCGTCGCGCGTGTATTCCTGAGGCGCGTGCTCACCGAACCAGCCCACCCTTTCACGCCGCTTCATGCTAATCTGAAGCGGTTCATTCCAACAAAAAAAGAAGAAAAGAAAACATATTTTGAGTTTTTTTATGAAACATCGCGTGTTGATGAAACGATCTGTCTATGAAATGTAGTTCGATGAACTGATTGCACCGCCAATGTGGGGCGACTAGTGGTAGAATTTTGGCGGAACAATTCTGTCAGCTGCCGGGAGACTGGACACTACCCAAGAATTACCCCGGTTGTTGCTTGCTTTGCAGTCTTTTTAATTGTATCACAGCTGAGTAGTACCTCTTCACATATTACGAATTGCTGTGATTGTGCTTGTCTACAGAATAAGTTGTGTGTAATAAACTGTTAGGAGATTTCAAAACAATCCCTTGTGTCTGTTTACCTTCCTTTTTGCAAACAACTTTGCGAGGGCACTTGCTAAGAGCTGGGCGAGTGCAACGATGGCCAAAAATCAGCATGACGGCCAACATTGGATAGGGTCGCGCTTCCAGTGTTGTCCAATATTACGCCGGTCTTCGCCAATGTGGGAGCACCTTGGCTGGAACCATGGTTTAGCGATGGCCGAACATTGGCACCAATGATGGGGCCAACATCGGCTGGAACGATGGCTGAACATTGGCCCAACATTGGCACCGATCACTGGGCCAACATTGGAAAGGGTAGCGCTTCCAAGATTGTCCAATATTGAGGCCGGTCTTTGCCAATGTTAGGCCAATGTCGGACCGACATTGGTGTGCTGCCTGGGAGGGGTGCTCCACCGATTTTTTGAGCTACCTCAACTAACCATATTTTCTGACTCCCCGGCCTTTAGCCTTTCCGGTACGCTATTTAGCATCGCGAAATTCATAATAGGTATTGTGAAATCGGCAAATGAAAATGGTGCAAAAACCAATATTCAAATATTCGCTCACTTTTCAGTGCCGTGACGTCAGTGGCAGGCAGGCTTGCCAGTCGAGCAAGTAGTCTAAAAATAGAATATGCCAATCATTTGTTCCGTGCTGGAGCGCGGATACGGGAGCGAGCTTCCAAAGCACTCATTTGACACCAAGAAACTGCTTCAAATCCGTTGGGAACAACTTCTGTAGTTCAAAAAGTTAACCCCTGCCTTCCACTGACGTCACTTTGTTGTTGTTGCCAGTAGAGACTTTCAGTTTGAAAAACATGGTGAAGACCAAAACTGTAAATTCAATAATTTCTCGAAAACAATTTTGACCTAATATTTGGGATACTATTTTAGCAATGTTTGTTGGTTAGTTTAGCAAAATTTCAAGCAAATCGGAGACAATGAAAAAACCGGTGGAGTACCCCTTTAAGCGCGGTTGACTCAGCTTTACCTGCTTTTACGTGGCACCACAGTTACCGCGCCATACTCTCGGGCAGCTATTTCAGAAGTGAAGAGCTCGCGTGCACTGCTTTGATGGGAGCTCAAGATGCTCAAGCGCGTTCGCCTATACTATAGCTTTGACTCCATAGCCGCATAATGTTGTCCGCAAGTACTGTGCGCTAACTGTGGCTTAGCGTAACTGCAGCTAAGTGTGCCCGTGTAACAAGGGATGTTACAAGTTCTTCGTGCCGCACTTTATGTCATTGTGTCTCCATTAGATTAGACAATCAGAAAGCGGGCACATATGGCACGAGAAAACTCCATGCTCACATTCGTTCAGATTCCATAAAGTTACTCTCATGCGACACTCTTTTTTACCTGAAAATACAATATCTCCCATTGGAGTAGTTTTTTTTGTTTTTTTTTTACTTTTATTGTTAAAAATTGAGATCAAGATAGCAATTCAAATCTCATTTAGATTATCACTGTTTTTGTATGTTGGTCACCTACTAATTAGACAGAAATAACTACAAATGCTGGTCTTAGTCATTGGGGTTGTGTATACTTACACAGCACCACGCAGTAGTGATACACGACCGCACGTCGGTACGATGCTCATCCAGATCAAAACGGGCAGGGGTGGGGATTGAGCCCAGAATCCCTGGGTTCTGGAGCGCGAGCTTTCGCTCCACGTGGTCCGAGCTGGTGCGAGCTAGCCCACTCAACCACCAATCCACCTAAAAAAGAAAAAAAGTTGGCAATACTGTTTGTTTGCTATTGGTTGGGCACGGACCCTGAGCATTCATTGGTCCCGAGGATTGCGTCAGCGCTCGGCGAGGAATCGGATCCAATCACGTGCTTCGTGGCCCAGAAATTGCTACCACCAATGTTGCTCGCTGGAGTTTTGAAAAGGGTATATCACCGATGAATCGACAAACTGTGTAGCAGCCTCGGTGGCTCCGAGGCAAGGCACCAAACCACCCTCCGCCTTGGTGGCGGGTTCGAACCCCGGGCAAGGTGTCCGCAGTCTGACGGAGGATTATTGCGAAGATGACGCCGTGAAACCGAGATTTCGGTTGCACGTCAAAGGACTAGTCTAAAAAATAGTAAAAACTGCGACTCCCATGGCTTGCAGATCAAATCAGTTAAATATGTGATTGAGCTGACTTCTCTTTGCTTAGCACACATATTTAGTCTCTGCTTCATAAGCGGCGTGTTTCCCTGTCGAATGCAACTAGCAAAGGTAACTGTTTTATATAAGAAATAAGAAAAAAAAAAACGAACCAGGCAATTAACCACCTGTTTCAATTCATTCTGTTTTTGTTTCTAAGGGTTTACAAACAGTTCTACTATTCCGAATGACAACATTTGCTGATATTCATGACTTAATAAGCTCATCCCCGTTTGGTTTTTGCAAAAAAAAAAAAAAAAAAGATCCACCGAACTGGCTTTCCTTGCGCAAAAAGAACATATACTTAGAAATAAAAAAAAATAAAAAACTAACTTTCGGTTTATTCGTTGACTTTACTAAAGCGTTTGACTATTTAAATAATAATTTGCTACTAAAAGTTAGATATGTATGGATTTCGTGGCCATATATCAAAACCTCTACATTCAAATGCATATTTCCGCAGACAGTATGTTCACATAAATGGCCACTCATCTGAGATTAAACCAATTGAATCGAGCGTTTCCCAGGGAAGCATTCTCGGGCATTTTGTTATTCAATATATATTTATATATAAATGGCATCATAAATATTAGTCAACCAATTTTTTTTATTCATGCAGAGACGATGCGAGCTTATTGTTTGATGGTAATGACGCGTCGGAGCTTAATGGTGACGTGAACGAAACACTAGAATAGCTTGATTGATGGACTACATATAATGCATTAAAAATAAACGCCGATAAGAGAAAGACAGTTACTATATATTCCAACCGAAGAATAACCATATCAATATTACCAAGGATACTTTTTTATAAATTCTTCTCAAATTGAAATTGTTCCCAGTTTCAAACTTTAAGCGTTATTTGTCAAGGAAACATGCATCATGGGACGACCATACTCATCATATTATATCAAAATTATCTAGCATCGTCGGTATTCAATATCATCATAAACACATCATATCACTTAGAACAAAGTTAATATTATATAGTTTATTATTATTTTTTTTGCATTTTAATTATGGTCCAATTATATGGGGCACTACTACCTGCACCAACCTCCCAAAAATCTTTATGTTACAAAAAAATATATTAAGAACCATCTCTAATGTGTCACTAGAACATCCAATTGGTGATCTTTTTAGTCAGCTTGGAGTGATGAAAATTTACGCCACCATCACATTAAACACATAGCGAAGTTAACGCGTAAAATATATAGATACCCAACACGAATTAAAGGACCCTGTGAAATGCCCTTTTTTAGAACAAATTACGGCCACAAAGGTACGAAATACACTTCGCTGAGTAGTCTTAACCAGCTTAGTAGGCAGGGTATTGAACTTAGCAATATATCGTGAGCATCTTCCAGGAAATGTTTATTTCAAATGCTTATTTCAAACCAAATTTTCCGCGATGAGCGCTAAATTCTGTTGAGTTGATGTTTTCTTTTCGCGTTTATTTCAGTGAGGTTCTAACTTTCTGTATATATTTTCCCTATTGTGTAAATTGCATCAATATGCTACTTCTCTTGCACAGCGTTGGTTCTCTTTTGTAACTTGTTTTTCATTTACGTGTTGTAAATGTCATTTTTAGTTCTGTATAACTTATTTCGGTGCCTGCATCGCAACTGCTGGTTTAGGTGGCTCGGGGCTCATCAAGATGTTTTTCACAGCTTTCTTTTTATTTTACCTTGTCTCCTAATATTTTTGTCGAAAAAAATAAAGGTACTATTATTATTAATATTGTTAGATCCCCAGGTGGCCGAAATTAAACATCAGTCCTTCGCTGGGGCGTGCCAGATACCCTTTGTTGGCTTAGCACGTAAACTTCCTAAATTTGATTTCACCAACTGAGTGCTATCTGGGCACGCACGGACATGGCAAGAGTTGACTTGGCATTTCACACAAATATTCTGGATATCCGTAAACCCGCGAAATGAGCCAACGGCCTTCCATTGAGATCCATGTTTGTGCTTGTAGGTGACACGGCTGCTGGGATGGCTTGCCGCCTGCCTGGTCAACATGGCCGTGGTGTTCGGCGCGTACAACTGGAACGCGTACGAGGCCCCCTCGACGGCGGTGGCCGTCGTATACGCCGCATTCAGCCGAACCGCATGGGCCGTGGGCATCGCATGGATCGTGGTCGCTTGCGCCACGGGCAACGGAGGCAAGGAAACCGAATCGACTTGAGTTCGACGGCTGTGGCAGGGCGCTCGCGCTCCGTATGCGCGATCCGGAAAGATGTTTTCGCATACTTCTGAACAGGGGTGACCTCATGAATTATTCTTCATTTAGGCTACAATAACTCAGAACTGTGCTGGTATAAGCTCGGGTCAACATCAGACTTCCGCCGTAAACACTACAATTGTTAGGGACGCTAGTTGGATTTTTATTTGTTTTAACAGCTTGGCAAAATTACAAATATTATGATAAATATCTTCCGCAAAAAAGATTTAAAAAAATCATATAAAGCGCTAGACTTGTTTTAGTTCAGAGTTTTCAAACGCACGCGCCAAAGGACGCCAAGGCAAGTCAAGGCAGCCAAGGGCAGCGTTTCCATCCTCTCTTTACTTCTCCGCGTTGCGAAATCACGCACGAGGGAGAAAAGTGGAAAGCGAGGGGGAGCGCTGAGGGTCGCTCAGTTGGCTGTGTTGGTTGGCTGAGAGGTAAGGAGAGGAGACGTAGCCAATCAGCACGCTGCCCTTGGCGTGTACATGTGGTGACGTAACAACCTGGAAAAATTACAAGTATTACAAAACAAATTTTCCGAAAAAAAACAAACAAACTATTTTTTGTTCCACAGCTTTCAAACGCGCGCGACAAAAAGTGGTATATTGTGTGTATGTGTAAGCGTTGTAAGAAGAAATTAGGGGTAAAGTGAGAGCGCGTACACGATTGGCTCCCCACTTTTCCCCTCTCTTTCTTCTTACAAACGCGCGCGCGCGAACACAGACACACACAGAATGTACCCCTTTCTATCCCGCGCGTTTGAAAAGTGTGAACTAAAACAAGCCCAGCGCTTTAAATAATTTTAAAAACAAAAAAAAAATTTTTTTTATTTGTTTTGTAATATTTGTAATTTTTTCAGGTTGCTTAAAACATGTTGTTTTTCTTTTCAGTGTCTTTTTTAATTTGCACCCGTGACTACACCCTTCCAGCACCCGAATTTCGCGTAGTACAACCTGTATAATATTCAGGTAGGGTGCTGTAACCCAAGGCACCCTGCATTTATTGATAGAGGGGTTCCTCCAGCCAGTCGCGTGGTACTGGGGGGGGGGGGGGGGGGGGGGGGGGGGGGGACTGGGTTTCTGGCGGGTACCAGACGCATCCCAGCCACGTAGGGGAGTGCCAGCTCTTGCGGCACCCGGCTTTTTTCGCGGACGAGTGAATTAGAGTGAATGGGAGGTGGGCGGGGGTGCCGGATGGGCCTAGCTACACTACTGCTTCAAGCATACCCGTTTGGAACCTAGAAGGCATTGTCATAGCAATTGCATGGGGTAATTATTGGCTAATACTCTTTGCTATAAAGATACTTCGAGGGATTACGTCTCCCGTGAAATGGTGAAGAGAAAAGGCAATGGCTTAATGAGTGCCTTTCAGTTTTCGAGTATAAATAAAAACTAAGACGTTTTACTCCCCTATAGGTGTGAAAAGGGTGTTCCAGAAAATTATACACCCCCCTCAGCACTTTTATTCCGGTTAATATATAGTTTTTAATTGAAACATTAGGTGATGACGTATGGAACACCATTTATTTTTTAACGGTTTAAAACGGGTGTGGAAAAGGGAGTGGGGGGATATATAAGATGGTGGAGCAGTCAACATCGTCCTGAAACCGCTCTCGTGCGTGATTCATTGTGTCTGTACTTTCTGTTTTTGTGCATGTAAAACCTTCATGTGATGCATGTTGCTTGTAGACTTGTTCAGTGATTTCCCTACACCCCCCCTAAAAAGGGAGGGCGGTAGTTTACATTCCCTCTTATTTTTCTGAAGGCACCCCCTTAATTCGCAACAACTCCTCTATCTACAATGTCCCCCCCCCCCCCCCCCCTAAAAAATTAGACCCCCCCCCCCCTAATTTCAGCTCCTGGGGAAACCCCTTGACTTGTTGCTCGTGAAACGTGCCTTTAGAGTGCCGCTAAGATCGCAGTTTTCTATTTCTGGGCATTCCTCTGCCACCTTAAGGCTGTTACTGTAACGCCCTTGGGGTGTAGGCACTGGGACAAGGTGGTTTACACCCTTAAGGATATAATATTGTTCAGTGTGCAACGCATACGTCTCGTGTGTTTGTAGTTGTTTCTGCATATATAAAAAGTACTGCATATTTCTGATGCATGTACTTCAGTAAGTGCGCTTGTAAATAATGCAGACCAAAAAAGTCACGAACTATGTCTAGGGTGCTGCTATTTGAAAAAAAGCCTAAGGGTGCTCACCCTGGGAGAAAATACAAAGCATTCCTAATAAAAATGTGTAGTATGGAAATTTGGCAAAATCATTGGTTTACGCCCCGTCCCAGAGAAGAACCGAGGATTAATTAAGCAAGACCACCTGCAGATATCCCTTGGATCTAAATTTTTGCATGCAGAAACGGGAACCTTTACAGACCATCTTATCCTCACTAAATAAAAATATGTATGTGACTGTTTGTGTCAGAGAAAGAAAGAAAGACGTAGGGGAGGCGGGGGGAGGTATGCTCTGTCCAGATTTGGTGTTCAACCATGCACATACCTTTAGCTGCTATTCACATTCAACAACCAAAACTCACCACAGCAGGTTTGCTGACGCTTCCGACGTTTGTGCACAGGGTTCATCAACAAGGTGCTTTCCTGGAAGGCCTTTGTGCCTCTGAGCCGACTGACGTTCCTGGTGTATCTGGTTCACCCACTGCTCATCCTCTGGCACACTGCCTACTTGAAGAAACCTTTCTACACCACGCAGTTCTTTACGGTAAGCGGCTAAACTAATCTGATTGATACAACTTAACGACACGTGCAAATGCCAAAAGGGTCCCACTGGCAGTGTCACAGCATTCTTTTCCTTGCGACCCACTATACTTAATAGTTTCACAGGCACAGCCGACGCTATGAGTTGATGGGATTAATCAGTCAAAAGCGCACCATCATGCTTTTCCTCGCGTTTCTGTACGTGTTCTACAGTGTTCAACCATAGCTGCACCAATCATAAACAAAAAAAGTTCAGCGACTTGCACTTTTGACGCTACCTGTCTGGTCCTACAAGCTCATAGCATCGGCTGCACCTGAGCTTAAGCTGAAACAAGGTATAAGCAATTCTGGTAAAGAAGGGTGCTGTTGCACCGGTATAATTGTACCCACATAAAAAGGCCACGGTGGCATCAGGCATTTACGCTGGTGTGTCTCCTGTAAGAACGCCTGTGCAGCCGTTCGACTTTCCCATTGAGCACGCAGCTAGCATCTCAGAGCCATTTGTAACTTTACAGAAAGCTGCCTAAAGGCACCATAACACTTGAATGGCGATTTTCAGATGAAATTGGACTTTCCACGGTCAACATTATAACATATAATGTTGTAGTGATTGCTGTCCTACTAACTTCTTGGCTAATATGGGGAGTTTCCTAGATTGGAGCAGTATGATCCACAAATTCTTACGTGTGCTTACGCCGAGAGTCAACGGGACATCCATGCTCTGGATGAAGTGTGGCAAACGGTTAAAGGAGTAGCTCTGTACACGGCATACGATACAAGGATGTCCCGGTGACGCGAAACATAACATATGAAGATGCAAGAAAACGCTCCTGTGTGAATGGCTTTCTGCTATGGTTGCACAAATTGGGGGGGCATTCTTTTTCTCAATGCAGGGTTACCTCTACCTTGGCCATTTCTTCTCTGCCTACTGCCTGTCCTTCTCACTAAGTCTCACATTTGAGTCCCCCTTCATTCTCTTGGAAAAGATCATCTCTGGCCAGTCTGCACAACTCAAAAAAACTGACCCCGACAACAATTGCAAGATGCCAAGTGAACCAAGAAATGGATTGTCGACGTTAGACTTCTCAAAGGCCCGCGACACCGCAGCAAAGATGAGAGAAAACAGCGAAAACGGATGCAGTTTTTAAAGTTCTGCCTTTGGTTACGATGCTTGTGTAAATCCCAGGGAAGTTGTCTAAAAGTGCCTCAAACATTGCTATTCTTTTTTTTTTCGGATTCTATTTTTTTTCTGCACCAGACAGGTCTGGAAGCAGTAAGTAAACCCATTTTAATAATGGTGTTGCTGTAATGGAAAAAGGAACTTTCATAGTTACCCACTGTGAAAGCAGTTCTTACTCTTTTTTGTTTAAGTATGAAGTCTGCATGACGTGTAAATGAGAAGAAACAATGATACTCAAACATCACTGACAAGTTGCATTACACATTCATTCCATGGGGATGTGAGCGAGAGCCAAACATTACAATCTCGATGTAGGATATCTAGAAAATGGCATGTATTCAACAGGTAATTTTCATATCATAGCATAATAGACCGATCTCATCTCACTAGCCAGTTTGACCACACCACTGCTGCTGCAATGCATTGAGGAAACTTTCTGTATGTGCGACAACCTCGCGGGAGTTCTGTGCGTCGAGAGCACAAGGTGGCATGTGTCCTCTCGTGCACTGCAGTCTGCCTTCCATGAACTAAAGATATGGCGACATAATGCATGCGCAGAACACTTATAGTGAGATTGGTATATTGCAAAGGTTTACAGTAAGAGAAACAATTTTTAAAGGTAAAATGTTTAGCTGTGGCACCCCCTCGTGTTCAACTACCTTTGCTAAGTAAACAAAGAATCCCACAAGCAGCAGATGACCTTTTCAAGCAGATAACGCAAAATTCCTAGCACATGTATCTCTACGTAATGGAACAATTTACTTCTATTCAAGTGTCAAAAAAAAAAAAAAAAAAGTTTCACACCAGAAAAAAAAAAAGACTTTCAGCTTTCACATTCTCTTTTGTATAATAATTCACTCACCATTCATGCAATAAAGTATTATTTTGAAACAAGTGCCAAGCGTTTGTTTTTGCGAACCCTTTTTTATTCCGCTAGAATACAGCAATGCTTAATGAAATGAAAATACAACACAGTGCATTTGACAAGGGGCGGGCCACACACGAGAACAATAGCAATACACCCAAGTTTCTGAAAATGTAGTGCACAGGTGAAAAAGATAGACAAAGCATCATCCCACACCTGTCGATGCGCGACAAAACAGGCATCCCCTAGTTAAAAGCCACTATAGCTCGTCTGGTAACCACCCCCCCCACCCCTTGAGTTGCCCCAACCACCGGATCCGTAGCCGCTGTTGGAGCCACCCCTCCAGCTGTTGTCACCGCCGTAGCCACCACGACCATAGCCACCGCCACCGCGGCCAAAACCACCACCGCGACCGCTGCCGTAGCCGCCACCCCCGCGACCGTTGCCGCTGCCGTAGCCGCCACTCCCGCGACCGTTGCCACTGCCGTAGCCACCACCCCCATAGCCTCCGCCGCCACCTGCATAGCCTCCGCTGGCACCCCTGAAGCCACCCCTGAAACCACCCCTGAAGCCGCCTCTGAAGTCGCCTCTGCCTTCGCCGCCAAAGCCGCCCCTGGAGCCGCCCCGGAAGCCGCCTCTGAAGCCACCCCGGTCACCGAAGCTGCCTCCCACGTTGCTCAGGCGGGGCATCTTCCTCGCAGGTGGACCGTTCCCACTGCGTGAAGAATGGCTTTCAATTAGCACAAAGTAGAGTAGGCCCAAACTGCCTGATTGAGCATTCATATCTTTAAGCCACAATTAAGCAAATTTCTGATTCATAAGATGCCCAATAAACAGAACTTTCCCAGCAGTGCAGCAGCACCATGCCAAACACAATGAGAAGAAATTATGGAGCCCACATTAAGTTGAAGATTGGCCCAAGAGGGACATCACTACCTTAGCTACAGTAGCTCTTGGAGTACCCTCATGGGTACTCCAAATTTCCTCGACCGTTCCTCCCCTAAGCAAAGCATTTTTTCTTTTTAGAGCGCAGCTCTTAGGGGCCCGTTTCCGGCTTGAGCGGCGTCGCCGTCGCCGTTGCCGTCGCCGTCGGCGTAACCGCGCGGTGCATCATGGGAAATGTCCCATAATGCACCGCGCGAGCCCCCCACCGGGGTCACGTGACCTCGTGGGGGGTCACGTGACCCCCCCCGAGGTCACGTGACTCCCCTGAGGTCACGTGACCCCCTCCTCAAGGTCACGTGACCCCCTCCTCGAGGTCACGTGCCCCCCCGAGGTCACGTGACCCCCCGAGGTCACGTGACCCCCGCCGATGTCGCGTGACCCCCCGATGACGTCATCGTCACTGATGACGTCACCGGCATCCACATCGTCATCGTCATCATCACTGATGACGTCACCAGCATCCACATCGTCATCATCACTGATGACGTCACCGGCATCCACATCGTCATCGTCACTGATGACGTCACCGGCATCCGCATCGTCATCATTACTGATGACGTCACCGGCATCCACATCGTCATCGTCATCATCACTGATGACGTCACCGGCATCCCCATCGTCATCATCACTGATGACGTCACCGGCATCCACATCGTCATCGTCATCATCACTGATGACGTCACCGGCATCCGCATCGTCATCGTCATCATCACTGATGACGTCACCGGCATCCCCATCGTCATCATCACTGATGTCACCGGCATCCACATCGTCATCGTCATCATCACTGATGACGTCACCGGCATCCACATTGTCATCGTCATCATCACTGATGACGTCACCGGCATCCACATCGTCATCGCCATCATCACTGACGACGTCACCGGCATCCGCATCGTCATCATCACTGATGACGTCATCAGTGACGTCACTGATGTCGTCACCGGCATCCGCATCGTCATCATCACTGATGACGTCACCGACATTCGCATCGTCATCGTCATCATCACTGGTGAAGCCATCAGTGACGTCACTAATGACGTCATCGGTACCCGCATCGTCATCGTCACGGATGACGTCATCAGTGACGTCAGTGATGCCATCATCGGCATTGGGGGTCACGTGACCCCCAAGGTCACGTGACCCCCCCCCCTGGTTAGTTTACCCCCCCCCCCCCCCCCGTGCCCTTCCCTCCCCCTCCTCAAGAGCTGCGCTCTAATTCGGCGTTACAGGGAGTTGTAAGCGGCTTTCATTTTTCAGTTCAAACATTATTTTAATCAGCCTGAGCCACCTATTGATGCATAATTGTGAGCCAAACATCCTTAGCATGTGCAGTATTGTTTACAAGGTCTGTAAGCTTCTGCACTGCTTTACTGGATCAATGCTGAGACCGGGAGGGGTCCTTGGCTGCCATTCAAGGCAGATCCGGTTACCTCGAGATCAGAAAGTTTGAGAAACCCTAGCTGCTCTAAATCACAGTACCGTGAAATCCCATAAGAATACCCACCCAAAATGAAGAGATAAATGGTGAAAAGCTTGGGGTGAACTATCCTTGGAGATGCGAAAGAAAAACTGTAAAAAAAATTAGTGATAAACACAGGGGCACTTGCTGCAAACCACACGACACAGGAACTGATACCGGATGTTGCAGAAACATCAAATTCGCGTTTCACGATGCGATAAGCACGCAGGAATTTGCTACGAACTCCTGTGTCACGGGAAAGAATACAGCAGGTTGCAGACGCAGCTGATTCGCGTCTCATGGGAATTGGATACCTCGGATCACAGACACAACAGATTCAAACTTTATGGGGTAATAAACATTCCGGAACCTGCTACAAACTTGCCTGACACGGGAACCAATACTGCAAAATCAGGTCGTGGACAAAGATGCAAGAATCTGCTACAAACTTGCATGTCACAAGAACAGACACCGCAGATCGTGGATGCGGCAGATTCGCATTTCATAATGCAATATACGCATGGGAACAACTTGCATGTTATGGGAACTGATATAGCACGCGCAGGTTACGGACAAGAATCTGGGAAAGCGCTACGAACTTGACGTATTGGTACTGCAGATTGCGTAATTGATGGAATTCCATTGGACATTGGGTGACGTCCAACGGAAATCCTGGACTGAGGGGACAATGTTTCAAGATTTAATGTTACGGATATTTAGCCAGGAAAACGGCATGGACAATCTCTAAGGGGGAGTGTGTCCTCACGGGATTTTACGGTAGGCTGAATACACTTGCTCAATGATAAGGATCTCTCGATGTCGCAGAAAATATTTGTATCATCCGAAAATCCTATTATCCAAAACAAGCTCCAGAAAGGTAATGAAATATTGCCGCGCGCAGGGTCACGAACTTGTAGAAGATTCTTGTTTATTCTTGCTGCGGACATACCTTCTATCGTTTATCCCTGCTTCTGTTGTTCTAGAAAGTGCGCGTTCATTCTCGCCCCGAGCGCGCTACGCTCGAACCTTCTCCGCCGAATCTTCGAGATAGTGACTCACTTTAGGTAAGAGGCCATCCGCAACCTTGTCGAGTCAGTTTCGCCTCAGCGTTCGATCTTGCTGCTTTGCCGCCTTCGACGCCCGCGACGCTCTGTTGTTATCTTTCTATTTCCTTTTATTTTCGGGCACAAGTTCGCCCCATTAAACGTTCAGTTTACTCGGTCATTCGCCGCCTCGTCACTTGTCATCCGTGACAATATGCCGACATACTTGACGACAACAGATGGCTCTGGGTGAGAAAACTGCTTCGATCCCGGAGGCAGTGCAATGCTGCCGGTATTGCGCTGCCCCCAGGATCAGCCCACCTTTTTCTTTTTTATTTCTCGAGGCTTTTCTATTTTAGCCCTAGCCGTGGCTAGAGCCACTGAATGTTTCCAAAGTACCGGATCTCATTCAGTCCGCTTACCGAAAGCCCAACCCGCAGAATCCAGTTCTGATTGGCTGGCTTAGCCCGTGGCGTAAGTTATCAGTCGGTCATTTTGTGGATTGGCCCAAAACAACAAAAAACGTATATAGAACATTTCCGCGTTACCACGGGTACGCATGGGTGGGAGAACTGGGCATCGGTAAGTTAGGACCAAATAAAATGTGCGTAGATGTTCCCTCAATTTTTTAATTATACCAACTAGCTGCTAATCTCGTTTGCCAAAGAAGATTGCCAGCTCGTTTGCTCTTTCCAGTTGCGTTCGTGCTGCATTTCAAACTCTACGCCCCAGACGCTAAGCCTAACACTCGACTTCAATGTGTTTCGAGGCGGGTGAGAGACAGGAGACAGCGAGGAGCAAGTCAAGCACCGCTCGGAACGAAGGAAAGAACTTTAATAAAAACAAACCAGTGTCGCCACAGGCCAGGAACGTGAATTTTAAGAGCTCACAGGAAAATGTATGCTACACTGTCCGCGTGCTTCGCTTCAACCGGACAGGGCAGCGCCATGTTGGAGATCACGACTGCTGCGCCGCATAGTTTCGAAACAAAGCTTGACAGTTTTGGTACTCTGGGAACATTCAGTCACTCTAACTGTGGCTAAAGAGCCTGGGTTAGGCCCTAGCCGCAGCTCTTTGGCCATGGCGACTGCGGCAGTCACAATGGACCTCTTGGCGAATATGTGCTGCCACCTAGACATGCGACTGGGGTCGAGGCTAAGTGGCGAGAAAACAGCGCGCGCGCGAGGCCTCTCCCACCCGTTGCACTCCCACAACGTCAGCTACATCCTGTTCACCCATTGAGACACTGTGACCTAGATACGGCTCCCCCAAACTCGCCTTTGTCCCCATCGTGCGTAATCTTCCGCCCCGAAGACGACACAACGAAACCATCTTCCCTCTCTGCTCGGCCAGAATGAAGAGAGAGAGGGTACTGGAACCAGTTACTCTCGAACCGATGTTTCTGCAAAAGGTCCATTTCCCGCCCCGCGGCCGCTGCGGAAAATGTGATGCGAGCTAAAACGGAATATCAAGGTGTTCTTTGTTGAAATATCCTGACAAACTGCCTGAGTGGCAAGCACTGCAATGTTCTTTACCTCAACCTTCCTTTATATTTTGAAAATTGAGGGAATTCACCTCTTCGAGGTCGGCGCTTTTGTTCGTGCCATCCGCCGCAGCCCAAGAGAGCATTCACACTATCCCAAAATGTAACAAATTATAATATAAAAAACACATTACAACCGAGGTTTAAGAAAAAAAAGAAAATAAATTAGTATCATCTCAAAATATGAATTAACCCTGACTGTATCGTCAGGATTCTACTGCAATTATGGTATGCTAAGAAGACGAGAGAGATCCAGCGAAGCGCACTGCAGTGACACTAGACCTACCCGAACGCTTCGGTGATGTCTGCATTGTCGGCTCCCACTTGGGCGGCATCAAACTTGCAGAGTTTCTTCACAACGTCCACGACCCTCGAGAAATCTTCCGAAGGCTGAGACAGGAGCTCGGGGTCGGCCGTGACGTCGGTGATGAGGTTGTCTACTGACTGCTGCAGCGCCAGCACGTTGGCCGCAACCTGGGGGTCCATCTTCAGGTTGATCCTGTAGCATGGAAGAGCACGACCAGTGAAGCGTTGCGGCAACACTCCACGCAATTCCAGGGTTTTGCCGTAGGGCACATTTTACAGAGATGGCCGTCATCGGCGAGGTTTCTTGGTGGATCCCGGGATGAGTCTCATGTAGGTTGTCGTGGCTGGAAAATTTCTCGGCTAAATTTGGCGGGAAAATGCTCTCGTTAAATTCAACACTGCAATGTCGCAGTGTCACGTGACCCGTGACACTGTGATGTCTTGTGGCACCATAATGTGACATCACGATGTGTCGTGATGTCACGGCGCACAATACCACTGTAACATGACGCCACGTCATCACGTGACCTCGCATGATGTCGTGGTTAGTACGGCGTGATTGTGCGCAGTCTGCGTGCAGTACACTCTGAAGCAGCTTGGCTGTCGCCACAGTTAATTCGCAAGACAAGCAAAAAACTGGAATATTTTTTTTTACGGTTGATTCATTGATTAGTTTTTGCCACAATTTTTAGGCAAACATTTTCAAATGAAGTAACATCCTGGGAAAACTAGCAAAACTTGTTGAAACCAAAACTTCCGCCTTCAGCTACATGAGACAAGTGTGTCCTGCAGGAACCTTTCTTTACGAAAAGGGTTTGAGGACATGAGAAAAGAAACAATATGTCCTGCAAAAACTACAAACAATGCGCGAAGCTGGCAAGACATTTTGCCCCCCTTGACTCGGCGACACTACCGTCCGGCTCGATTTTGCTGCTCAACTTAAAAGTTGCCAAAGCTGTTTTTGAGTTTTTCTGTACAGTAATCCCTCGTTATAATGACATTGCTTTTTTCGAATAATCACTTTTATCGAAGTTTAATGTGGTCCCGACCAAAACGCACGCATTTTTAACTGGATTATTCTAACTGTATCGGAGGCCGACCACGCTTGTCATGAAGGCCGCGGTGCCAAAAGCATGCAAGCCTACACGGAGGCGCTTGGGAGACCCTTGCGTTCCCTCCCCCTTCTCCACCGAGGCAAACGGGAAAGCTGGGGAAATGGATTAAATGGGTGAAGGAGGGCAGAGCGCGCAGAGCTGGAGGGCGCCGCTTCCGATGCCGATGCGCTGACGCGGGCAAGGGGCAGCGTCAACGTTCCAATGCTACTCACGGCAACCCAACCAACGCTGCCCGACTCCTGTCGGAATCGGATCAAGGGAGCAATGGAGACTGGAGATCATCCATCCAGGAGCCCCCGACGCACGCTTGCGGCATACTATACATGCGCATGTGCCTCATTAGGGAGATTGGGAGTGTTTACTGAACGTCGCTCGAGGTTGAGAAAAGTGGCCGGCCCAAGTACGAAGTCGCCAAAGAATTCTACATTCCAGCATCGGCTGTTCGACACTGTCCACCATTTTGCTGAACAAGGAGGCATATTGGACGGGTTCGTAAAGTTTTTCGTGCAGGAAAAGGCATACCCGTAACCCAAAAATGAAAGATCGCAAACTGCTTCGCGCACATAAGATTTTCTCTCGTGAGCATGCTTGCCGAGCCGGTGCACGACTTCCATAGCTGCAACGATCTCTACAGGAGTGTGTGAAAACATGTGGGCAAAGCCACCGAGGATAACTTTGATCCGTTTGTGTTTGTTGATGCGGACGCTCCCGTTGTTGCTCCTACCACGCCGCTGCGATTGTAGACCTTGAATGCGGCCAAGGTAAGCACGAAGTAACGTCGGAGAGGCACTTTGGGAAATGCCGTCGACTGCGGAGGCGCCAAACATCCTCTGGCTGCTTCAAAACAAAGCGGAGTGGAGCGGCAATGACAGTGTTCTTGCGATGCCTGGAGCAGTTCGAGCAAAACTGATGCCAGGATGAAATTATCGGCAAACCCTATTTAATCATTTTTTGACTTGGTAAAGCTGCCACGGGATGTTCATAATCAAGGTTTGTTTGATTAAATATACGGTCAGTGTTCCCGTTCTCCTTCAAGGATGCTGGCACTGTTTCTTTGGCTCCATCACTTTTATTGAAATACCACTTAAATAAAAACTTTCTGCCATTCTGGTGACTTTGTTATAACAAGGAACTATTGTATATGGCTCTAACATGATCTATCTACTTCATGAAGTTTAAAAATCTACAAATTGCTACTTGCATAAGTCACACTTTTATAAGTCATACCCCTTCTCTTATTTTCACCAAGAAAAGAAAGAAAAGGAATGATTCTTTTTTTTTTTCTCAGTATGAAAAAGGGAATGGGTGTGTGGTTCTGACAGTGCATTTTATATAAAAATAGACATACAGTATATAAACAGCACGGGGGTATTCAGACATTGTGAAATGGGTAGATCATGTTTGAGTCATAAAAGAGCTCGAAAACTAGCTTGGTGCACCTTAAACTAGGTCTTAGAAAGAATGGCAGGGTGAAATCTGGGTTACGAAGTTGCTCAAGAATGGTGAACCTACCAGCCGTCGACTTGAACGGTGTCGCCGACCAGTTCGACCCGCTTGCAACCGAACAGCAGGATGTGGAGTGGAGAGATCATGGTCATTTGCTTGCACGACACAGCCCTTGTGCGAATCTGCGGGAAAAGAAAAGGAAGAGCTTTCCGTGACTCTGCCACCCCCAGACTAGTTTTGTACCGCAAACGCACCAAAGACAAATGTCTAAACAAAAAATGAAGAGTGTGCTACATCAGAAAGACATCAAGAAGATCTATCACGTTTCTCATGTCGAAGTGATTATGTAACGAAACAAGCTGTCGGCAGATAAAGTGTGCTCATAAAATTAAAGTCCATTTACGATTGTAACACCGCCGTTAGCAATAGCCTCGGGCAATGTGGAGTGGTGATTCCCTAAAAGGAATACAGACGTTCACTAGAAGCAATGAAAAATGATACAACTTGACCTAAAATGGTTTAAATAAATAATGCTTTAAGTCTAAGGTGCACCGTCTTGAGCGGGACAAACAGGTGTCCGAGAAACCAGTAAATGTATTCCGGGAAGCTTGAGGTGTTAGCCAGCAGTCGACTAAGAAGGAACCACCCACTCACCTTCTCCCCAAACACAAAGAAAGGGCTGGGGAACTTGGCTGGCAGGTTGGTGCAGTTCACAGAGGTCTTGTGGATCAGGGCTGCCCGGCTGTCTGTCGTCAGCACCTTACGCTTCTCCTTGTGGTAGCAGATGTTCGGGTAGTGGCCCATCACCAGCAGGGCCACCATCTGGCAAGCAGGAGGGAAGCAAAAACATGTTTTCCAAACTATAAACATTTAAAAGTTGAAATTTTACACAGTGCGGACTACAGTCGAAGCTCGTTAATTCGACTCTGACGGTTCCTCGAAAACAGATCGAATTATCAAAAAGTCGAATTATCGAATATTGATCAAAAATGAGTAACGACGTACGTCACGAGAAGCGGCGAAAACCCAACCGTGACGACGGAGTTTTATTTAGAAAAAAAACGCTGATATTTTCTGCTGCCGCATTCCCGTCAGACGCTTCGCAAAAACAAATTTCCACATATCCTCAATGTGCGGCCACATCGTCCCGTCGGTGTCTTCAAACGTTGCAAAGTTCGCAAGTACATCGAGCGCGGCGGATGGTTCGGCAGGAGATGGGCGTGGCGGCGGCTCTTCGGCATCACTCTCGCAGCTGTCGTCCTCCTGACCCTCGGGACGCTGAACCGATGCAATGATTTCGTCGTCAGTCAATTGACCGCACACAAGCACTCCATCATCTATCGCAACGTAATCATCGAAACTAACGTTTTCGGGTAGAGTGGACATTAGAGCACTGCACTCTTCGTCAAAGTTTTCATCTTCAATTGTGGTTGCCGATGTTGTAGCCGATGCAGTTGCCGATGTAGTAGCCGGTGCAGTTGCCGATGTAGACGTAGTAGCCGATGCAGTCGTCGAACTCGCGGTATTTACATCACACGAGAAACCACAGTGACAAAAGCAGTTCGCGATGACCTGGCTTGGCATGTCCGTCCAAGCTTTAGCAAGCATATGAATCGCCGCCAACAGAGTGACTTCATAGCGCTTACCCTGGTCCAGACAAAGCAATATTCTCGCCATGAGATGCTTGCGATACAAGCCTTTCAGGTGTTTGATTATTCCTTGATCCATTGGTTGCAAGAGTGAGGTGGTTGCGGGTGGAAGGAAAATCAGGCGGATCATAGACAGCTCCGGCATTTTTGTGTGCGCACTGCAGTTGTTTGCTACTAACACGACCTTACGCCCCTTGGACGCGAACTGGCGGTTCAATTTTTTAAGCCAATCTTGAAAGACCTCACGTGTCATCTACGCTTTTTTGTTGAAACGGTAGTCCTTTGGAAGCCGCGGGATGTTCCGAAACCATCGTGGCGTCTTGGATTTCCCGATCACCAAAAGAGGCAGACGTTCCGTGCCTGTCATGTTGGCTGCCACGAGCACGGTCACCCGCTCTTTACTGTGTTTTCCCCCAGTGCAAGGATCCCCTTTGAACGTTATCGTTTTGTCGGGGAGAGCTTTGAAAAACAACCCCGTTTCGTCGCAATTGAATATGTCCTTGGGCGCATACTCCGCAAGAATACGTGCGAGCTCCGACGTCTTCCAGTTTTCACACAAATCTTCATCCACATCGGCTCTTTCACCACACACGTGCTTAAAGATAAGAGAGTGCCTCTCCCTGAATCTTGCGAGCCATCCCTCGGAAGCACGGAATCCCTCGATGCCCAAACGTTCGCTGAACTGTTGAGCCTTTGCGCGAATCATGTCTCCAGTCATCGAAAGGTTGTGCGTTCTTACTTCTGTCACCGATTTGTAAACGGCTTCTTCGAGTTCTGGATGGGCTGCACTGCGAAGGCGTTTTCTTGAATTCACAAATTGCTCTTCTTCAAAAGCTTTCACGATTGCTGCTTCATTCCTAATGTAGGTAGCAAGCGTGCTTTTCTTGAGGTCATACTTTTCGGCAATTTCTTTTCTGGACAATTTTCTCTCCCTAACTTCAATGAGTATGTGAACTTTTGTTTTTAAATCATTCGAAGAGTACTTTCCTTGCTTTTCTTTCGACATTTTCTGGTATGAGCGTTAAACGCCGCGCACTCCAAAGAACAGAAACCAGAAACCGCGTGACAGCACGGTCCCTCTTCATCGCTCGCTCATTTTTCTCCAGTCTCCTTCTCCATTCTCCCGACGTTCTTTCTCACTTCATCGCTTACTCATTTCCCTCTCGTTGCTCCCGTCTCCTTCCGCGCGCCTCCCCACGTGATTGGGCCGGTGCACTCTGACTGGGTCTTATCTCGACTAATCAAATCGGCCCTTTCTCCGGCGCGAGGCGCCGGCGAAAGGGCGCCTGTCTGCGTGGGCGCTCTTTCGCGGAGCGCGCCCCGGCTCGAGGCGCCGGGGGCGCCGACGGGCATTGCGCGTCTGTGGAGGTGTCGCAATCAGGCGTGGGCTTGCTGCAACGGCTGTTTGCCAATATGGGTAGGGACGCGTGTTGTGTTCTGAGGCGCCGTTTTAACCTTTAAACTTATAGTGTTAGCTTAAAAAATATTTCCCGGTTACGAAGATGCTGGCTCCCGGGACGAATTATCGGGTTGGGGATATTTATCAGATCGAAATACCGGGGTTTTCTGCCTATTGAAGCCTGTACATTTCTGACGGTGCTAAACAGAAGGATCGAATTAACGCGATGATCGAAATAACGGGAGTCGAATTAACGAGCTTCGACTGTATAAAACTTTCTTGTTCGAGATCTCGCAACGAAACGTCATAAATTCTTTGAGTGACAGGGTATGGACGACTGATGTATGACAAGCTCCTTTGTGAGCTAATACAGTAGATGTTTGCCAAGGAATGCTTTGTATGAAAATATTTTACTTGTGCACTAGGCATCAAGTGCAAACTATGCAGCGGGTGCAGGCTTTGCGCCAAGTGCAAACTACCTAAATTTTCAACCGAAAGTTGTCCCTGCAAGCTACACACTGGGTGCGGACTATGGTCCCGAGAATATGGTACTCCTTGATCCTTTGGTGTCCCCCATGGGATTAGAATTGCATTATCCGCTTGGAAGATGTTTCACCAAAAAATTAGGTCTATGTGGCATGTGCAGTTTATTGGCAGTAATTTGCTGCTGAAAGCAAAGGTGAATGAGAAGAATGCAAGCAAGCACTGACTTCACTTTCGTGCAGTGCTGTACTTATATAAAAAAAAAAGCACACAAATCAAATAGTCAAAGAAAAAAAAAAAAAAAAAAGATTATAATGCCTCACTATGTCCAGCCTTGGGTCCGGACCGTTGAAGTTGTACGCCTCTGGAGCCACGCTCAACTCCGGGAAGCCAGCACCCATCAGCAACTCCTTTATCTGGTTCTGCATGTTGTAGACAAAACAAACCACTTAACACAGCCTTCAATCAACTAAGTCGCCCCAATATGTAACCAGCATCGAGAGATTAACTTGGACCTCCCAGGGATTTTTAACATGTCATGCTCTCAAGAGACCGCTGTCAAAATGAACATGCACCGTTTTAAGCTGAAAAGAGCAGAAAGGAGGTAAAACTGCTTAAAGAAACGATTTTTAGATTCAAAGAATTTGCGTCTTGTCATTTTTACGTTGTTTATTGCATCCAGGAGGATAAAAAAAAAAATCTTCATTAAAAAATGTTGCAATTCCACTGCATAATCGCAAAGCAAAATTAGAGCTTTTTCTCCCACCTGCAGCCGAGAGTGGCAGCCGAAAGAACCACGGCGAGAAGCTTATGTGATCTCACTCGGCTCTAAGCTGCAGCATAACGCCCGCTAAAGTCAGCAGAGAGAGGGACAGGAAGCGCCCTCGGAGAGAGCACACGGGAACCTATACGGCACCCGAATTACGTCGCTAGGAGTGCGACCAGGTGTGACCTGGAGACTGGGAGTGAGGTGAGGGGTGCCAGAAATGGCAATATTTATCTTTTTATTTTTACACAACTAGGACACGCAGGCGAAATTGGTTTTCTGTTCTTTACTTCAGAAGTGTCAGAGGGCAACTTCCAAAACTTTTTGAACGAAGTCTGGAAATTGTTGCACTTCCTTTTTAAGCCCTCATTGCATATATGTTCAGAACTACTACAAAGCCCAGCAGCACGTGCAACGAAATAAAAACAAAATATTTCGGTAACCAAAAACAAAACAAAATGCTGCCGAAAATTGCTAGCGCAACCATGCGCATTTGGTGTCTAGTTGTGTTGACCCCGCACACATCGTCCCCACCGCATACAGCATGTACAACCCACACACTTCACATGTAGCTCAATGTACTCTGTGTCCCCCAGTCTTTGCCAGCATGATCAAGCTGGAATGAAGTTTTAGGGGCGATGCTCCTTAGGGTCTAGCCTTGTCAGTCCAACGTCCGTGCTCACATTGACCTTGCTGGTACTCGTGCTCGTGCTCGTGAGCCCACGTGCTCGTGTAAAACAAAAACGAAAAAAAAAATTATAAAAAGAAAAAAAAAAGTTTGCGCAGTCGACAGGATTTGAAGTTGTGCGAGGAGACCCGTGCGAGACCCCAATGTATTTCTAGTCCATCACCTTAACCACTCGGCCACGACTGCGGGACGAGTAGGGGGCTCTGAGATGTGGTAGTAACTCAAGAGTTGGGGTTTCTGTCATGGATGAAATGTTGCATGTAGTCACTCAACGTCTATACAGGAGAGGGCGTAAAAGCTTGGTCTGCTGGGCAAGTTGGTAGTGGACATTTATATTAAAAATAGCGCTATTTTTAATAGGAGAGGGCGCTGCGGTCAAATCCATATATAATCGCGTTAAACTTTGCATGCATTGGCTGAACGTTTATAGATAAGAGGGCGCTGCGGTCAAATGCTCAAATGCGTATATAACCACGTTCCATACCACACATTCTCTTTCTGACATAGACCGTTGACTTAAGTGGTGGAGATGCGTTCCCACGGCTTCTAGTGGATCCACGCTGATCCGCTAGAAGAACCACTGGCTTTGCATTTCACCGACCATAAAGCAGTAATAATGAAGTCGAAACGCAACCCGGAACTCAGCACTACCTATAAGCAATAAAAAAAATCAGCACCATCACCACTACCTATGAACAAAATCAGTATCATCAGCACCACCAGAGCTTCGCCCCAAACAACATCATTCACCACGTGGAGATGCCGTCATTTTTCTATCAGCCCCCCCCCCCCCCCCCCTTTGAGGAACAGCACAGGAAAACGAAATACAGAGACACCAGAGTGTAAGGGCGCGGCCCACCTTGGCGTCGTAGGTGATGCGCAGGGTGGGCATGGAGATGGAGAACTGCTCGCAGAAGCCGGACTCTGCATACTCTCCCCGCATGTGGGCCTCCTCCCACTGGCCAAACACGTTCAGCAGGGTGATGTGGTCGCTCCAGCGGCCGCCAAAGAAGCGCCGGTGCACGTAGCCCAGCCGCTTGGGGAACGGCGTGTCGAAGGGCTCCGGGAATGTGCTGCTGTTGGCAGAGATGGTGCACAGCGCGTCGCCGGCCCTGCACACGCCAAAAATATTTGTCACCGTAAATGGCACGGAGCCTCAAGCAGGGCAGAGCAGACTGCTAGCTTCGTGCGGGAGACATATTTGAATGGGCCGTCTGCGTGTGAGCAGTGCCACCATCGCTCCTGCTTTCAATACCATTCTCAGTGATGTGATTGGCCTAAGCCGTTTTAGAGCACCTTTTGGAGCAGCCGAAACAGTGTTTTGGAGCAGCAAAAGTGGCCATTGGAGCAGCCAAAATAGTGTTTTGGAGCAGCAAAGTGGCTTTTAAAGCAACTAAAACAGTGTTTCGGAGCAGCAAAAGTGGCTTTTAAAGCAACTAAAACAGTGTTTCGGAGCAGCAAAAGTGGCTTTTGGAGCCAGATATTCTTAGAAAAATAAAAATATTTGTTTCATGTGCTGGACAAACAAAGGACACTTTGCTTGCCGCAATAAACAAATTATACGGTAGACAAGTTAGACCACCTGGGAGTCTTTTAGCATGTAACTGAAATGCCAATGACACGACATTTTACGATGGTTCAGTTAAATGATACCTATATATGTACCCGCTATAGTTAAATAAGAACCAAAGTGCACATATTAAAATTTATTTGAAAATGACCAGCTGAGTAGTAAATAGCACAAAATTGGGTTCACTAGGGATAAAATAAATGAAAGCAGTCTCCAACTGATGAAACACGTAACTACTGCAGTACAATGCGAAATTGTCGCGCGAGCGGAAATGGCTGTTTGATCGAAACCATGTCACTCCACTCCGCCAACTGGTTCCCAAAATTGTACACAAAATGTAACTGTCCAACATACGACAGAAACAGTCCAGCGGCATGTGCTTGCCAGGCCGGCAGGCGAGGTACAAGCTAAACACACACAGAAAAAAAAGAACCTGAGCAGATCGATGCAAGACATCGCGAGCCAGGCTTGGCCAGGGTCAAAAAGTTTTTGAAGCGCTTTGTGCAACGACTCAACACGAGACAAACAAACGCGCTGTGTGGGTTCAGCGTGCAGACATTGCCTTCTTTGCTTTAGCTCACTTCTCTTAACCAACTTTCTTTCGCAACAGACTTTTCACGTACCTGAGTCCCTCTCGAAACAAAGCCCAAAGAGAGAAACCTAGGTAATCAATACTTTGACACAGCAGTTTTTGATCTAGAGGAATTTTTGTAGTAGCGTATTAAACAAGATCGGGGATGTTGATGAACATGCGGCAGTCCTTAGGTTTAGTTCAAAAAGCGCCATATGTGCAGCGACATGGGGACAGATACACCCGCTGTCGCGCAACCACAGTGACTGGCAGGCAAGGACCGAATATAGTTTTCCCATGGCCGTTGCTTTCAGCAGCGAGTGCTTCAGCCCACAAAGAAACTCCCGCCGCGCAAAAACGTGGTTTCAATTCATAGCATGACGATATGGTCGATACCCCAGCACAATAGCGTCGGACCGTCCGCACACACCCGCGCCCACAGCCAACCACAGCCTCTTATTAAAAAAAAAAAAAAAAAAAAAAAAAAACGAGACAACGAGGGCGACGAGGGCGCGGAACAAGACATGGTGGGAAAAACCATGCAAGACCGAATGAACGATTGATGCATGGTACTTTGTGTCGGGCGGCCGCTTGCGCCACCTAGCCTACGCGTGCTCAATTACGATACTCAGTTTAGTTTCGGTGTAGAAAGGCGACCAAAATTAGTCCTTTGGCGCAGGCTTGGCGCAGATTACCCATATTTTGAAAAAATGCAGCAGGATGTAGCAGAGTTAGCCCCCTGGCGCAGTTTGGCGCAATTGGTGCAGCAATCACATCACTGCATTCTATGGGTTCTTAGGAACCATTGCATACAAGGAAAGAGCATGTTATGGATCTGAGGAAAAATTCTTTTTGCAATTTATATTCAACAATCTGTCTGTGGTGGATCAAAGAAGCCCGGAAAATCAGTTTATACATTGCTTACAGATCTAAGAGAGATACAGAGCCACACAAAACAGACTTTTATGAGGAATGACAAATCGTAAGGTGCCAGACGTCTTTATACTAAAGAAGCAACAGTGACGAAGAAGCAAAGAGCTTCCGTTAACACATGCCGAAATGACCAATTTGATGAGATGCACGGCAGGCGATGCACTAGACAAGAAATTATAAGCACCAAGCTGTCCACTGAGCCGTTATCTAGGTGTGAAGGCCTTCTGTAGCCATTTCCTGGAAATTGGAGCCACAAAGAGGGCCACAGGCGACCCCTTAACTTTCTTCTAGCATACCAGCTTCTGAGTATTTTCAAGCTTACCCGAAAATGAGCCCCAGGATGAGCATTTTGCCGAGGCGAGGCTCAATTGGCAGTCTGGCCAGGATCTTCCCCAGAGGCGTCAGTTCCCCGTAGACCGTGAGGGCACCCATTTCTGGACAATCCAAAAATGAACAAGTACAAGAATTTCAAATACTTCACAGCAAAGCTGTATATCTCTACCAGCCAAGAAAATTTTCGTGTCGTAGCCGTTGTAAGCAAAAAACTCCCGGCGAACGATTCAAGGCAAAACAGCATATCTCCTTTGAAATCAGGCATACAGCATACAGCTCAGTATCCGTTTCAATAAAGAAAACCACAAAACAAGCATCAACAAAACAAGCATCAAAACCACATGATAAATGATAAGGTGCATGTGAACAATAGGAACACCCTCCCACGCATTTTGGTAAAGATTAGGTTTGCAGCTGTTTCGAAAGGGGTTGACGTCATTCGAAGCCCTTGTCTGAAGTGCAAACTGCATAATGGATGATAACGGCGCTTGCGAACAATGCGAAGCACATTCTTTCGCCCCGTGTGTGTTTTCGTGTCAATGTTTTCACGGAAAAAAAGACTTCAGAAGATTGAAGCGAAAAGTACAAACACCACGCATACAACATAGAGCAAACATTCATTTCAATAAAGAATAAGCATCCTAACCACATAATGAATGATAAGGAGCTCCTGAAAATAATGCGAAGCATGTAGCGCTCGTTCATACATCCCCGGTGAAGATTAGCCCAAGCTGCCGTGGCGACGGCAGCTTGCGACGTGGGCAGTGACGTCACTAGCCTTCGGTATATAGAAGAAGAACCCCCTATACCCCGTTTCGCCTTACGTCCGGATGCAGCAGATGCTACGAGCTATCTTAGCCAATCCCATTCTGTGGACGTGGCCCGTGATACGCTTTCCGCACGTCGCTGTGCCCCCTCTCTAAAGTCACGTGACACTCACACGACCTCCGAATGACTCCGATGGCTCGCAACATCCGCTGCGCTTATTAAACGTAAGATGAAACGGAGTATAGCAACCGATGTCATTGTTGCTGCAGCAACGCGATGAATAGGCCGTGCCTACTTAGGACTCGCGAGGAGCAGCATGAATACTAGGAGCGGCACAGGGAAAAGAAACGGCAATACGACCAGCGTCGGCGTGCTGCGACCGGCGGCGGCATTTCGTATAATGCAGTAGACAATCGTTGCAGGTGATACCACAGCTTCGCTGACCAACCACCTTCACAACGTGGATTGGAGCCCATACTTTTTTTTTATTTTAGTTTTAAGACAATTATTGGTGCTTAAGACAACTTAAAGGGCAACTCCGGCCAAAACTCAATATGAAATAAATTACTGGTATCGCTGTAATGACACAAAATACGACCCCAGCCAAAACATTACGTCCGTGGGACGCTGCATTCTCAACTAATGCCGATAATAAAAATGCGACCTGCCGCGAGCCGCTGCTCCTTAGCGGGTGGCCAGCGGGCTGCCGATCGCTAAAGCAACATTGGGCCGTGACGTCAGTATCGTTCTCATTTTTTCCTCCGGCTAGCGCAACAGAAGTAGGTGCCGCTCTGCCTGCATACTCGTTGAACGAGAACGATCCAGACGTCACGGTCACATAGCAGCTGATTTCCAGTGTTGCCGAAGCCTCGAGCAGCTAGTTTCAGTTTTGTTGGCCGCGCCCCAAACAAAACTTTGAGGCGTCGATATCTTTAAAACTACGCACAATAACGAGAAAAAAATAATACCTTGCCATTCAGGGATGCTGACTGCACTAAAACAGTCATAATCCCAAAATCAAAAGTATGGACCGGAGTTGCCCTTTAAGTTGAGTATGATCAGGACACAGCTATTCACTTATAATAGTATGAACAAGTGCTGAGTTGCGAGCGGCACAGCAACAGTCGGTTGTTACGTTTGATCTTGTATTCATCGCTCGCCAGCAGATTCACCCAGGACCAGACTTGTACAGTATGCGGTGCAAGTGGTCAGACTAGTACTAGTAATCAATTACTTCTGGTGGCAATTTTGTAATTGTTCAGTATCTTTCCATGAAACAATCACATAAGCAAAATCTACTGGCCAACCAGTGGTTCTGCCACATGCTCATCATTTTGCTTGTTAAAACCAACCAGGGGTCAGGTGGACAAAACAATAGGAAAACAAACCTCTGAGAAGGACCTCCGACTCAATCACTGCATCCAGGGGTGGAGGCTCCAGTGCCTTGGCGAGGAACTTGCTGATGTCGCCCAGGCGCAGAAGCTTGATGGCCAGAGCCAGTTCGTGAAGGGGGGTTCTGAAGATCTCCGGAGTGGTGTAGTTGTCCAGCCTTCAAAACACAGCAAAAAAGAGCTTTCTCAGTCACCTAGAGCTTGCAAGTCAATAATCAAATGCTCTCCCTCTTTTGGAAAACAGCTTAGTAATAAGGATGTCAAAACATTCAACATAATCCAATAGTAATATGTAGTCTCCAAAGAGCTCACTACAATACAAATGTTATTCAATCAAGTGGATGACAAAATACTATCCATCTCCTACAGAGGCAGTTTTAGTCCTCCGCTAGACAAACCCATATCAGTGGCAAAGCGTTGGAATGTCGTAACTTCTTTCTTGTAAAAGTTACCAGCAGTAACCTTTAAAATAAACGGATGGTTTGGTTACTTTACACTGCAATTGTTTTATGGAATGAGCCACTCATTTTTAAATGCATGGCATGAAGCAAATAGGAGTGGCACACGTTTTACTTTTCTCACCAGCCAAGTGCAGACCCCATACCTCAGCCCAATGTTAAAAGCTCCTTTAGGATCAACAAAGCAGTCAAGTTTCAGAAAGCTTTTCTCTCACTTTTCATAGCGTGCCCTGCTACACAGGTGGTAGCAGTGCCCTGGCCTGACGCGTCCTGCGCGACCACGCCGTTGTTCCAGGTTCGTCTTGGATGCAAATACCGTGGCGTAGTTGGTCATGTTGTTGTGGGACGTGAACAGCTTCATCTTGGCCCTACACAGAAAGGGTAAGGAAAAAATTGGCTGCATGTTTGGTAAATCTGCCACACGTGCGGTAGCTTTATAGGGTCGGGGGTGTTCTTAGTTTGGGTGGTGCCTAGGGCAAGTGACTCTTAGTCTTTCTGTGCCTGGGGTGGGTGGTGCTCTTAATTCAGGTGGTGCCTCGGGCAGGGTTTTGTATGGAAGCAGATTACGTCACACCATTGTCTCTTTGTGATGCTGCACGCGCTTCCCTTCAGTACCACCAGGATACAAAGCCTTTGTGCTGAATTTTCTGGGCCACAAAGAGGGGAAGCGTGCTTTCCTGCCCTTTCCACTCCTCGTTTTGAAAGCTCTTTCTACCCCACCTGTTTTTGCTCCTCTTTTTCTTGCCCTTTCCACCCCTCTGCGCTCTGTGCGCTTTCTCACACCACCTGCTTGTGCTCCTCCCATTCCTCCATGCTGGGTCCGAAGCTTGGTCAACAGTGCACTCGGCTTCCACGGCATTTTTTCAGGATCGTTTAGCGGTTACAAACTGTCCGACCTACATATTTCGAGCTTATGTGGCTCCTGAGGTTGGTTGGCCCTATAAAGCTGCCATTCTAAAAACATAATTGATAACATATATCAGTAACTTGCCCCTTCATAAGTTTGAGAGGCTTGTTCTTTTGTTTCTTTTGTAGTGTGGAAAACTCATTTTATTCTTAAGGAAGGAAAAGATTCTGAATTTGAGCCAAAAACACCATATAAAAATGAAGTGAAGTCACCTCAAATTTTGGTATGGAAAATTGATGGTTACTTTACCCAGCAGTTTATAGTTTTCAAGTAAATTTTCCTTAGGTGAATTTTATGAATATTGGCATCTGGTCGATCAACTTTTAGTCCTCCACAAACATATGCACTGCAGTCCATCCATAACAGACCACTGTTCTGACAAAGGACAAAACTTTTAACTTTAAGTGGGGCGTGCATCCACAAATCTTGGGCAAAAAATTACAAAAAACTGGAAAACCTGTATATAGCGTAAAATCCAGTAAGAACACCCACCCAAAATAAAGAGATAAATGGTGAAAAACACGGGGTGGGCTATCTTTGAGGATGTGGCAGAAAACCTAAGAAAAATTAGTGGTAAACACGGGGGCACCCGCTACAAACCACGTGACACGGGAACTGATGCTGCAGATCGCGGACACGGCAAATTCACGTTTCACAATGCAATAAACACGCGGGAATTCGCTACCAACTCCTGTGTCACTGGAACAGATACTGCAGGTTGCGGGCGAAGCAGATTCGCTTTTCATGGTGCATTGGACCAGCAGAATCTCGCCGAGAACTTGCATCTCACTGGAACGGATACTGCAGATCGCGGAAGCAGCATATTCAAGTTTCGCGGTGCAATATGCAAGTGGGAACCCGCTAAAAATTTGCCTGTCACGGGAACTGACATCGTGCGCGCAAATCGCGGACAGAGAAGTGGGAATCTGCTACAAATATGTCGCAAGAACAAATACGACAAGTCGCGGACTCAGCATATTCACATCTCACGCTGCAATGCACACGCAGTAACAACTCGCGTGTTAAGGGAACCGATATCATGCGCGCAGATTGCAGACAAAAACGCGGGAACCCGCCACAAACTCGCTTGTCAGACGTATTGGTACGGCAGATCTCGCGGTTGATGCAATGTCCGTCAGACATTGCGTGACATCTGATGGGAATCGGGAGGTGGGCGATGTTTTGAAATTTTTATGTTACGGATATTTAGCCAAAAATCCGTGGACACCTAAGCACTTCTGACGAGTTGTGAATGCAAAAGCATGAATGTCGTTCTTCCGCTCCCTTAGTTTGTCTGCGGCGTACTGGCGTGGACAGCCACATTTCGCTACTGCCGAGGTAGCAGCCGACGGCCGAGCGCGCTCTCGTGAAGTGGCCATGCCGTGCTGAGCTCAGCCGTGCAGCCTCTCCGAAGTTTGCCCGTGCAGGCTCTGCGGCCAGCTTCTCCCTCTTACTGGCGGCCGGGCCGCCATGAAGAGGGCTTCTTTGGTGGCGTTCCCTGGAACTACGCTGCGCGAGAGCCAATGGGAGCCTCGTTCCTTGAAACTATGATGCGCGCCAGCCAATGGGAGCCTATCCATTAGATTTCTGCTAGCAGATTTCTGCTAGTACGACAGGCTTCGCTCCATTGGGACACGGGAAGGCTTCAAAAGCATATGATGTCGGTTCACTCTACGGGACAGTTAATTTAATCTTTCACATTAAAAAATGGGATGGGTAATCTCTCGGGGGAGGGCGTCTTTACGGGATTTTGCGGTAGCTAGTATGCCTCTTCGGGGCAAGATGTGACCCTAATCAGATTGTGACTATGTCTAAAGAGCTTTCTCAATGAGAAACCATACACTAAGAACTTGAAAAAATGCTGCAATAACTGGATTGTTATACCTAGAGAGTATACCTGGAGCCTTTACAGCAATAAGCACTATGATGAAGAAATAAGAAGTCAATGTAAGTGGACTGTTAAATGAAAACCCTTTGTTATAGAGTATTACTGTTACTCTGACCACAGTGTTAACCTGTGGTTTGTAAGTGCAGTGTTACTCTATAAAAAAAAACACACTTGAAAAACTTTGGAGCACATTATAAATGCGTTGCACTGCACAAAATAAATAAACCCAAGCCAGATGCAATGATAAGAAAAGGGTGCAGAGAACTCACTTGCATGAGTCGATGACATAGACAACGTCATTGATGGTGATGCTCGTTTCTGCAATGTTGGTCGAAAGAATAACCTGGAACAGAAAAGATGTTATAACATCACAATGCAGCTATAAACAATGCACATATTTAATGGGACTTTGAGGAAAAGAAATGTGTATCACTGACCAGACATATACAATACCTAATAATGTTTATGAAAATGTTTGCCAGGCCTTAGGAAAACGATTTCGTTCAGAACGTTAGTACAGCTTGCTGTATACTACAGGAGACATTAGGGAATATTCTAGAAAGTGGTGTTTGATTAATAAAAAATCTATAAAATGGAAAGCAAGAAAGCTTATCTGTGGATATATTATCGCATGAAGAAACTAAAAGAAATAAAGCCAGAAAAGCATTTGCCAATAAACTTTTTGTTAATTCTTAATATTCATGGCATTAACTAAAAAAAAAAAAATCTAAATGTTAGTTTTCTTTAGATTGCAGGATCAGTGGTTCTAAGAAAAAATTATTCCAATCTTTTCTAACCTAGGACGAATGACGAAAGGGGCTTATCGTTTACATTCACTCAGCACAATGAATCACTTATGCTGTGCTTCTCCATTCTAAGTGAAACCAATCCAAGTGCGTACGTCGTGTTAGAAAATGCTCAGGTTTGGGTCTTCTCACAAGAAGAGGAGGCAGTGGTTCTTGCTGAAGCTACGATTTGAGGCCAAAACACACTCTGAATTTCACCAAAAATAAATTCCAAAAACATAAAACCCTATTCAAAAATGAAAACTAAAAAGAAAAGAAAAATAAATTTAAAAAGTAAATACTAGGGCTGGGCGTCGATTAAAACTTTTAACACAATAAATGGTTACCCTTTAATCGATTAATTAATCAACTGATCGGTTCTGTTCACCTCCAGACAAAGTCTAAAAAGTGACAAAACTACACACTTTCCTTTCGACCATACTTCTACTGCTATCAATGCTGCAGTTACATTTGAAACTTGACGCTCACCACTCACAAAAACAAAATACAGGCAAACAATTTTAAAAAAGTAAATATTTTACACTCTTGATGACAGTCGCTCTATCGCTTTACTGTGGAAGACACTTTTCTTTCTCCACAATTTTTCAAACTCCCGTCTGAACCAAACTGATTAACTGGATACAAATATTAATCACAATTAATGCATTAATTGATTAATTAAAATTTAAATCAATCAATCACCCAGCCCTAGTAAATACCAAGAGGGGATGGTTCACACATATCCCAATTTATCATAATGCGTCACGGGGAAGCTAGATTAGCAACCATTTCCAGGCTCGCTTGTTACGAGTACTTTTTCAGTCAAGAGGTTCATTCGAGAAAAAGTCTAAAAAAGCAATCGCGTGAGGGTCAGCAGTGGGACCTATCCACAAGTAGTGATTTGAGGACCAATTTTAATGCAAAATTGCATTCTAACGGAAGCGAACTCGGGTTTTGGGACCGTGTAAAGCTGAGCGTGCGGTGCCGCAAGTGGAAGGCACCAGAAGCAGCCACCCGTCAAAAGCTGCCGAAAACAAAAACAATGTAAAAAGCGAAGAGGTAGGAGAGGAGAAACAGGACGTGCCGGGAACCAAGATCGGACAAAGCGTCGACCGCATTCCTCGTAGAACGCAATCCCGCGCGAGACGGTTCGATCGATGCATCGAAACCCGGCCGCAGATAACCCCCAAAGGGGTCCCGCGAACGCTTCCCGTCGGCAATCGGGCGTGCAATCTTTGCAGAAGAGGGGTTTCCGCGGAAAATGCGGAGCCGCGTCGATCGGCTCACCTTGGTGACGTTATCCCCGACCGGCCTGAAGACCCGGTGTTGCTCCTCACGGGGCACCTGAGAGTGCAAGGGCAGGATGAGGTACTGGGAGGTGCCGAAGGTGGGGTGCTGCTGCAGGTGCCGCATCAGGGCAAAGATCAGGTTCCAGCCGGGCAGGAATATCAGCACGGCCCCCTTCTCCGGCAGCGTCTTGATGTGCAGCAGCAGGGCCTGCGGGTGGCAAGGGGCGCTGCTCGTCGGGAGGCGGACGAACGCTTGGCGCCGCTACGGCGCCCGCAACGCGACTCAGACCGGCGTGTTTACAGCGTCCGGAAACGCGGTACCCCGATTTCCGCCCGACGCCGTCGCAAGAGCGTTGCGCACTTGCGATGTCGTCGGGTTTTGGGACGTCGTTTGTTGACACTTCGGATTCGCTTTCGATGCGGGGGAGGGGAATGGGATGCTGAAGACACCGGTCGGAGATGAGTTCCGGGCATCGTGCCGCCGCAGCTTCCTTCGAATGGTTCAAAGACGGAAGGAATGAGAAATATATGCACGGAAAGCTGGAAGTGGGCGGAGATGCAGAAACGGGGAAGAGATAGCGACCACGTGGAGGTGCACGCAGGTCGCTGTCTCAAGGGCCAAGGACCCGATCGTTAACCCCGAGAGGCCAGGAAGATTCCAAACTCAAAGGCGCCCTGCAAACCCGGCGAGACGTGCGAGCCATGATATGAGAAGACGACGTTCGGACAGAATGTCCCACAAGAGGCGGTTTTGACCGTTGTAACGAAATACGATTTGCCAAAAATAGAGACTTCTAAAATGACATCAATGCTTCTTAGATTTCCGCAAAAGATTGCTATCAATTATAACGAGACCACTCAATAGAGAACTTCGATGGAAATAGAACGTAAAACAATGCTAAAATATCTTGGCAAAATGTAAGATATTCGTTTAAGAAATATCTACAGAAATATTTTCTCGAGAAAAAAAAAACTCTTTAATCTTTTAGCTTCAACTGCTCCACAGGTTATTGTGCATGCCAAGGTTCAGTTCCCCCCAGAAGTGAAGACAGAGAAGTGCAAATGAGCCAGTACGGCAGAGCTCACCTCAATCAGCTCAAAGGAGAGGGTCTTCTCATCGAGCTGAGACATTGCCAGCCGAGTGGACTGCTTGTAGCTGGGATCAATCACCTTGTTCAGGTTCTCCTACAAACAGCACAAGAGCCAATTTGGGACACGTGTGGACAATTACCATCAACACCTTCCCAAACCAGAAATAATTAGCATAAAATCTCGCCACTCACCTCTGGCTCGTCAGTCTCGATGCCTTCGTCCTCGTCCCTCCTGCGTTTCTTCGTGTTTGGTGGAGTCACGAAGTTGACGAGCTCAATGCAGTCCTCCAAAAAGTACTCTGCAAGGTGGTAGTTTGCGAGGGAAACCTAATGATTGAGCACGCGGCCAAATTGAACAGCATCAAATTAGAAAGCACTTTCAATCTTTGTGGCCCTACATAAGAACAATAGGTGGTTTCAGTAGACTGCTCCTCCCTTTTCTCTACGCTGCCTAAAATGAAGATGTGGTTGCCATGCACATGTGCCACTAGCCTTGCCTGTAGAGATCCGGATCTTGTAGCAGGTCGAGGACAGCATTGCGGGAAGTTAGAAACTATCTATGAAAACTTTCTAAAAGTTGAAGGCCGGCAAATCAAGCACTCTTTTGTTCAACTAAACATGCGTCTCCACTTTCTCCACCCTCCCCTACTTGGCGCTTAAATGCTACAGACACAAGAGATTCTCTCCGAAAGAAAATACATTTTTGTTTACACTCAAGGTCATACGACATTACGGAGAGGAGTGGTAAAATAAAATGCAGAGAGCACAATGGCAAAATAAACACTCACTCATGGTTCCACAGAAAACAAAAAGTTAAAAAGAGTATTTCTGAAAGCACTTGGGTCATGAATCGGTTCCATTCTATGGGAGTGCGAGGAATGAATGAGTAAAAAAAAAGTATTTGTATGACACAGAAAAATGCCAACCTTGATTTATCGATCTAAGCCAAAAGAAATAATGACGGGGATTGTTAGTAGGCGATTCCGCAGGGTAGAGTGATGGTGAATTTTTGAAAAAAAGGATAGAAGTGGGAACTTTCACAACAGAGGGGAAATCTAGAAAGAGGATTTTCTTTTTTCTAGCTCCATTTCAGTCAATGCATAAGAGCTCACCCTGAACTGGGTGTGCCCTTCCTTCCACTTCGATAACGGGACAGTTGTCAAAGTAGGCTTGGAAGAGGGTGACGTCGATTGTGGCAGACATGAGGACCACCCGCAGCTGAGGGAAGGCCCGGATCATGTCTCGGATCACTACCATGATGAAGTCGGTCTGTGGGAAGACGAAGGAAACGAGGAATCATCGATACCGGCACGCAGTAATAGTTTTTTTGCTCTGAAACCCAGTTTCTAGTGGCACAGCGAAACACGTTTTCCTTGAAGCAAACGTTGACCAGACTTACATTCACATCCCTCTCGTGAATTTCATCAACAATGACGTGCGAGACTCCTCTCAGGCCTGCCTCCAGCTTTCTCAGAAGAACACCTTGAAATGGAGGGGAAGACGGTGAGCTTGGGTTGCACATTACACTGAACGCTTTGAGCACTGCCATATTAGGGGCGAAGCTCCTTAGGGTCTGGCCTTGTCCGTCCAGCGTCCGTGCTCACATCGATCTTGCTGGTGCCCGTGTTCGTGATTGTGCTCGTCAGCTCACGTGCTCGTGTAGAGCAAAAAACAAAACAAGAAATTATGAAGAAAAAAAAATGTTTGCATAGTCGACAGGATTCAAACCTGTGCGGGGAGACCCCAATGGATTTTTAGTCCATCGCCTTAACCACTCAACCACGACTGCGGGACGAGTAGGGGGCTCTGAGATGTGGTAAACTCAAGAGCTGGGGATGTCATGGATGAAACGTTGCATGTAGCCACTCAACGTCTATACAGGAGAGGGTGCTGAGGTCAAAAGCGTATATAATTGCGCGAGGGCCCTGCAGTCAAATACTCAAATGCGTATATAACCACGTTCCATACCACACATTCTCTTTCTGGCATGAATGAAAACGAACGAAAGGCCTGGCATGCTGCGGCTCAGCGTCTACGCAGACGAGCACCACCAGAGCTTCGCCCCAATCAACATCATTCACGACGTCGAGATGTGGTCATTTTTTTGACAGTAGAAATTAGCAGTACTGCAATGTTAATACATTATAGAGTATTTTGAAAGTGTATTCTTTTCCACCTGTTTCGGCACCAAAGTTGCACCTGTTTTGAGTCCAGGTTACAAGTCTGTGCACAGTAGGGTGCAAAGCCCGGTCACATTTATGTGAGCAAATAAATGCCTAAAGAATTCACGCACAAATGCGAAGAAAGCAGGCAGCTCACCAACGGTGCAGAATAGGATGGAGCCGTAAGGACGCGGGAGCACTGACTCAAACCGCACGCTGTACCCAGCACTCTGACCAAGTTCTTCAGAGCGTTCCTCTGCGATTCGCTCAGCTACGGAGACTGCACTAATTCTCCGTGGCTGAAAGAAAAAAGAAAACAAAAAAAAGCTTATTAGTTTTGGTTTAGATACAATGTGAGCAGAATTTGCAAGATATGCCCAGTGCAGCCACTAGCAGGACAAGGACGGCAGGGATATAGATCAGTATTGGCTGCTCAACTGACCTGAGTCACAACGATGCAACATTCGGCACCAATGCCCTGATTGATGTAAGAGTCGAGGATGTACTGGGGCACCTGAAATGGAATAGAAAGAAACAAAGTCAAGCCCTTGTCTTAGAAACGCTTCAAGCACCGGCAGCCACGGGCTGGCAAAGTCCCACATGCTACCAGAGGAGCCGCAGTTATCCCTTGCCTTGCTAAAGATAAATTGGACATCAGATTCGAAGAAAACTTTAAAACTGCTGTCACCCAAAGATGATGACGACAAACTTGAAAACTTATATCTTTGTAAGCAACCACCTTTATCTAATTGTGGCGTGCGTGACGCCGTTTTAAAATCGATCTGGCCAAAAGAATTGAGAAAAAGGTATCAAAACTAGGTGGCAATCAGTTCATCGAACGTTTCATTGACAGACTGTTTCATTGACACCTCAGATTACCTTTTTACCGAGATAAGCTGCACGAGACTGTCGCTGGGAAGCAGCATGCATGGGTCGGCCAGTTGGGTTAACATATTTGTAATGAGCCGCCGCAGACTGTCCCAGCGAAGTGGCGTGAACGCAGGCGGGGGTGGGTAAATGCGCACTCCAGTGATACACGCGTGACGAAATGTCCCAACAGCGTGCAATTCGCGTAACGAGTGCCGATGAAACAATCGTGTCGACGAAACGTTTGTCCATGAAACGTGTGTCCCTGAAAAGTTGTCCACGAAACGTAATACCACAAAAGGAGTTTCAACGAAATGATAGGGACCCATCAAACTGGCGAAATGCAGGCGAGCGATTGAGCTGGCGTCCTCTGGTGTCAAAAACTCCAATCAGGGGCAGATGACAATTCTAGCCCATCTTTCGTGCGCCACGAGAAGCTTTTAAATGTACGACGAGCCTAAGTCGTCCTTGGCAATGTTGATACAAACTATGGTACAAACTACTACAACGAGCGGGACTTGCCGGTAGGGAAAGGGCTAATGCCGACTGTTTCCACTAAGTCAACTTTATTAGAACTAGGTTGAAAAACTGCCTTTTGAGCCTGCTTTGAAAAAGTGGCTCGATCCGTAGTCGAGAACAGAAGCAGACGCGATCATGAGACCGCCATTTCTCTTGCAGCACCCACTCCGCGAACTCCGCGTGTCGGTTCAGGTCGAGTTGCGCAAGGGCCGGAGGCGCCATCTCGCAGTGGCTATATAAAGTAATTTTCATGTTTTGACTCTCCTCTAAAGGAGGGCGCTGTAATCGCATCCAGTTTGGCCTCGGTGGACGCAGGCGGTCCAGGTTTCAAGGGCGAGTTTCCCAACTGAGTGTTTTAGTAATGCTGCACCAAGTCCTGGTTCCTCACCTGGGTTGTCTTTCCGCAACCTGTGGCCCCTCGGATGATGACGATGGGAGAATGATGGATGGCGTCCAGAATGCTGTCGTAGGAGTTGTACACCGGGAGCTGGTAGCGCTCGTCCAGCATCTGCAGATGGGGTGCGAAAAACGTGGCTTGTGAAAAACTAAAGGGTGCGTCGCAGTCGAGGGAACGAAAACGGAGCCCCACCCACCTTTTTCAGCTTAGCGTCGTGGTCGACCTGCTCATTGTACGAGCTCAGGATGTTCTCGCTGATTTGCGGAAGAGTCAGCTAAACAGAAAACGAAGTTGTGGGTCATTAAAAAAAAAAGCAAAACAAAACTTAAAAAAAAACAAAAAAAACCAATTTGATTTACTGTGAACGACTTAATTTTCGCGAACTTCGCAAATCGCCTACAATTTGCGAAAAATAGGTGCCGCAAAAAATTCCGGTAAAATGTAAAGACACTGGAATCTATATTGAGATCCCACTGAGTCGCGAAAATTAAACCCGCGAAATATTGAGCACGCGAAAAATAAGTCGTTTATAGTATATGCACCACAAAGAGGGCTGCCTTCTGCCATCTGTTGTAATGTACAAGTGATGCAATACAAGCTTAAAATTACTTTTAATAAGCTTACACAATAATGGGGTGATGCTCGCACATTATATGCAATGCCATTCGGATACTATAGAAATTAGAAGTTGAACTTTATATAGGGTTCGATCAGGAAAACAAAATCCGGTTTTTCGGACCACATGAAAAAACACTTCAACTCGCGGATAGCTGCAACTCCGCAAGAATGTGACGTGATCGGTAGTGATAAAATGCAAAAGTTTAAGTGCATGATGCTACCTGGATCAAAATATACTAAAGAGAAACAAAATGTCTCTATGGGCCGATGTCTACCTAAGCCTAAGTTTCACCGAACCGAAATTTTAGATTGTGGGCGCCTGTAGCAATTATGTCAGTGAAAAAACTTTTCAGCATGGAAAAAAAACACCATTGTCTTTTTAAGTGGTTGGTTCTTTTTTTTACCAAAATAAAAGCTACAGGTGCCCACAAACTCAAATTACGGTTTGACGAACATCAGGCTCAGGCGGACATCGGCTCATTAAGAAATTCTGTTATTCTTTTGTATCCTTTGATCCAGGTAACATTACACATTCAAACTTTCTCATTTTATCTCCGCCTCCAGCGTCACATTCTCACGAAGTTTCAGCCTTCTGGCATGCACAGTTTATTTATGAGGGCCAAAAAATAGGATCTTATTTCCTCGATCTATACCGGCAGATTCAGCCTAGGACAGAAATTTGTGCCCAATTAAGTATATAACGACTCCCCTACAGTAGGTACTGACAGCACTAAAAAAGCAGGGAGGTTCTTCTGTTGTCCTGCCCCCAAGCTTACTAGTACCTTCAATAATGCTTCAATGTCTCTCCACCCTTGAGTTTGCACGCACAGCCAAAGCACGACGGAAGGCGACGAGCGCGGGTTGCAGGCCAAGCATTGTAAAGAGACTAGAAGTTATCGCACATGTTACACACGGTAAATGCAAACAGATGACAGATTTCTTGTACTCATTTTTTTAAATAAAAAACTTTCAGCCTTTCCACTCTGGTAAAGAAGGAAGAGCAGCGGAGCTGTAGCTTCTGTTCTTGGCAGTGGCTTTCCAGGCAAGAGATCTGCTCTTTCGAAAGAAAATCTGAAGCGCTCGACGCAATGGAACTTTAGGCGATAGCGGCCTCGCGGCGGTTGCGGAAACATTTGCGCTGCTGCGCACGTCGCTGCTTGTTCCGCTCCCGCTCTTCTTTCTCCGAACAAATGTTGTCGCCATCTATGAGCGGCGGCAGCAACCAGTTGCCTCGTTGCCGGGGCTGGAAAGGTTGCCGCAATTTATGAGCAATGGAGGCACGCAGACAACCGGCAAACATAACACTCTGGACAGCTATCGCCATTTATGAGCGACGGCGGCTACCAGAGCGTCGTGTCTACCGCGGGTGTCAACATTTGTTTGGTACCGGACGTGATCCTGGGGAAACTAGCCCTTAACAGCTCCTCTGTAAAAACACTCCACAGCATACCTGATGTAAAAAGCTCTTCCTCTTACCAACTCCTGAAAGTTAGATTCGGCTTCTTTATTGAATCCTCGCCTAACCTACAGCACCATTCCGAAAATATCCTTTCTTTTTAGGAATAAAAACTAAAAAACAAAACAAAAACACACCTAACGCACACCTTGCTGTAGTGTAACATTTCTGTATTTTTACATCGACTTTCTCGGGCATACTGCCAAGTGTTTGTCGCCCCCCCTATGGCAAACACTTGGCATAATGCCAAGTGTTTGCCAGGCAGCATCCCATGGGCCATGCAACATTCTTAAGTTTTTCGCAGATTGGCACGCAATTTCTGAAAACTCCATACCGTAAGCGGATTCGTTCTCGCGGACTCAATATTTCGAGAATTTCGCGGAGCGAGGATTTTGGGAATATTTCAAGGGCACAATATTTCTAGACTTTTAGCAATGCGCTACGTGTCCGTAAGTACCACGGGGAGACATGCTATTAAGATAAATTTTTCTATAATTCTTGCGAGTTGCAAAGTGCCGGAAATTTAGTTGCTTGCTAAAATTGAGTAGTGCACGGTGTGCATGCCGACTCCATTCACCGTGGCCATGGGACCCTCGTCAATGTTGCACGAAGTCCAGGGGTTCCAGTTGGGTTGTGGGGGCGACCAGGGCACCACCCCGCCGGGCACCGGCTGCGACACCACCTGCTCCCCTTCCAGGTGGCGGGGAACCCTGAGCGAGAACGGCTCCTGCGGCACTTCGCCCTGAAAGGAGCGGGGGAGGGGTGACCAAAGAGAAAAGACGCAAGCATAGACGGTCGTCACTTGCAGTCTCGTAATATAGCTGCACCCATACAGTGCAATCCGCTTGTAAAGATACCGCATATAATGATGATAATGAGAACCAAACCTGGGGAACAGTAACGACTTCAAGGTTGAGTGCATCGATGGTTGCTTGAAGCTCCTCTGCGATTTCCGGTCTCACGGTCACTTCATACGGTTCCAGCTGAATGGAAACAACATGTAGCATGTAATGGTATTCCCAAAACATTGATAATCCAAATTTTCGAAGAGAGACGCATCCATCGCAACATTTCGTCATAATAGATGTTTAATGAGGCATGTCCGAGGTAGTTTTTCCCACCTTGCTCTCGGTCTTCTTCTTGGTGACGCCAGTGTACGCGTCGATGGCGCCCAGGTGAAAGAGCTGGCGCACCAGGGAAAGGGCGCAGGACTTCGAAGCAATCTGCTTGTTCGACCCCTGTTCCCGAGCGTGGACCTCTGTGGAAAACACCCAAAGTTCATAAAGAGAGCGCCCCCAAGTGGCACACTGCTTATGTGCAATAGTAAAGTTGGATATGTTTTATTCATATTTAGAAGGGGTACGACGCGACCGGTTTCATGCCTTGTCGTGAAGGTTTTTTGCCGAGATTTTGAACCTCCCAAGATAGAGCAAGGACTGAAGCAAGATCCTCCATTAAAGGTGGTTAGTATGTGCTTGTAGCCTTGCTTTCTCCGATAGCTCCAAAACCTGATATACTACCCAGTTCGAGTTCTAGCCACCCAAATTTATAACTGACATATAACCTGTTCTAGTAATGCTCCCTGTCCTTTTTTAACCATCCAGTTTCTACAGACAGTAATTTTAATTGGAAATATATATTTACTTAACTTGTAAGCTCAAAATTACAAACGGTCTCCAGATTGATGAGCCTGAGCTGAAAACCAATATAGATTTTTAATGAACAGCTCAAAGCAGATAATCTTGGTTAACTTCCATCTGGGTGGCACAGAGAAGACAACAAAACAAAACATAGATAATTGCAGTGTTCCCTCATATCACAAGAGAGGGTAACAGACCCGCTAGAGTTGACCACATGCTTCCTTTTTCCTACTTATGGGGCTGCTAGCCTCATGAATGCAAGACATATTAAGAAGGTTGTAGATCACAGGTGACTGCAGTAGGTTCTCCACCTGTAATGCGAGCTTTCTGCCTTAAATACCACATCTATCGCGGACACAGCCAAAGCTCGACGGAAGGCAACGAACATGTGCTGGGGGTAGAGCTTCTATAGCCTGTCACCTACTAGCTCTCAAATGTTTTGATGATATCAACACAAAACCTCAATGCAAATAACTTCAAGGCCCCCCAGAATGTGCTCTGCTTTAAAATGCTTTGCTCAAGGGAGCTCACTGCTCAACCTACTGTACACACCTCTAAAACAATGTGTTAGAAAAATTAATATATCAGAAGTCGGACAAAAAGTGTATAGTGGCCACTCACTCATGTTGAGCTTTCGTACGAAGATGGCCATCTCTGCAATGAAACTCCTGATGGATAGAAACAAGACTGTTACAATATTGCCGAAGCAATACACGACACGGTAGAAATCTGCAAATTACTCGAAGACATACTTCACTTGCTTCCATGCATAACAACACACACTTTCCTTTAAACTTAAAAAGCCAGAAGACATTTCAATGTAGTAAAGTTTAAATTAAGTGGCTGGCAGGATCACACAAGAGGTTCTGCTCTACACAACACAACAGAATGAAGACAGGAGTGTGACAACAGATGGAAGTATTATGAATGGCAAAACGGGAGATGAAAAAGGAATCCAACTTTAAACCGATTGATTCAATGATCTAAGAAAGACCAATTAGAACCAATGATGAAATGAATGACAAATCAGGTTTCAAGCTAAACTGATAGGCAAAGACTTCCGACGAGTATAACATTTCCCAAAGAAGGAGATCAATATATGCCTGGCTGCACTACCATAGAGTGGTAAAGCTGCTAAGGCTAGATCTAACAGTACACTACATTCCAAGACATCTGGTGCTTCGTGTCAACGCTTCTCTAATGAAAACAATGCATTCGTCTAGGAGGTATCTTACGTCAATTAATTCCAGTTTGCGTTAGTGTGTTACCAGATGCTTTACTACCACGAGTTAATAGCAACACATAAAAATAGGCTTTCACTTGAAAATGCCAAAAAAGCTGCCTGTCAGCAATAGCAAGGCATAAAAGTAGGCTTTCACTCTAAAATGCCAAAAAGGCTGTCTCTTTGCTAAGATACTGGTTTCTCAACCTGCAACTAATGCAGTGAGCCAGAATACTGGTACAAACTCAACTATCTTTCTTGCTATAAACTACTCAACTATCTTTCTTGCTATGAAACTATGGGCCCACAAAACACATGGGGAGGACACTGTCCAGAAAGTAAACTTTGTAACCCATAGTTGAACTATATTCACAATATAAAGTGCTATGAAATAAAGAAAAATGCATTCAAGGTGCCCAGAGCTTCACCTTCACTAAGCACCAATGAAAAGAAAAAAAAAACAAAAAACACAAGTCAGCTATACTGGCATCAACTACTGCAGGCTACATTGCCTAAGCTAGCATAGCTTCCACATTGCTCCAACAGCACATCTGCACGAGCGTGGCTTCATTCGGCGTCTCCTTCCCACGGGAGTGCGTGCAACTGAGATGCAAGGGGATGCCGCATGTTCCAGCAACAGTGCGAGGCTACAGCACTCTGGAAGCTACATCAGCCTTGGCAATAAAGAAGAAAATAGATGATGCCAAGTATGCGCAGTGGACACGAACGAAGCTTTGCAGAAACGTTCTCCAAAAGTCGCCGGCCCAAAATACATTTTTCAAAATCAACTTCTCTCGAAAAAGAATTTTCCAGGCTGCATCTCCCCTTTAACTTCAGATTCAAAGCCTAGCAATGAAAGAAAAAAAAAACAAGGAACAATCCCATACCCAAAGCAATTTCCCTCGGCCCATGTTCGTCCGAAACTGCACTCTTCCTGCCCAGAGCCACGGGCTTTTCACGGTGGGTGAAGTCCTCGGGCAGCATCCAGAGATCCCCTGTGGACACAGACCGGCCCAGCAGTTCCAGAATCGTTTTCTCAGGCAGGCAGACAAGTTGAAACTGCTGGGCCGGAGTGTACCACAAACCACCGGTTTCTTATCTCTGCACGGTAGGCATTGGAGCAGTGGGAAGCCCCAGAGTTTTGGCGCGCTCGGTCACGCAAAACTCGTCTGGGCTTCCCAGCGCATGTCACTGTCGGACGTAAGATCACGGGCATTGCTCAAGTGGATTCTGTTCCTTCATCGTTTGAAACTGTAGATAAAATGGCGAGTTTTATGCGATAGCAGAAATATATTATACTCCCATGAATGAGAGTATTCCTTCTAAAAATAATTCAGCAAATATTAAATACCTAGCCGGATTTCTAAAGGGACCACAAAAGTCAGCTTTCGTGGTTCTTTTAGGAGCATTTCACACATTAGCTTGACTTGGTGTAGCGTAGGACTAAAATTTTTGTTTGGCTCAGTCAGTATAGACCAAGATCAGTTAAAAAATATTGTCAAAAATAAGGAAACATCCTTAACAGAGAGCCCATCCAAACTTCAACATGTGACTAGGTAATCTGACACCGTCACATCACGCGGTTAAAGATCAAACACCAAGCGTTCTGTTAACTCCTTTTACAGAATCCCCCCCCCCCCTCCCCCCTTTCTCCCCCGAGCCATAAAGCGGGCTCTCTGTTAGGATAATGACTCGTGATTTAGTCTAGAAAGACGACTAGGATATATGGCTACGTTTTCTGAATGCTTGGCAAGCATGGGATATACTGAATGACTGAGCAATGCCTGTTACCTCGTCAGTGATTAGAAAGACAGTATCCTTGCACACTACTGACGTTCAGGGAGAGTGCAGTTTCAGAGCGCGGCATAAACACTTCGGCGCAAGTGGACAGACTAGAGGGATCTTGAAAGACTCTCCACTTGCACACTATACTTTTTCTAGATATTTAGAATCACTATGGATGCCTGAGAGACATTCATTGACATCCCCAAAATGCCTAAAATGATTAATAGACAAGCTGTCTCCGATGAATACAGAATATGCTATAGGGTAAGTTTACACGAGCACCTTCTGGTTTATTTGGAATTGTGTTTACTGCAAGTCCCCAGATTTCTTTGTGCTACCAAACTTGGTACTCCTGCTGGCAGCAAGCAATAATGGCAGCATCTCAATAAGTTCACAGCCTATGGATACACTCTATTATACTACATGTGTGCTTATGCAAGTGCCCAACGTTTTTTTTTTAAGTCGTGAAAGTAGTTGAAATACACGCAGGTATGTTAAGAAAAGGTTAGGCTTGGGATACACACCAATTCTAACTGAATCTTATCATTTTGAGTGTGAATCCTATGTGGTGCTGTATGAAAGAGAAGCAACTGAAATTACTACTAAACTACCACTGGAATAAAAGCATTATCCACACATAATTCATATCATACTCTAAAATGTGCAACATGTTAAATCACGACTTGAAATTTCTCTGCAGTTACTACAAAAAACTTGTCAATGGGTGCTCTCTTTCTGAGCAAGGAACTATCCCTGAACATTTTGGTGCAACCCTACGCTGAGGAATACGAAAGGTGACACTAGGAGAAAGAGTTGGTTGCTTCAAAATATTTAGTATATGCCAGCTCACTTAGGCCCTTGCGTTCTTTGTTGGTTAACTATCCTTGATAAACACAATATGCTCTAACATGTCATGTTTGCTCCATGCACATCCGACATGCAAGCAGTGATAATCCATTCCCACTTGCAGCAACGAAACCGCACCGCTACAAGAAAGTCAAGCTTTCTAGCTACATTTCTTGCTCATGGTCGTACATCCTTGCAGCACTTCAGTATTTGACAGTCAGTGAGCCTGAGGCCTAATTATTAATATATTACAGTATTAATCTTTGTTCGAGGTTCCCAAAGCCATTTAGAATACAACATCACACAAAATTACTCGTCAAAGGAGCCCTAAGCCAAGTCAGCATACTTATTGTGACTGGGCCCAATTTCACTGTATGTGTAATCTGCATTAATCTTGTTCATCTGCATAAATTGATGGAGCCTCGACTTTGCATTGTCAATCGTCCAGTTTCCGTGGATGCCGGAGTTCATGTCGAGGTCTTCAGCCTGAAGAACACACAATGCAGACTTCGTAAGCATACAACAAGGACAACAGGGCCATTTACAACATTTAGGAAAGGTCGACAAGGCCGAGTGACTGTGACAGGTGTGTTTTGTGGCTTACCTCCTCCAGCCTACGCTTTTCAGCAAGCCTGTCCAGGTAGGACACGGGCGGCCCTTGCTCATAAGGCAAGATTTGCTTGGGTTCGCTGTAATTTCGCGACTGAAAAGACGGATCGTTCGAGTTTTCTGACGCTGCAGGCGGGCCACCCGTCTGAAAGAAAATAATTTAAAAAAAGTCAATTGGAACGATACGAGTCGATGGTAAATGGCGATGATTTGCTTATAGAGAAGCGTTATAATTACCGGGATTTCAACCGGCACCTCGCCCTGCGAAATGAGGCCATTGCGAACAAGATACTGCAAGAAATCTCTCGCCGCATTTGTTTGGGCGTCTTTCTTGTTCGTCGAATTTCCGGCTCCGACATAATCGTAGCCTTCCACACGAACCTGCGTTCAGTGCGATCATCAAAGTCAAACCAGAGGAATGGAAGTGCTTAAATGGTGTGAAGTAAAGCAGAGTTTCTATGGGCATACCTCACACAGGAACCTTTGACGATGTCTCGGTCCGGTGTTCTTGAACTCGTACTGAGGTGTTACCTTATTCTTCCCACACCACGCGTAGAGGAACGTCTTTGTCAAATCCCCCATCGTAGAGTTTGATCAAGTTTATAGCGATGGGAAGGAAAGCGTAGACACGACGTTCTCTAGCACTCGGAGAACGAACTGACGCCAGCACGTCACGCAAGAAATGTCCAAGATGGCTTTCTGCCGGCTAGAGGAGTTCTTGAGTTAACCAGCAGCCGAAAACGTACACATGAAGCTCTGCAAAGGACTACGCACGATAGTGCGCGTGCGCATTTAACATCACGTGACGTTTGGGGTTTGTGTTTCTGTTGACAAATCGGCCAGATCTACACAATCTTCATTTATGTGTTAACTTTGCATAAAAGAAGTAGAAACGTGGTAATTTTTGATGTCAAAGTTACGACGTAGTGCGCACATTGTTGAGTACTATGGTTGAGTCACGGTGTTGAGTGTTGGGTTGAGTACGAGACTGATGCGACGCTACTACTTAAAGCAGACGTTTTTAACTTCACAGTTGGCAACGCAAACATTTGTTTACATTATTCTGCTTGCCCGCGTGGTTATTTGGTGAGGTTGGTGACACGGGTTTCCAGGCATGGGTTTGCCGGACAAGATATTGAAAACTCTAGAAGCCTACGGTAAATATTCGTTTATTTACTTTGCCCTCCACAAATATGGGCACACGTCTTATGGAATTGTTCGAATTAGCCCCTGAGGCTGTAACAAAAAGCGCCAGAAAACAATATCTGACGTTTCTCGTTCTGTTTTTCAGGCGATAGCCTTCTAGACGACGAGAATAAAACCGACACATCTCTACTATCAACTGATTTCAAAAGATTAAAACGCGCCAGCAGCAAGGCTAAAAAGGCGCCAAAAGCTCAGCCACAACAACAGCCGTCCAAGTTGACGGAGCTGCAGCGTATGAAGTTGGAGCTTGGATTGGACGACGTAGACGACGAAGCGCCCGTCGAAGAAAAGAAACCCAGGAGTCCAGAACAGAAAGTTCCAGTTATTGTCTTCAACGATCCAACGAAACGAAAGGTCAGTGGTCCGGTAACGAGGCATATTTTACATGTTTGCATGGGGATCCGGCCAACTCGTCGAATAGGGCAATTCGTCGAAGGGCAACTTGTCGAAAGGGAAAATGGTCGAAGGGCGATTCGTCGAATGGGTTGAATGACGGTCCAAGGTTAAATTTCGTGGTTCCTTTTTATCTTTTGACCTAAATTTTTATTTGTGTTGGGACTAGGTTCAGCGCCTTTGTTAAGTTACAAGATGGAATGAGAAATTACAAGGCAAAGACAGGAGAAAACTTTTAGACAAGTTGAAAAATGTGTAATCTCAGAGATTGTCCCTTTCTTACCTTTTTTTTAGGGCTGGGTGTCGATTAAAAGTTTTAACCCGATTAATCGCCACCTTTTAATCGATTAATTAATCGATTAATCGGTCTCGTTAATTTCCATACATAATATTTTTAATAAGTAAAAATAATATTTGTTTTCTGTTTTTGCCCTTGCTGAACATGAGGTAAAGGGCCTAATACACAAGTTTTAATATTAACCAACCTTGATGTGTAGTTAAGAACAGTTCGAAGACACTGACACATTATTACTTCAGCTGCATGAGGCAAAAGGTTCGGTGATATTATCCGGCAAGAGCAACCTCCTTTGATTGTTCACACTATAGTCTCTCTCTGCTGCTCTAAACGGACACTCAAACGCTATTGAAGTGGACGGGAGACGTGTAACCTTCTGCACCTTGTCAGGAGTTACAAATCTTCCCCCTACAGTTTACTTTAGGCTAAATTTTGACCTGAAGTTTGCCCTTCATAGAGGTGTTCCCGTCCTTGTCTGCGTGGTGAAAGCGCTTTCTTTTTACTTTATTTTGGTTCGTTAAAATATTATTGATTAACCGGTTAAAAAGATTAATCGCGATTAAAGCATTAATCGATTAATCGGTAGGTTAATCAATCAAATGTCCAGCCTTACTTTTTTTATTACGTATTTTGTAATGAGCCGCCGCAGACTGTCACCGCGATGCGGCGTCAACTGATGGGCCGGGTAGGTTAACACGCACCCCAGTAAAACACGAGCGACGTAGTGACCCTGCCCCACTGCACTGTGAAAGTGGCGAAAGCGGCATGTACTTGTTACCTTCAACAAGAAAGGGCAGACTGGAGGTCAATTTTTTAAGGAGAGCGCCAATCGTACACATTTTTTTACGAAAGAGTTACACATAAAAGACAGAACATGGATTATTATAGGGCAATATTTGCTTTAAAATTTAAAGAAAAACATTATATATTTGGCTTTAAAAAAGAGGCGACCAGTTGGCCTCTTCGACGAGTTGCTCTATGACGAATAGGCCTATTCGACGAATGGGCCGCCGACGAGTTGGCCTAGACCCGTTTGCATGCAGTGTTAATTGTTGCCCCATCGTGGGATAGGGCCGTTCTAAACAAATGAAATTATGTATGATTAAGTATAGACGATCCCTGCATAGATTATAATTCAACAGAGAAAATGTAACTGCAGAATGATAAAGCTAGTAAGCAGGCGAGCTGGTTTAGGTTGCACATCGTTGAGATCGGACACGCACACGTCTCAAACTGAGCTAACAACTTTTATTGAAATGATCCCTTATATACGTCTTCTTCCACGCCCACATCTGGACAGCTGCGCACGTCCCATGGCTGACCGTTATATAATTCCTAGTGCGGAAGAAGTCGCGCAGGATGCTAAAGCCTGATTCGCATGATGAGATTCTGCTTGCAGTTTTCAGTTGCGACGTCGCTCGGGCTACAAAAGCGTGAACCGTAGCCGAGATGGTCGACGTCGGTACTGAAAATTGCAAGCAGAATCAGACCAAGTGAATCAGGCACAACAAGTCGGTGATGGCCACTGGTAACAATTATCAACACCTTGTATCTACTGTTTACAGTAAGCCTGCTTACCCCAACCAACCTTCAAACTTAAAGGGGTAGTGCAATGATTTTAATGTTTAAAGAATTGGCAGTTTGCATTTTTTATATTGTTTATCCAAGCACAAATGACCAAAAACGCGTCACCTTGCCCCAAAAAACTGCTATTCCGCTGCGTAATCGCAAAGAAAAAAAACAAATTATTTGCTGATCGGCAGCCGCGTGTGGCGGTTACGGGAACTGCGATGACAACGCCTCTGGGAGATACGCAGAGGTCAACAAAACCCGTCCCCCTCTGCTGCTACACTCGACGTCGGCCCCGTGGCGATCCGTCTTTTGTGTCAATCGCTCACTGCGACAATGCTAATCCTTTAAAAGTCTACAATCGCGGAGGAAACGGCTGGGATCTCTGAAGAAGGGAAACCACGTGATCCCCCAGAGTATGTCACTCGAAAGGCGACGTGGAGAATTGAGAGGCACTTTGACCTTCAATTTGTTTCATTTTTAATGAAAAAAAACTAGCACTCTTAAGAAAATACGGCTTTCTGTTCTCCGTTCTATAGGGGACAAAGATTAATTTCCGCAGTTAATTGCCAAAGTCTGAAAATCGTTGCACTGCACCTTTAAAAGTCTTTTGAGGCCTGCAGTCACTTCCTATTGCAATTACAGAGCCAACGTTTGGTCTACGGGCCGGTGTCTGAAAGAGCAGACGACAAGCAGAAACATTTGAAAGAGCAGATGACAGCTCGAACGACCAGGCGGCCACTTGAACTTGAGGATGTACTGACCGTAGTCCGCAGGTGGTTCGTACACCTAACGGTTTTCCTGCATTCATGTTGAAACAAAACAAGTAAATTTAATGACCACAAGAGTCAACTTTCCGAGGGAGGGGGCCGGTCAGGATGGTGATGACCAATGATGGTGTTCACCCGATGGAAGCTCCCCAGGAAATCGAATAAGAAAAAAAGATACTAAGAGTTGTTCGATCCCACTGGACACATTACGACTTTGGTTGGTTTACAATAGCCAGTGAGGCCACGTTTATTTCAAAACAAAACGACAACAACTCAACAGTAATTTACATTACAAAACTCCCAAAATTAAAACCCATACTTTGGTCCCCAGTCTCCAGAGCTGAAGGCCCCTAAAATTTCTAGACTCGTAGGGGCCTCCTTTCCCTTCAGAGGCTGTCACTTCAAATTTGACCCATGTTACGTAGTACACTCTTACCCAATGATCAGCGAGCTGTCAGTGTGATCCCCCTCCGACACCACAACGGTCAAAACCAAATTCCTTGTAGAGTCACTACATGCTTTCCTCGCCGCCTGGCTGGTGCCACCCAGAAGCGAAGTTTCCACACTAACGGCGAAAAACCCCGGACACAAGCACACCTGCTTAAAAGCTAATATTGCAGACGGATGTACCGCTGCCTAAGACACGAGTTCCAGTGCCCCAAACCAACACCCAATCCGTTTGTTAACGAGCGGGGTCCGGCCAGTTTCCACCACGCCCCACGGCTGCTCGAAGCTCCCCATGCATGGGAGCGGAAGGCGACTCCCCGTTCGTGCTCCCCCGCGAGCGTATTCACTGCCGCGGGTCTACGATCCAGCACTTTCCCCCAAAAATGCCGACACAAACGTAGGCATATCGGCTTTTCAAGGAACAAATCTTGCTTAATGCGAAAAAAAATCCTTCCTTACTTAACAACAAGTATCCGTGAATTCAACCCAAAGTGCTTCCCACCCAAGCAATCTTGGTCCGACAGTGTCTGGTTTTTCCGTTTCACAGCACATATCCACAGTCTCGGACGAACCGAGCACATGAAAACTGACCTTCAAACCTTTCTCGGATTTTTTGGTACAGCCCCAGTCGCGGCGTTTTGACGAGAAGACAGGTTTTTGTCTGGTTTCTTTCAAAACAATGCAGAAATGCACGTCCCGTATGGTGACTTTTGCCCACAGCCTCAGACGAAACGTGCACTCGACGCGCCTTCACCACGCCGTGACATAACAGAGTTGACTTCGTGTATAGGTTTTCGGTGTTTTATTGGAGCACGTCTTGCATCAGCGCCCCGGCCCCCATGTGGTCAAGGCGCACAGCTACTGCCCTGCCTCCCTCGTAAAATGGAAAGATGTACGTTATAGGTAGGGCTCCGTGTTTTTGGAGCTTATTTTTTGCCTAAGATCTGGAGTTTATATTTTTTTGATTCCCGATTCTCCGAAATTCGGAGGTTAACTTTGCTGTGTGTTTCCATTAAAAATAAATAAATAATAACCAAATGTAAACGTATGCCAGATCAAAAAAAAAAAAAACGCTCTTGTATCAATTGAAATATCTGAATTGAATTTGAATTGACCAAAATTTTACCGGCAGGTGTTTTTCCGAGTTTTTCGGATTTATGCGAAAACACGGAGCCCTAGTTATAGGCTTCTTGCACCGGACGTCACTTCCGGTTAGACTTTAAATCGAAACCAATGTTGTCGTCTGCTATCAGTGCATTGGTGCCATGTTGGAGGCATTCAGCATCTTATTGCGGCTGCAGTAGTGCCGTAGAGTCATCTTTGTATAACCATGCTTCAGAATATTTTCTTGTACTAGTCAGTCGCAAAGGGTTCCTCAGCTGACACAAAGTGCACTCCACACACTTTGAGTTGGGGTGCCAAGTTTTTTTTATAGAGATCATAGAGTTAACACAATAATCTAGTGCTAAAGGTCGAACGCATTTCGTTGCTTTGGAAAGGTGGGCCATAGAAGCGGACATCGCAGTCCCAATAAGCCCATATCGCTGACGACAGCTTCATATGCACAAAGAAGCAGCAAAACATCACCTGTAAAATCTGTACCTTGTTATTTTCTCTCTTTGCAGAAAAACACCGGAATCGCACATTGACAAAATTAAATAAAGTTGACAAGCGCTCAAGCAGCTTCAACTTGTCGCGGCAACACATACATGCCTAACCCACCGTCTGCTTTCTTTTTCTGCTCTTCTGTCGCTTTCTTTCTCTAGGGACCGGAGATCTTAGTGCCGAGGGTTCGCTGCATCCTACTCCCGTCTTTAATCCCCTGGTTGAGGTTGTACCGGCATATTTGTAGGAGCCATTTATAATGCCAGCAAACCGATTGCTCAAGAGTCACCTTGTCCTGGTTCCTAATGATTTCCGGAATACTAGAAAAACCAATCCTGCTGGTGGAGCTCCGCTGTTGCCAACTTTTGTGGCTGGAACAATTATTTACGGCGCACCTGACAATTTTAAACCCCGAGTGAGCGGACAAACTACAGTACGAACACGGCCCCAAAGCACACAAAACATAGCATAACAGTGACGAATGCCACCAACATGGATTACGGCGATATTTACGAACTGATAGCAGCGTTGCATCACAATCTCGTGCAAGAACCCTACATCTTCCTAAAGTGAAGTGGTTTTCAATGATGATCAGCAAGTTTCTAATTGGAACCATGTGTTTATTTTCAGTAATTAAAAAGTTAATATGCAAGTTTTAGTTCATTGTTCAACTAATTACCTGTATTCTTTTTTTCAATTTTTGATGTGGCTGGCAGTTTGTTCCCGTAGATACTTTTCTCAACCATTTGATTTTAAGTATTTTGAGTGTTTGCTGAAACACCCAGTGTTGCCTAAATAGTGCTTTGGAAATTAGCACGCTTAGTGGCTAAAGAGGTCAGAATTAAAACTAGGCAAATTGTTTCTTTTAATGAGCCCAGTAAAGTTAGAGCTCACTCTACTTTGGTAGCAATGAGCACATTCTACCACACCGATTGCTTCAGTGGCAGGCTTTCAGCATCCAAAACAGCAATATGAAAAATTGACTATGGTGTCCTCTTTTTAACTATGTTGCTTTTGGTATGTTATAAATGCCTCGTCATCACTCTTGTTTTAGGTGAGAAAGGTGCCTCGGTTTGGAAGCCAAGATGAGGACAGCGAATCTCCCCAGCCAGTCGAGCTGAATTTCAGGAAGGCAAAGTTCGATGTCATCAAGTTTGGAATCAAAGGGCTCGAGAAGCCAAAACAAGTGGAAGCAAAGATTGCATTGGCAGTGCAACTCGGAGCTAAGGTTGGTCAATTTTGGAGATCACGGCTCTCTGGTAAGTAGAGATTATCAGATTGTTTTTTTTTTTTTTTCTTGCAGCCACCAAAGAACAAATATGTAAACTACAAACAGCTTATTCAAGAAAGAAAACAGCAAAAGGACATTATAAAAGAGCAGAAAGAAGTGGTACGTAAAACATTCCTTCATATGTTAATTGAAATATAGTCCTCCACTCGTCGAGTGTGCAGTAAAGAACAGTTCCGATATGGAACTAGTGTACTTCTGCTTTATTATTCTTACTGCACTGATTACCATAATTATTTGTATCATTTGGGCAAAGCATGAACATTTTAGGAGAAACATGGCCTCATAAAAATGTACTGAGCTAATCATTTGATTTCATAACAGAATGCCAAAACGGGTGTCAAACCAAAAAAGCAAGTTGCTTCCAAGCAGAGGTAAGCTTTCATACCCAAATAACTGCCATATTTACTAAAAAAAAAGAAAAAAAAAGTGCTGAAGTATTTTTGATTTTTTGCCGCTTTGTTTACAGCAAAGAAAAAAATCCAGAGAAGCACGATGGTGTGCACTACGTCAGCAAGAAACTGATCTCGAAGGTGCAGAAGAAAGGAAACAGGAGAAGATAGGGACCATTTTGTTTGCAAGCACCAATAAAATAGACCGCTATTCACGTCATTTATTCACTTGGGCTTAAACCTGTCCAACACGTCTCTCGGTTTCTTGTTGACTTTGGTAGTCCGGGACTCCTTGCCTTCCTTCTTCTTCAGCTTTTGCAGGTGTTTCTGTTCAATGGGTAAATACAAAATGATTTAGTCCTCATTGCATAAATTGAATGTATGCATAGCTTGTCTATAATGCAACATGAGTGACTGTGTTACGATCTGCTGTTCGGTTAAAACCTCCCTAGGCAAATATAAGGAGTCTAAAATGCCAAGGCTCAATCTAAAATGGGCTCTAAAAATTGGTGCCTGCACGTAGCAATCTAAACTTTTCATTATAGGTGTATTTCACATGTGGTTTTTACCTTGTAAACTTACAAGGCATAGCTCCTTTTCTGTAAAACAACTAGGGCCAAAAAAACTTGCCAGGGTCACAGCGACGCAGACAACCACCCAGTCCAGTAGCGGGGCACGTTTGGCACACAGATCGATAGCCGGCGCTACCTCCTTGTTCTGGCTTGCTTTTGAAAAATATTGAGACTGCCCGTGATGACTATGGTCTAGTAAAATGAACAATCTTTTTGTAATGTAACTTTGGTTTAAAAATAAATGCAGACAATAATAGCAAAACTTGAAGTAATAAAAATAAAACGCGGTTGCATGATGACGGCACTCCTGCTGCCGACGGATTTCGTCTGCGTGTCGTCTGCTTTCTTTCGTTGGTCGGCTACACCTTCCAACACCATCTACCAATATGTGTGCGTCGCCGTCTGCCATTGACCCTGGCTAGTTTTTTGCCTCTATTTCTTACAAAAAGGAGCTACACCTTGTAATTTTACAAGGAAAAACTCACCTGTGAAATGCACCTTTGAAGAAAGGATTAAATAGCTATGTGCAGGCGCCGATTTTTACGGCCCATTTTAGATTGAGCCTCAGCATTTCAGACACCCTATATGTATCAGGGGTCTCAAACATGCAGCCCGCGACTCTCTGGGATGCGGCCCGCAAGCCTCCCGCGGATTCGAGACCCCGTTCCGATGCCTTGAGCGCCATTAATAATAGTTCTATATTGTCGATTCATTTTCGCTCGAAAAAGAGCTCTGCTCATATAACATGTTCACACATTTTGTACTATTCTGTTTTCTTTTGGACAGAGTACTACTTAGCCAAAATATTTCTTCTCGGCCCTTTCTCATGTAAATCAACCGGAACGGCACTAGCAGTACAGGGCCACAAGCGTGAGCTCTTTGCTCAGGGAGGCACCTCGGCTGCACAAACTCTTGCTCGGCAGGAGTAACTGTCGAAAATAAAGCTATCAGCTCGGGTTCCAGCTGACAGGAATACATTTAAAATGGGAGTATTCCCTGATAATGCTGCTATAATAATCATCAGGAAAGAAAAAAAACTGCCACATGAAGATATTTCTGTTATGCCTGTTAAGCCTAGCGATTTGAGCGACGGGTCAAGACGGTGTGCTTGTTCTCGATCTATTAAAAACTGCCAGTACATTCGTGTTTTAAATCTTTTTATAACATTAGGCATGGGCCCAAAGTAGTCAAATACGCAAACGAAAGCTAAAGATGGCAAAACGGTGAGCTTACAAAAAGTAGAAAGCACAAGGTTCCTTCTCTAGAAAATCTCTGGGGCGTTACTGGGAAAGTCGACGTTTGCAGCGTGAAACAACACTGCTGTTTTTTTGTTTATATTTTTTATCCCAAAATAGCAAAACACTGCCCCGAAAGGACGAGCGCCAACGGAAAAAGGGGGGGGGGGGGGGGGACTAGTCTTTCTTGGACCTCGCCCTTCTGGGGGGTGAGCAATCTGGCCCCCACACTTGAACGAGTTTGAGACCCCTGCCCTATATAATAGTTTGATCAGCAACTACTTCAGCACTGAAAACCAGAAACTTGAATGGGGCGGCAAAAATCTTTCTTACTTTTAACACTTGGTGTGCTCCTTAGAAAATCTTCCACCAGTGACAGCTTATTTTTCCCAAAGCTAACACGTTCTTCAAGTTGCAAAAATTCTCAGTTATCATGACTAGGCAGCTGTGAATAGTAAATTTTGAGTTTAAAAAGAATAATTATGGCCAAATATTTTCAAATTGAATACCAAACAGCCTGCAACTTTGTCTAATACTATTGCACCAAGCAGAAACGAAAATCCAGCTGAACTCGTTAAAGGGGCCAGGAAACAATTTTCCAACTTTTTTCTGTTTAGCTTTCCTCCTCAACTCATAAATTGCCCATTGTACCAAACAGTTCAAGACGGAAAGGGGGGATTCCCCTCTTGCTCGGACTCTCGTTTGTGTACCCGGACACAGCCATTCTCCCCCTAGAAGATTAGCCTGTCACTCAAAACTAAGACAAAAGTTGCTCTCCCCACCCTGCTCACCCAGAAGCTGACAGTGCTGTGGAAGCTACATGCTCGTTGGGCCAGCCACACTTTTGCCACGTGATGACGCTCTTTTGCGCATACCCATGTGCAAAGAATGAGGTCAAGCGATGAAAGTGAGGTGGCTGATTGGTCCGGCAGGCGCGTAGCTTCCACCGCAATGTCAGCTTAGAGGAGAAGGGAATAAGTGAGGTCCAGTGTTGCGTGACGTGCGTTTGGACCCGGTGACGTGCTTTGGGGTCCGTGTATGTGTCACAGTGAAAAGGCAGAGAACTTACGAAGGGAAGGAGGTACGCAATAGTCCGCTGTGTTTTCAAATTTTCGTGCTGAAAGTCAGGCTTTGGACTTGCTACCTTTCTTTTTTTGGCCCACTGATCGATGTGCTATTAGTAAAATCCCAATCTAAATTGATTTATCCCAATACAAAATTCTTTTCATGGGCCCTTTAAGGTCACTTCCAATCTTTAATTCATCTATTTATGAGCTCAGTTAATTTCTATTTAATTCATTGACAGTAGAGTGGAAGCAACGAGCTGTTGGCTTTTTGTCCTGTGATTGGGTTTGTAAAGTTACATGTAGTGCAAGGCTGACTGCTGAGCCAGCAAAGTAGCCTCTACCCCGCTGTCAATTTTAAACACAATATAGTGTCCAGAAGCGTCTCCGTCTGCTTGCTTACCTTAAGCCTTTCATCTTTGAGCATCTTTTTCACCTTCATGCTCTTGCTTAGCTTTCCAACCCTTGGGCTGTAGTCAATTTTCTTGGGTTTGACCCACTGCAAAATGGTGGTTCCACAAGTCAGATAACAAAGGTGAATGCACCCACAATACTACATTTTCACTTCCCACTATAATGCAGGAAAAGTTTCACATGGCAATATGTACACCTTGTCTCAGCTTTGGCCACCGTCGCAGCATTAAACGACATTAGTGTGAAACATGTTCACAAGGAGGCAAGTTGAGCACTTTGCTCTGTACTCAATGCAAAGCATAATAAAACAGATAGAAAACAATGTTTTCCAGGAGCAATTTCACTCATTTCAGATGTGCCAGCCAGTTAGGTGCTGTTGATTAGTATTATTAATACACACCACTACTTTCAACAATCGATTAGTCAATACTCGACCAATCAATTTGGAATTAACTCCTAGAAATGGGTACCTGTTTATTCCATGCCTAACTTTTACAAGTTTTAAGTTTTGCTCCCGCCAGAATAACCTAGTACCATGTGACCATTTTTTTTTTTTTTTTTCACTGAATGTGGACTTGTCTAGAGCTCACGTGATTAACCCTCCTTCACTGAACTCACCAGTTTCTTACTGTTGGCCTCCACTCTGGTCTGCATTGCCTCCGTATCCACCTTACCCAGCATTCTCGGATCGAGGCAGATCAAGTCTGGCTGAACCTGCAAACACAATGGCATGCCTATAATGACGACGAACCCAACAAGCGATCTGAAAAGCATCTGACCTAGCTAAACCTTAATCCCCCATTCATGGGGGCAGGCAAAGAAGCCATGCCTTGAAGGTATGCACGTGCAAGTAAATGGAAAAGGGAGCGAATGAATTCGGCAGCTTGAACAGCTGCAGTGAATACACCTAGTAGTCAACAGTCTTTTAAAAGAGAAGAATGAAACGACAGCTGTGAATATCTAATTGCAATAGAACCTTGTCGACGCTTATCTCGCCAACCAGGAGCAAGAGGAGGGCGTATACTTGCCTTGTCGAGGAGAGCCTTCACTTCCATCTCCCTTCTCTGAGACTTGGTCATGTACGGGTTGCTCTCCAAGGCATCAAAGTTGGGCTCGCCCGATCCTGGAAGGAAAGGGTGTCTGCCTTAAGGAGCTTTTCCCTCGGGCATGACCAAGCCAACACAATTGCAGATGACGCCTGTCGCGAGGTTTTCTACCCCTGTTTTCGTCCCCGAGAGTATCGAGGCTAAAACCCCTTCAAGAGTGAAATATGTTGTCTGGATGCTCAAGACAGCAAGAGGTTAGTCCGGCTCGAAGTGGCATCTGGTGTCTCCGCTGCAGATGGGCAATTCGGTTGGCGTGGCGCGACCGCTAGCCTAGGACGCCTGCCGGTACACAGATCGTCCAAACTGGAATGGCCAGGGGCAGAAATCGAACCCAAGTAGTTTCCGCAGCATGACCTTTCATTTCTGAAAGGTCGTGCCGCTTCGAGCTGCGATGCACCCACATGCTTGGTATCCTGTCCCCTACAAGATCCCTCCGTGATTCTGAAGGACACTACTGAAACTTGCTTATACTAAAGACCAACCCCATTTCGCAGAATGCTTTCTCTATATCAGTAAGCTGCTACAACAGGACTGCTAATTATAAATAACAAGCCTTGCGGAAAAAAAATTACGCCTCAGGGTAGCATCTTTATAAGTTGAGCTATTGCAAGCAAGCCACCATGCAGCTCGGCCCATCAATCAAAGGAACCTATAGGTCCATGGCACGGGAAATGGTGAGATACGCAATACTACATTTTTCTTACTTGCTTTCATACAATGATGTCCTGTAACTTCTTGTCTCTCGTGTAACAGCTGTATGGGCGCTCGGGAATTGAGCAGCAACGTACAGAAGCCGGGAACGTGAAGAACGGCACCGAGTTTGGAGTGGCGGAAGTTACAAAACACACACCTGGAACCAGGATGCTGGAAAAGCCACGCTGGTGTCCGATGCCAAGCACGTCCTCGTAGGGACAGAATTCCAGAGCCGACACGGTCGAGGGAGCCTTGTGCCGCAGGTAAGGGGACGTGGTCGAAGTGCGACAGCAGTTTCTATACACCTACAACAACAGCAAAAAAAGAAAAAAGCCAGAGTGGTAAAAAATGTATTTATTTATTTGTTTGTTTTTGTTATTCCACCTTATTCACACTGTTAACCTATACTTGGGTTACTACAGTCAGTGACACGTTAAGAATTTGGTAGAAGCTAGATCAGCTCCAGCATGTGCTTGCTGACTTCCGCCGTTCTTTCACTGCACATGCGACGAATTGTTCCCAAAAGCAAAGTTTGGGCTCTAGGCAAAGCGTTTACTGGGTCCTTTTAGCCTGCCGCTAACTATAGAAGAGTGAGAATTAAATGCCCATACAAAAACACCAACATGTGGTGCTACGATAAACAATGTTCTTGGAGAAAAAGTCCAAAAAGCTAGAAAACAGTGCAGTGAGGGATGTTTACCAACGGGAAGCAATCTACAAACAATGTGACAGCAAAAGCCAAAAAGAAAAACAAGAAAAGATGCGTTTGAAGTTTTAGAAAATGGCAGTTGCCACAAAAGCGTCCACTGTTATGCAAAAAAAAAGTAGACCTTCTATAATAAATCCGATAAGATAGTGGAAGATACCACTTGTACAATGTAGCAAGCTTTCCACACGGGCCCCTTGGCAACTAGGTGCGAAGGCTATGCGGTGAGCCCGCGAGTGATTAGGCAAATGTATGCACATGTTGCTAATGTAGCGTGCAGCTCTCACAGTTCATTTAAGAAGTCGTTCCTTTACTTGTTGCTCGAACCAACCTACTGGAACAAACACCCCTTTGTGAAAAGTGCTTACTGCAACTACCGTAATATCCCGAGAGATAACCCACCTAATATTGAGAGGAAATTTGGTGAAAATAAGGAGTGGGCTAACTTTTGGTGTGCAGTCGATAAAAGTTGAAAAAATTATAATTTTGGATAATGTGTTTCTGCAAAACTTGTTACTATTACGGCAAAGGGCAGTGAAGCAAAAATGATTGTACTTCCCAGTCAGCAAGGTTCGCTTATATCCAGCCATAGCTAACTAGAAGCATTTACGCCGTGGTCATCACTGATCTCAACACTACGATTACTAGGAGTGGGCTATCCTTCGGTGTTTAAAAGAAAATAACAAATCAAGCCAAAGTTTGGGTAGGTTACCTTTCGGGTGTGGGGCGTCTCTTGGGATTTTAAGGTAAGTGCTTACTGTAACTAAGTGCTTACTGTAACTTAACTGGCATTTACGTGCATTAAGCCATGTGTATAATTTGATGCATTCTCCAAGATGTATGGTGGAAGGAGTTTACAGGTGTAGGGACAAAGCGTAAGTTAGCCCAAAAAAAATGTCTTAGTATGCTGAGACACCTTTCTATTTACTAAGCAGTAGGAGAAATCTTGAAGTGGTAATACAAAACGACCTGGTGCTACAAACAGAATCCAATCCCAAACCTAATTGTGCAACTTCAATGAAGGGTTGCAGGTGTACAAAAAGCAAGCATGTGCAAACAAGCTGGTGTAAGTTTAACATAATTAAGAAAAAGTTCCGGGACCAGGGCAAGAAAGGAGGACAGGACAAACACATACTTGAGACTTTGCGTTTGTCCTGTCGCCCTTTTTTTACCCTAGTCTCGTGGTGCTTGGCATGAACTGATTTGGGTGACATGCTACCGCAAAGCGGGCGCAGCTCTCCCAGTACGACACTAAGATTAAACAGCGCACAAATTGTCGGAGAAACAGAAAAGTAGTAGAACGGAAGAGCGCTGTTCTTCTCTTCCTGCGACGTTTTGTGCCGTGCTTGATCTTAGTTATGTGCCAACTACCGTATTTACCCGAAAATAGGTCGACCCCTATTTATTGAGCCCACCGAGAATAAAAAAAAATAATTCAAATATAGGTCGACCTTTTTTTTCTTTTTTTTTAAAGAACAGGGGAAAGTTAGGGCAAAAGAAACAAACCTTTATTTACAGCACTCTCAGCTAAATCACAGGGCGATGTCAAAAACTTATTCATCGTCAGAACTTCCGGACATATCATCGTCCGAAGCTTCGTCAGCTTGGTAGACATCCTCACAAATTGGCAACAATACCTCACTGACACCGTTGTAAAATGACGACAAGAAGAAACGAAAGAAGGTGGAGACGGGCGAGCAACGAAAGACCAAATACAAAGACATGAGCAACGCTGCGAGCCCCGTGAGCAACACGCGACCCGCCGAAAAAAACAAACTAAAATACCTCCAATGTTTTTTTTTTTTTTTTTTTTTTTTTTTTGCGCGCGCGCGTTTGCGAGTGAGAGGAATGGAGCGCATAGGAGGGCAAAGTGCATGGCGCATCGCGTTCCTCTCCCTCCCCTTCCCCCTTGCCCAGCGAGGGGAACGCTACAAGCATGATGGCGAAACCCGACGCCGAGGGAATGTGCGCGAGAGCCGTAGAGCTCTCGCGGCGGCCACGGGCTGTCGGCTGCTGCTGTTCGGTTGTTTTTGTGCATCAAAAGCTTTTTGAAACAAGAAGCTGCGCGGCTCTACCGCGACGCCGGCTAGGTGATTGATAGCTCCATACCCTCTGTAGGGTTTCAAATTTTGGTCGCAAATTAGGTCGAAATTTTTTGGTCATGATTATAGGTCGACCCTTCATTTTTGACAACATTTCCGAAAAAAAAGGTCGACCTATATTCGAATAAATACGGTAGCTCAAATTACCACTTTACTCCCAGTACGAGTTTCAAGAAGTAACTTACGACAAAAAGAACAAGAATCTCCCCTTTATGATTGCTGTTTTAGCGTGTATAGCTCATGTGGGAAGAGAGGATGCCTAAGTCCACCTTGCTCATCCACTGGCAGCACGCGTGGAATACTTTGCTGATGGAGGCTGTGCAACTGCCCATACCTCAACAAAGTTGCCCACTGAAATGGCCAGCAGTTCCCTTTGGCTGAAGGTGACATGGCCGGGAATAGCCTTCAGGGTGTAACTGTTGAGGCACTTGTACGTTCTGACGTCCCAAATGTTGAGGGTGCGGTCTGCCGAGGCTGTGGCCAGGTACCTGCAATCAAAAGCAGATCATGGAGCAAGATGTGCATAACTGGCTTCTCCACACATCTCTAAGCAGCTAAGGGCCGAGAGGAGAGAATGCAGACACTAGTACCACAGGAGCATTTGCTTTAGCACAAACACAGTTTCCCTTCTTTGTCTGGGTATGTGGTTTACACAAACAAAAAGAAATGCCAATTCCTTGCAGCCAAATACTTCTTTCTGCATTCCTATTTATGAAACCGCCTTGTTCGAGAGAACTTTTATCCAGCAAGCCTTTTAAATCAGAAACCCATGGCTTTAGAATAACTTCCCCTCAAGCACAATTTTTTTTTTTTTTTGCTCAACTATGGCACGTTTTTACGAGTAAGACATATATAAAATAAGTTTATAAGTTAGCCGCTGGGACTCATGTGACAAAGTCCCTTCCCTTGACGTGTCTGATGGTGTTGGAGAAATGATCACAGAACTACTACTGCAACTGCAGCTATCTAGAACGAAAAAGAAATTCTCGCATTCTCCACCCACCAAGTGAGACAGTAATTTTCCAAGATATGGGACTGTCATAAAAAAATAAATGCCTTTGCTTTCAAAGGAGGATGAAAGAGGACTGTTCTCTAAATGCATGTAAAGACAACTTAATTAACTCCATCAGCTGTAACTCACTAAATATGTGCCAGGAGTCGGATTCTTTTGTACAGTTCCCTAGATCAGCACAACCAAAATGTTAGTACTCACAAGCCACGATGATCCACGGCAATGTCTCGGATCGGAGCTTTAGAACAAAGCATGCTCACGACCGGCTCCCTGATGTTCGGGGACCACATCTTCACGACGCCTGTCAAAATGTCGTAAAGATGAGTCTCTATAGTAAATAACCATACAACTAGGAAACCAGGGTGGGGCGACATACAGCAAAATACAGAGTATGCAGCCATGTTGCAATAAGTGCTCACCCCTACTTATGAAACATTCGAAATACACCTATGCAAAGGACGTATCAAGCGCCCACCTCAGCAAACTTTCGAGCCAACCGAGCAATCCAAGGTTTTCCTTTATGTCAGCTGCTTCGAGAAGCCAGTGAAGCCTTACACGCATGCACTTGTGCAAAGCAGTGATGCTTGATGCGAGTGCTGGCGCAAAGCAGGCTTGACCGGAGCAGCATGGCTGTTTTAAAAATTGGGGGTTCCGCCAGACTCCTAAATTTCTACTGCACTTCATTGGATCAAGCAAAGGCCTACCCCTACCATGTACCCCTCTGCTTTTGGAGCTATCTTTATTTTTTCTGGTCATCAAGTAAACCCCCTTAACTTGAAGTCAGAAAACTTGAAAAAAAATTCGAAGTAAGCGAAGTTTCGGGATAAGCAAGGTACGTAAGAATGCGAAAAAAAAAAGACGAAGAGTCGAAGATAACGCTAAAGGTGCACTAAAGACGTTTCTGAGATTGTCTGTTCTTGGGGATAACTTATCTTACGGGCGCCAAGCATCCTAGAAATCCAAAAATTATGCTTATGCGACGTCTATTTCCCTACTAAAAATGTGGCAGGTTTGTGCCACACCCCTTTAAAAGCGGAAAAATCTGGAGCACGGAATTCAGCAGAGGCGCCGGCAGCGTGACGATGGGAGCGCGTCAGCCAGCCACAAGCCGCCTCTCTCGGAAAGGTGGCTCGTGACTGGCTGACGCGCGCCAGTCGTCATGCTGCTGGTGCCTCCGCTGTATTCTGTGCTCCAGATTTTTCCATTCAGAAAGGGGCATGGCACAAACTTCTATCACATTTTTAGCAGGGAAGTAGATGTCGCATGAGCATAATTTTTCGATTTCTGGGATGCTAAGATCCCATAGAATGAGTTCCAAAAATAGACAATCTCAGAAATGTCTTTAGTGCACCTTTAAGTGTGAGGGAGAGAGAAACAGTGGCAATGACTGCCAAGAGGTATCAGGGAGAAAAAATAAAGTAAGACAACAAATGTCCTCGAAGTGCACACTGCTCCCCACGTTGCCGTGCTAAGACATCATTTTTTTTTTGTTTTTTTTGTGTGCGCTTGTTTTTGGATTGCTGTTTCTTTGTTACCATATGCCACCATTATATTGTTTGCTGTGCCCTGCCATTTTTTTTTCTTAATAACGTAAGTGGGTTGTGAAAACTTTTCGAGATAAGCGATGAGTGCCTTTGGGGAGTTCATTTCATGACAAGAAAATCTTTGGACTTAAAGGGACACTGACAGGGTATTTATGCTCGCCGAGGTTTTTAGTTGTACGTGTCATATGAGAGCTCAACTACCCAGAACAGAAATTGCGGCTCGAAATTCGGTTTCTTTCCGCCCGAAAACCGCCGATCAAGAACTGGCCGTTTCGAGTCTCGCTCACTCTCTTTTTCGAGGTCACGGGCCGTTTTCTAAGGTATCGATGCGACCACCAAATTTAATCGAAGTCGTGGGTCACTGAAGGCACACACTCAATATTAAAAATAGAAAAAAATATGAAACCCATTTTTTGTGGCTTCTAAAAAGCTGTAAATACGTCGATTGAAAAAAAAAGTTCCACAGACAACCGGAAGCATTCTGTGCGTTCGTCGTTTTGTGTATCGTGGGCATGATCGTGGGACTCGCGGGGACGGCGATGGCAGCGGACGACGGGCGTGGGGCCTCTATTTCAGAACTGTCGTTCGCGGTACCGGCGAATTCTGTCTACCGTTAAAAAAGAAATTTGGGACTGATCAAAAGAATTGGTATTCATCCCGTACGACACGCCCGGCCACCAAGCCGATTTGCACGAAGACGTCGCCGAGCCGTCGCTCCCTTCTCGTGGCTGAAGACATCGCTCGCGCAAACGTCAAGCACGACGTGTCTACTTCGAGTTGAATATGCACGCGTACGATTTCTTTACTAGGTGCGAATGTCCCCAAAGCGTGGTGCTTCCCGACTTCGACTCGGGAGTGCTTTTGCTAGAGAAAAATCGACAGCAAACTTTCCAACTTACAGTTTACCGGCTTAATTATTACAAAGGAAAGATATCCACCAGAAAAGAGATCCCCCAGTAGCGCAGTGGGAAAGACGTCCGGTTCACATGCGGTAGGACCGGGTTCGATCCCCCGTGAAACTTTTTTATTTTAGTTTTTTTTCAAACATTTCCCGATGTTTACGTATCTTTTTTTTCTTTTTTTACAATCATCACTGAAGAAACAAAAAATAACAAACAAATGTTGTGGACGATACTTCGCTGAATTAAACGGTATGGGATTTCCGTTTTGACACCTGTGAACTCAATGTAATCACTTTCCACAAAATGCAAGGAGCATATAAATCAGGTAGCGTCCGCTTTCCGAGGTGCCCATAAATAGTCTACAGGAATTGCAGCCAGCCATTGGTCCCGATCCCGTTGATCTTTCGGAAACTCTGTCGCACAATGCCACTTCTGTTTCGGACGCAGGACATGTGAGCCAGCTCTTCACGCAACATCTTGGGTGTATTCTTTTCGGAGCCGATCAAAATTCACCACGGGCACTCACTACTCATCTCCAACTCCTCAATATACAAAACAACTCATCTTGGAGTACAGAACAACGAGCGTAACAAACATAACTGCAAAAGAATCGCCCGGCGAGCAGTTCCCGCACGCCGCATCGCACGCCGCATGTCGTGTCGTCTGCTACGGAGAGAAAAAAAAACAAACAAACAAAAAAAAAAAAAAAAAAACGCACGGTCGGGTGTAGCCACGTGACTTCCGCCACTCACACTCTTCTCTCCACTTCTCCGACCTCCATCGGGTTTCGGTTTCAGTTTCGAGCAGTTGCGTCTTTCGGCTTTATTAAAAAAATACGCTACTCTGTTACAAAATATTAATTGGGTAGTCCTCCGACACCATAATGAAGCCCCTGGCAAAAAATGAAAAAAAATTTTTGGGGGGTGTCAGTGTCCCTTTAACCAATATTTCGAGATAGTCGAAATTGAGGCTACCTCGAACTTGGCTATCTCGAGCGAGCGAGGGATTACTATTTCAAACTTTTGGGTGAATACTTGCTTGGTACTTTACGGTATAGTTGAACACACTACACCACCTCACGAAATATTTTTTGAAGCCCCCACAAAAACTGGACAAGGTTAAAATGAGCATGTTGGTTAACAATTTTAGCACTCTACAAATTAGACCTACTGTTGCTGCCATTCCCATGTCTCAACATGGGAAGGCTTTACGCAAGATTGATGACGAACTCGCACAAATCCAACATTAGTGACAAGAAAGCCACAGCATCTACAAAGAAAATAACCTCTTGTGCAACTGAAGTGATGAAGTGAAGCGGTCAGAATAAAAAGAAAATGCGAAAGGCAATAATGATTGCATCTCTGTACAGCCTCCGAAAAGCATCTACATTGGGAAGTTTTAAGAGGAGCTGCACAAAATTGTTCTGATCATACCAAGTCACCAGATGTCCAGAGACATCTTGTGGCTTGAAATAAATGTCCATGTTCTCAAACTCAAGAACCTCAAACCAAGATCTATCTGTGTGCCTGTAAAATATTGAGAAACCGCGTTGCTCTACGAGCTAGTTCTAATTCACCAAAGCTGTGCCATGGAAGGCCTCTGCTTCGACATCAAGCTGGCTTGCAGGTTGGCACACTTTGAAAGAACTGTTAGCTCCCTGTGAAGCTGGATGAAAATGGGTAGCGCTGCACAAGGACACAGATGTCAGTGTGCGCTGCACAATATATTTAGCAAGAATGTAACTTTTCGACACTGTCACTGTTTGCTCATACCAAAAACTGTCTCGCACATCAAATATTACATCCTAAGTTGGTGCCAGAAATACTTAACCACAATTTACCATACTAGAAAGAAATCTTGTTAGTGGCCTCATAGCAAAATGAGATAAACAGCAAAATTCAATGACTGTGTTTTCAGGCTATCTGCACTGTACTGTCCCAACAGTCTGTGGCAGCTTAGAAATGAAAGTGGAATTTTTCAGGACAAGCCAAACTGTCAATCGATGTACATTATACAGTCCCCGTTATGACTTACTTGAAATATAACTTCACTTATGAAAAGAATTAAAAACACAATGTATGTTTTCAAAATCGGGTTTCTCCCAGACGTATGGCATTGTTACTTGGTGCTTACCATTTGTGTGCCCAGTGAGCAGGATGGCATTGTAGGGGTTCTGCTCCATTACATTGAGCCTCCCAGATTTTGCACTAAACTGAGCAACCATCTTTCCCACAGACACATCCAACCAGGACAGGAACCCTTTCTCGCTCTGGCGGGAGACAGCATGGCACAGGAGTAAGCAACAATAGCCAGTACGCAGGTCTCGATATGTCTTCCGTCATTCGTAAAGTTCAAGCATTCATCAAAGTCCTTTTTTTCGGTGCCCTCCTGCTTAGGAAATTATTTTAGTCTGATCACAGTTGGAGCTGGGCTCGGCCATCTTAAATTCTCTCACTTTATCAAAGGCAATTGAAGATGTACAAAAACACATAGCAAGAATAGTGTATGACTATTATATCAGGAGGAGATATTTCCACCATTATGAAGTGTTATTTTGCCACTTGTCATAACATAAGCTTGCTGCAAGGAGGCAATAGAGATTTTATATTGCTTCACAGAGTTGTTCACACCGAGGTGAACTCGGTTAATTGTTATCAGTTTATAGATTTCCGCAATGATTGGTTCAGGCTTTTACAAACTTTTTTTTTTTATCCATCCTGTTTGCCCTCTGCGTCGGTTTTGTAGAGGATTCAAATAGCCTTTAATAATGAACACTGATATTCTCATTTGCCTTCACGAATTTACATTACATATGCGTAAAGGGATGTTTAAACATTGCAAGCTGGTTCTTGTATTCCTTGTAGATGTTGCCTTAGTTTTACTGTGGCCTGTATTTTGATATGCTACAGTATCCAAGTTATGTTATGTGTACCACGGTATAGACCAAAGGTCTCAAACATACGGCCCATGACTTTGCGGGGCTTCTCAATGTGACAAGACCTAGCATTGTATTTGGCAGAGTCATTGCTTGACGACTCAATCAATAATGCAGAAGTTTTTCCACCTAACTATGCTGTTTATTGGTGGGACAGGAATGGGCATGGTGGTGCATTGACTTTTTGCAATTTTCATTTGAATCTGTGTGATGCAGGGCTTTTTCTACAGACCGCCTGCATCTAGAGACGATTCAATTCCTTCTTTATCAAATGCACTTTCAATAATTTCTTTGATTACCTTGTACTGGGGAGAGAGAAACTTTCCTGATATTAACTGGTTGAAGGTTTACCGAGTCGTACAAACTTATCCATGCCTTAGAAGACATTTACCGACTTTGTTTCAAGCTTTTCTTTAAGCTTTTATTTATAGCAACACATCACATTTCCTACACGCTTGGAGTCTAAAACAGCCAGCACCCTGCACCTAATCTTTAGTAATGAACGTTCCATTATATAATCTATATCCGCTCTTCCTGGTATCAGACACTGTTGCTCCTAAAGGAGAACTTAAGCCTTGTCTCATGTCCATATTTTTGTTTCTCTTTGCATTGCAAACAAGCTCAACTATCCAGAAATCACGACCCAAAAGGAGGTTGTGATTTCCTGCTCACCGCAGCAGCCAGAAGGAAGTGGTAGGGAAGGAAGGTCATCTTAAGGATGTTGTCCATGGTCTTGAGGCAGTGCAGCTCCACCCCTTGGTTGTCATAGATGTAGGTCCACGACTTCTGAGCCACAGCATACATGGTGGGCATGTGCAGCCACTGTACATCGTGCACGGACTCCATGACGTTGGTCTCGCACAGCAGGTGCTTGGTGACCCAGTCCAGAGCAGCGACATGACCGCGATGACCACCCAGCAGCAAGTGCCTATGAGGAAGGTACAGAGTAAAACAAAGCATAAAAAAACATTTTTTTTTTTCATTTTAAAGGTTAGTTTTGCACTAAAGTTAGGCACTGCCATGTCTCAGCAAAATGCAAAAAAGTGCCATTGCTGTGCTTTCACCAGCAATGTAGCACAATGTTCTACACTGCACTACACTGCTCACTTGCACAGCGTGCAACACTCCCTACACTGCACAAAAGCAAACCATGAAGCTTTTCCCACTGGTAATTCAGCATGCATTTCAACATGCCACTCATCTGAACTCTGGCATGTTTTCAGACCACAATCGATTGAGATGTTCTTAAAGGAAACTTGTTATATTTAGGTAGCTGGCTTCAGCCTTGAATTGATCAAGACTGTCTCATCATCTACCACAAACGCAAGGTGTAAGTACACGGCTACACGTGAATATTGAAACACAGTGCTTCCTTATGGAGCAATGGCAGTTCTTTCCATATAGGGAACATGCAAAGAGGAGCTATATTTTGGTGTCTTAGTCTGAAAACAGCAAGTGGCATGCTGAAACATGTTCCGTGATGCAAACCGGCACGCTCTAGGAAAACTCTAAAAACAGTGCGAGGTGTTCCACAGAAGATGGCAACAGCAGCAACATTTGTTGCCAGTACTTTCAGCACATTTTCTCTGGCAAATTTCAACTACATAAAGCTGCCCCCCCCCCCCCAACATATAAGACATAACAAAAGTTCCTTTTGGGGTGTTAGTACCGGACACCCTGCTTTGAACAAGAACAAATGTATTTCAAATGTAGTTTAGTTAAACATACCTGCTGTCTCTTGAGTAGTTGATTGAGTATGGTCCATACTGTGGCAAGCTGAGGTCAAAGTACTGAGGAAAAAAAAAAAACAACAGTGCCTGGTCATCTTGTAAGGCAAGCATGTGAAGGCTGTTACAAAAACGAACATCAAACCCGGAGTTCTTGGAAGAGCAAGTTACAAACCTTGGTGGCGCTTGTGATGTCAACGGCTTCGGCAATGTCCCGCTGGAAGAACCTGTGGGTCTGTTCTCCATCATCAGCCTCAAGGTATCTACAAGGGAAGGAGATCATTGCAAACAAAATACTAGACATTCCGAGCCAAGAAAACAAGAATGTATTTCAAAGTTGTGTTGTTATCTCACCCCACATCTTCAGGGAGCAAAAGCTCTGCACGTGCAGCTTGGAGCACCGATTTCCTTACTTTTTTGTTCTGAGCACGGATTGTTTGACGCTTCTGCTTCGTTTTTATACCACTCTGAAATGCAAAGAAAAGAAAATGTAGGAAGACTCAAATATGCCTAAGTGTTTCAATCTTTTCATGGGAAAGGAGGGGGGGGGGGGGGGTTTAAGAGCAAAGGTTGATAAATTCCTGGCCACTTGCTCAATCCTCCCTCCCTCCACCCCCGCCCTTTCCCCAATTATGGACTCGTTCGGGAGTTGGCATTTGGACTTACAAGTGACATGTGACTCGTGCGCTTGTATTTAGCCGCTTTCCTTTCATCCACAGGTGCACGTCCGGGATGTGAACCTTGAGGACCCGAGTCATCGTGGCCTTTAGCCTTTGGTTTCGGCTTTCCTTTCTTTTTCCTTTTCGCCGGTGCTACTTTACTGACGACGGGAGCGACTTTGCTCTCCGAAGGTCTGTTGTTGGCCCCCGTGTCAAAGTATCTCTTCATCTGAGCAGGGCAGATAACAACAGCAGCTGAATACGCAAGAAACAGTAAAGTTTCTATTGAGCATCAAAGCCGCCGATATGGACAAATCAAGATTGGACGATCGAACCGGCTGAAAGAGTTTGCGTTCGACGCAGCTGTAGAGGCTGTAGATATATAAACACGAGAAAACTAATCTATCCAGTGACTTTAGAAAAAAACAACAAGACACATCTACAATTTTCGTGTCACAACGTCTGTACCTTATTATCATAAAACAAAAAAAGAAAGAAAAATATGACATTATTTCGACTCGCCTTCAAGACATCGACGCCAAGGCAGGGAGCACGTGGATTAACTAAACAACATGGATTTGGATTGGATAAGTCTGGATCTGTTGATTCTCCTCAATCCTCCTCAACGGCGGCAGCTGGCGGCAGCACCGAACACCCAAATCCCAAACCGCCCAAACCAGCGAGTTCTCGAGTCTCGACCAATCCGTTGGGAGCAGCGGGCAGCGGAGAGAGACGCGCGGGTTGCGCGGGCTCGTGCAGTTTGGCTACAGTGTAGTTTGGCGCGGCTTTTCGTCACCGCGCTATGAACGTACTACAGCATAAGCCAAACTTGAACTACTGGGGCATCGAGGTGGAATCACACCAGCTAATGACGTGCACGAAGTCACAGGTATGTCGGCCGTTAACGCATCTTTATGTCTTTATCTATGTGTCGTGTGCAAACAATCCCAAACTTGTACCAAACTCCTGCAGCGGCTGTGGCTCGTCGTTTCGCGGTATCTGTCTGTTCGTTGGGGACGCCCCTGTCACGTATTGCGAATGCGAAAAATTCGGAGCCGAGAAAACTAGTAGCGAAATTCGAATTACACGCGAGAGATCGTGTCACCGTAGCCCGTGAGTTTGTTCGAGTATCGCTTGCGCCCCCTTCCATGCCTGCGCTCTGTTCCAGTCACGAGATTCGAACACCTTGCTCCGGAGGCAACGTAATTTCTTTCTCCTTGTAGGTGGTGTGAGAATGGCTTTGCAAGTAATTCAGCCTCTGGAGAGGATTTCCGTCGAATCGAAGGAGTCGAGGCTCGTGCAGAACCTGTCCAAAGCGTCGGTATCGCTGAAAGGCGTTGTGAACCGCGACGTGAAAGTGACTGTTTCTGGCACCACGCAAAGCACGTGTCTCAGCGCAAGCAGCAACAGTAAGAGCTTCCCTTTTCTTTTTCCCCTAGAAGACCACTGAGAATAACAAATACTCATGGTTGATTTCGATGGGGTTTATCTGTGCTGTCACAAGTGCGAGGACGATTGACTGCACGGTATTTGTTACATGAAATCTATCTTGTTCCAGGTGTGAAAGACAGTGAAAGCCTTTGTCTCCATGCATACATTCCACAAATCAACAAACATTTCAACCTCGATGGGAAGGTCGGAGAAGGTATGCGGGCAAACTCACCACATTTGGAGGTGGTTTGCTGAAACAAATGTGTGTTTCAGGTACCTTCAGCCATGTCTACAAGGCAAGGCTAAAAGCAGGCAGTGCCTCCACGGTCTTTGCCATCAAGTTCTTGATTCCAACGAGCCATCCATCAAGAATCGCCAATGAGCTCAAGTGCCTTCGAGACATTGGGTATGCTTCTTGCTGTAACTGACACCCTGGACACATTTCTTGGCACAGCCCTTTATGTGAGAGGCGCTACACTGGTAGCCTCAATCCAACAAGCACAATACACGAGGATTATACACAGAGAGGCTTGAACTAGTGCAGACGCAACAGTCCTGTGATTTCAATCGCAAATGCACGCATCATGATAGATGCACTCGACATGACATACAGTTATCACATGCATGATACCGGTATAACACATCTTAGCATTTCGTGCTAGATGCGACACTAATTCACTCGTGGTGTGAGACTGATTCTGGCAGGCTTTTACAAACTGACAATTGTTTGACTCTACTCAATAAGCAATTGCTTATGATCTAAACACTGAAAACCTGGTTTTGTTTCGATGTGAGGTCTTTGCATGTATTCCATGTAGAGGCTTAAACAGATAGCTGTAATCTTAGCATATATCAGTTTCCTCTTTTGTAAGGCAGCGGTCATTATACTCTTCAAATGTGAGCCGGTGTGGCTGACGGATAATTTGATTGGTTGCAATACAGCCACCTGGACATACTAGTGACTACTTTATAACACATACCTGCCAACTCTTCCGAATTTTTCGTAAAATGTACGAATGGGGCTAATTCTACGAATCTTGCTTCAAATCTTACAAAAAATAAATTTTTAATTTTTAAATTTTTAAATTTTTTTTGTAACTTTGTTGTTGGCGGTATCTTGCACTGCCACAAGAGAACGATAGGTACCGTCCACAGCAGCGTTGTGGTTTTTACTATCCGTCTATCTGGCGGCCACGGATCGAAAAGCAGTCCAGAGCTCAAAGCCTTTGTTCGTGGTTTTGGCGGTGCATGGGTGCATGTTGGTTCGGCGTGTTCAAACGTTGTTGGGCCTCGTTGTTTCGGCCAGTTTCGAGGCAAGAAGTATGGCGTCTGTGTTTGCTGCAGTGTAACTGTAGCATTTTCCTGGCCACTGTGGCTTCACGGCGCTATGCCGAACTCCAAACCTCGAAAGAGGTACTTTCAGGTGTTCCTGAAGTCCTATACACCAAAATTTCCGTGCTTCGTGCCGCCCAAAAAGCGAGAGAAGTTTGGGTTCTGTAACACGTGCACATGTGATGTAAGCGTTTCACACGCTGGCCAGGCTGACATTAAGCTGCACATCGCTTCGCGTAACCCCCCCTCCTCCCTCCCCCGCCGCGGCCGCGGGATTTTTACGAATTTGAAAGTCCACAGGTTGGCAGGTATGATAATATACAACACGCCTTGTTGAATTGATCTTGCTTTAAAAAAATATTTTAAAAAAGACTATGATTACAAGGATACTGTCTTCAGTATGTACTTATTGATGGGAGGATAATCACCGTAATAAGTTTGGTAGTTATGTAATATTTCATTTTATAATTCTTGGATTTAGGGTGTTTGTTGCAACTGCATGTTTGAGGTAGCCATTACTAGATACTAAACAAAGTTTTGAAAATTGGCGTTGGACGGCAGTGTGGTTTGGAATATTGATAATGTTTTGGACCATTGCAGCCCGATTCCAGGTCAGCATGTTTTGTTGCTGAAGTTGATTGAGAATATATATTGCCAGTGTCAGACCCACCGTATCTACCGTAGAATGCTGCGCATCCGCCCATTCCACATTAAGCGCCCATTACCAAATTTGTAAGATCTGAAAAAATAGTCACAGTACATTTATATGTAAAATTGATGACCGAACAAGCGCCCATCTGCCACTTTTTTGCGATTATCTCCAAAGTTTGAGTGGACACTTGCTCGGTATTTTACGGTGCCATCCTTTTTCTATGGTTCTTGAGGCAGTATGCGTATGTGTGGTCCTAGGCTGCCGTGTCATGACTAGATCAGTGGCCCCTTCTGCACTGTTAGTGTTGCAAGTGTAGACACCTGCCATTCATGCTGTTATCTGCAACATTTGATAATCTCTGTAGCTTTTCTAGGCAGCCTTCTCAAAGCCTCACTTGGACTACGTTCCTTTACAGTTTGATTGATTTTCACTCTGTGTATGGCTCTGGTGTTTGTCTCTCCATAGAAAGGTTCTCTCCCATAATGGGCAGACATCCAAAATTGTGAATGTGTTCTATATAATTTTTTTATTGCCTTTTACAGAGGCAGCTGCAATGTCATGGATGTCAAGACATGCTTTCTCCACAAGGGGCATGTTGCCATTGTGATGCCCTACTTTCCCCACGAGAAGTTCTCGGTAAGTGCCTTTGGTGTCGTCTGGAGAGTGCCGCGTGATGCGCCTATTAACGCTTGCCAACTTTCCAGGATTACGTCTGCAAGCTGAGCGTGTCTGAAGTGCAAGAGTACATGCGCCAGCTTCTCATTGCACTCAGGAGGGTGCACTCTTTCAACATCATTCACCGAGACATCAAGCCAAGCAATTTCCTCTACAGTCGTAAGCTCAAGAGGTGAGGCTTCTGACTAGACTGAATTCTCTATCACACTGCCAACGTCAATCATTGGCATGTTTGATGGAAGGGATGGCTCATTAGTTAAATACGAGACTGCCAACGGGACATCAGCATTTGAGGTGGCCGAGTTGAAAATATACCGTAATATCCCGAGTCATCGCCCACCCCCCTACCGCCTGAAATTCATTAAAAAAGTGGGGTGGGCCATGTCTCGGTGGGTGAGCACAAACACTTGAAAAAAAGCGGAAAAAACCGCCTATTTTTCTCTGCGTATCTAGTGCTGATGTACAAGAGATACATCAAACTCAAAACTCGATTTAGTTTCATTGTTTTATAGAAAAAAATGCCCACGAAAGAATATTTTACTATAGCGAAGTCCGTTGCTTGCATACGCGCTAGAAACACCGCCGATCTGCATGTAGCGCGAACGTTTAATTGTTCCGTGAAAGAATGTCACCACTATGTTCTCCTAGTTAGTAAAAAAAAAAAAAAGAAAGAAAAGTGTACAAGAAAGTAGAAAAACCGACGGGGCGCAACGAGCGAGCGAGCGAGCGAGCGAGCGGACCAAAGAAGCGACCAAGAGCAATGCTGGGAAAGCGGGAAAGCCGGCGGTCGCGTTGGCAAATACTTTGGCGTCGGGCCAAGTCGGGCGCCTTGTCAATTGCAAGCTCTTGCGCAACTTTCTTGTTTGGTGCTTACATACGTGCGTCCGCGCACGGCGGGCTATCAATGCACGGTTGGGACGCTCTGCAAACGTCTGTGTAGAGCGTTCCAGCAAAGCTTTATTTACGCGTTGGCTTTGCCTAAAATATTGCACAACCGCGGTCGCGACGGACGGGAAGAAGCGGGTTCGCGGTGACCTTACTTCGGCGGAGACCAGACTTTGACCTAACACTCCGCGGTTACATTAACAAACTTTTATTTTGTTATCTCCATCGTTCTCTTTTCGCACGGATACACGACCACTTTGGGGTCGCTCACGGAGGAAATGCGTAAACAAAAAGAAGTGTCTTTCCCTCCTTCGTTTTACTTTGTCACGGACGTCCTCCAACTGTAAGGTCCGCGGCCGCGTCATTCGGGTGGGATGAGTGTTCGCGGATCGCAGAGTCCGCGCTGGGGTTTTTGAAGGGGTGGGCGATGACTCGGTGTTTTTTCGGAAATCGATATTGGCCCGAAAAATGGGGTGGGCGATAGCTCGGGGATGGGCGATGACTCGGGATATTACGGTAAATGAGGCAGTTAACGTAAGGAGAAGGGCGTCCTTGCTTCTTGCTCATTGCTTCAAGCAAGTCAGCCTATTTCTTCAAAATCCGCGGGGGTGCTTTAGAACACGTACCCCTTTTACTCATAGTATATTTTGGCATTTTGGTCTGAAACTGCCCTAAAATCTCGTTTTTCTGGCTAAATATCTAAAACATAAAAATTCCTAAATTATCGCCCACCCCCTTTTCATGCAATGTCCGACGGGAATCGCATTAACTGCGCGGTTTGCGGTACCGGTACGTCTGACAAGGGAGTTTCTAACGGGTTCATGCGTTTTTGTCAGTGTTCTGTGCGTGCGATATAGACGCTTTGCACCAGCTGTGCATGGGCGCCACCATAGCCGACCTTCGGTTTTTGTTTCTTCTTATTCCGTTCGCTTCACTTCACCATTGCCACAGCAGGACAGGTTACTGCCACTTTAGGAGCTACTGTGCCCTCCTCCTTAGCATAGGCCTATTGCATTGTAATATCTGCAGCATTTATTTCCGTGTCATGCACATTTGTAGTGGGTTCTTGCGTTTTTTGCCCGTGATCTGTACACACGATATTGGTTCACGCGACATACAAGTTGTCCTAAATATTTGTTGCACCGTGAAATGCAAATCTGCTGCATCCACTATTTGCGGCATCGGTTCGCATAACATGCAAGTTTGCGGCAGGTTCACGCATGACCTTCTCACCATGTACATCTACCCAATTATAACTCTCACTTTTTTTCGCCAAAATCGGTGCCCAAAATTACACGCGCGTTGCAATCGAAACCAAAAAACGAAACTTGAGAAAAACTTAATACTCGGTATAAGGTGGCTAGCCCCATTGCCATCTAGACTGTTTGTTTTCATAAATAGTTTACATTTGTCTTTTTAGACTTAGGCTAGGTGGCACAAGCTACCGCCCGTTACAAAGGGTATAGCCATTAGCATCCATCCATCTATTCATTTGCCATTTTGGTATTCATATCGCGTGCATTCTCTTGGGTGTACGGACTCGTGTCCGCCACTTTAAGATGGAAAAAAAGAAATCTACTGGGAGGCTTTATCTATACTAAAGGCAGTCACGCTGGCGGGAAAGATAACGTAGCAGCACTGCGTGGCCTCGCAATCCCAGCGACCCGACGAGCTCGCAAAGTGTTGTTTGAAAGACGACCCTCCCAAAGGCGACGGTCGCGCACTTGTACATGTGCAAGAAGCGAGGCACTTAAAACGCTTTAGACGAAAGCAGGGGTCACCTCTGTGGACAGTGAAGAACCATCGTTGGACTCTGACAGTGGCGGCTATACTCCGTTTCACCTTATGTTGTACCGCAGCGAAGGCTAGAAGCGCGAGCTCATAACGTTGGCAGCAGCCCTTAGTGCACGAGAGCTTGTTTCGCCGAGATGTGCCCAGAGCAAGGAGCTCGCGCTTGTAGCCTTCCCTGCGGTACATCTTAAGGTGAAATAGAGTATAGTGCACGCTATTTATTTTTGTGTTTGCGTTCGTTTCCTAAAATACGTTCTATGAGCTATGTGTTCAATCTTTATTATTTTACCTGTGCGGTGATAGCAAGTTACCATGTGTCCATCGCATCATTAAACATAAATTTACCCTGTCTGCAATCCGCGGTATCAGTTCCCGTTTTATGTGGTTTGTAGGGAATAGCCCAGTGTCTTATCGCCTTTTTTTTTTGTACATTTTTGCTGTTGCATTCCAAAGATAGCCCATCCCATGTTTTTCCCAATTTATCTCTTCCTTTTGGGTGGGCGTCCTTACAGGACTTTACGGTATGACCTTCTGGATAGCTGTGTTTACAAGACCTCTTTTTCAATCCTATTTGTGGGCACAACTATAAAGGAAAATTTCTTTCAGATTTTCGCTGGTAGACTTTGGCCTTGCACAAAGACTCGATGAAGCAGAAGGCAAAAGCACAGTGTCTAAGGGTGCAACCAGTTCTGAACCTCACTCGAGGAAGAGAGGCCGGACGACGGACCAAGAAAACCAGGTAAGACGCATGTCTTGTGTAGTCGTCTATAGGTTCTTTCCTTGTTGAGGGTAATTCCCTGGTCCTTGTTTATCTAGTTCAGGAAAAACCGAAAGAGCAGCCTTTGTGGGTGGTGGTTTCATGGCGACCACCCTTACGGTTCGTGAATAGGATAACAATGAAATGTGACCTGTGCTTCCTGGTTCCTGCCTTGTTCTTTGGTTTGCTTTTTTTATCATGCTGGAGAAGATTTTAAAGTTATGCATTGTTACTATGATAAATGACAACCTCGGAATATTTAACAGTCTTTTTGACCTTCCGACTGCAAATACATATCTTGTAGCACGACAACAGACAGAAGTAACCGAAGCTGGTAGGAAGAAGTTCAAGAGGATTTTAGTAGGGATGGGCAAATATTTGGTTATTACAAATAGCCAATCGAATTCTGTTATGTTCGGCATTTGCTTCGAATCGAATTCAAGTATTTGACAATATAGAATTATTAGACCTTTCTAAATACAGTCAAACCCGACTATATTGAACCCGTTTTCATCAAATTATTCCTTATATCGGACACATTTTGTGCACAGTAATGTTACAAGAGCGCCGTTTTGCTCTGCAAGCTGGTTTTCCCCCAACGCGAGCGGCCACATTGGGCGAAAACAAGCTTGCAGAGCACGCTGGCTTTTTTTTTTTTCTTTTCGGGCGGCCGCGTTGATTGCCTGGAAGAAAAGAAAATATATTTTTTGCGGACAGAGGGTGCTCCGTGCTCCCGCTCCATCCGCAAAAGAGAATATTATTTTTTCTTCCAAATTAACGTGCCGCCCAGAGAGAGAGAGAGAAAAAAAAAAAAAAAAAGCCGGCTTGTTTTGCTAGTTGATTTCCCCCAACACAGCCACCTGTTTTAGGGGAAAGCCAACTTGCAGAGTAAAACAGCGCTCTGCAGGAGAAGGTGCTCCCGTTGGACGTTCCGCGCTGTCGGCATAGTTTGGCGCTAATGTGCGAATATAGAAGGCAGCGGCCTCGGCATTTTGGAGTTCGTCGATAGCTTAGAAAGATATCATAATCGCAGATGCAGTGAAGAAAAAGCAGCACAAGATGCAAGACTACTTCATTCTATAATATTTCAGCAAAAAGTGGATTTTTGAGAGTCAAATTCATTAAAACTTTTATATTGAATTACCCGGTATATCGAACTGGTAGGCTTCTTTTTTTTTTTTGCGTGTTCAATATAAACGGGTTTTACTTACTCCGGCTTGGATTTACAGCCAGGTGGCGCAAGCTTCCGCCCGTTTCGATCATTTCATGCTACCGAACTCAATACACTTGAAATTAACAATTACAGTATATCTAATACCAAGTAAGGGCAAATATAAAACTATAGTTTAAACATATCTTGTGGTATTTTTTGCTTGTACTATTCAAACTATTCTATTCAAAATTATTTTACCAAAATCACTATTCGCTTCGAATTCAATTCAGACCCAAAATCCTCTATTCGCCCATGCCTAGAGTTTAGCCAAATACGATATAGCTTCGCCAATATTGGAAACTCCTCCGAAAACCCATGGGAGCGGCGGCGAACGTGACAGTGGCGCCTCCAGCGGACTCGGAGTCTACTGAAGCAGACGACGCAGTGGAAAAGTATAGGCTCCGCGATGTCCTCGGGCTTTTCGAGCCCGGTTTCTTCACTCCAACAGCTGAAACAATTCATTACGGTCAACCCATTTGCAAAGCGGAATCCACTGATTGCAACTGCAACGACCGACAAATGACAACGCGTGCATAAACGAAGACAGAGCAGTTTATTTAGAGGTCTCAAACGCCACTCAGGGGGATCACACGCGTTTGAAGCGCATCTGGGAAGCGGAAAAAAGGCGTTTAGCCACCTGAACTACGTCGTAAGAAGTTACGGTTTATCAGTTACAAAAGTGTTGTCACAATTTCTTACCTGAATAGGTGATTATTAAAACGTGCGCAAACAATATGTTAAAATTACCAGAGAAAGCGCACCAGCCTCTGCAGCATTACAAAAACTAAGTAACAAATAAAATGACCGTTCAAACACTTTCCGAACTTTGCAGAAAAGATGAAATCCCCATCTCAGACGAAATTAAAAAAAAAATGGAGAACAGTAGCGCACAGCAGCCGGCGATTGCAACGAAGAAGTTAGCAGACGATACAAAAATACAAATCACCCAGCAAAGACCTCCTTCAGCGACGACGATCGCACGGGGCGTTAGTTGAAAATTAGCAGGTGGTGCTCGCCCTCGACATTGAGTCCACAACAAACAAAGCGGAAGCAACACGACAAAACTATTAAAAAAAGAGAGCTTCAGTTTTTTTTGTTTTTTTTTAGCTGCACGTTACACGTTTGTTTATTTTGCTTTCGCGGCGTTGGTAGGAACTAAGAACAAAAGAGGTGCAATCTGCTGCGTGCTAGCAGTGTGTGACCTTTTATGCTTTCACTTTTCTTTTCTTAGTGACTTTGGCAGGTTGTTTGTTTGCTCGCTTGGCGCTGCAGTTAAAAAGTACTTTCCAGTACTTGTTGGCGTACATGTCCAGGCAGTCCTTGCACATCGTGCCTTTGTTTTGAGTGTCGCTCAGCGGCCTCAAGTGCGTTTTCAGCTGAAGTTTTGTTTGGTGAAATATTCGTCTGTTGAGGCGTCAGTGGTGATTTTGAAGCCAGACTTGGATAGCTGTTCCAGTTTAATTTGAAGTAATTTAATTGCTCACGTTTCTTCGGTCTTCGGGAAGCGGAAGAAGGATTTTCCACCATATCAGAAAAACTTGTTTTCTCAGTGGAGATGGCAGGGATGGTCAGTGAGACGCCACTCACTCTCTTCTCTCCACTTCTCCGACCTCCGACGGGTTTCGGTTTCGAGCAGTTGCGTCTTTTGGCTTTATTAAAAAAATACGCTACTCTGTTGCAAAATATTAATTGGGTAGTCCTCAGACACCATAATAATGCGCCTGGCAAAAAATGAAAAAAAAATTTTGGTGGGTGTCAGTGTCCCTTTAAGTATCAAAAAGTACAAATGAAGATTTCGGATCAGAAACTCAATCGAAGGCGAACATAGCAAGTTACCATAGACGACAGTGGAAAAGCAACAACAACAACAAAGTTGCAGACAACCTTCCAAATGTCCAGGCATAACGCAGCAGACGAACCGGTGGTAGTAAGCGACGAAGCGAAGGAAAGAAAGTAAAAACTAAGCCAAATAAGGCAAACCAAAATATGCGATGGTTCGAACGTCAAATAAGCACAAGAAAGAAAAAAAGCAAACAAAAAACATAAACGCAGGAGGAAGAAAGACAGACCGCGGCGGCGTAGCGTTGCCTCAAACATAAAAAGAAAGTAGGCTTTGAAAAATGGAAGGAGGTGCACACCGTCCACCGGGTGTTCTTTTTTGTTACTCCGCTTTTATTAGTTTCAGTAATAGCGTCAGATTTGCATGTGCATGGTCGTCTTTTTCCAGAGCATACTGTCATCGCAGGAAGGTACGTGGTTCGAAATTGCTTTTTGCTTCTTCATCCAGAGACGATCGGGATACAGCCAGCTCGCCTATTCGACGAAACGGTTTTAAGCAATACAATCATGAGAAATTGAAATTGCAACAGCAAAAAGAACTGATTGATATGCACAGTAAAGTTGAAACGTAGCAATGTTCTAAAACATTTTTTTACATTGCCCTTTTCAAAGAAAGAGGGCGAAGGTACATTCGTGTCTGGCCTGGCAGACATAAGTTCTGAGTCTTCTGACGGAGTGTTTTCTACGGGAGAGCCCGAAAATTGCCCCCTACAAGCTGTGACATCTTCCCCTCGCGAAGAAAATGTCCTAGACTCATGAGGTGGAACTTATGTTTTAACATTCAAAGCAGCGAATAGCCGTGACAATTTTTTTTTGTTGCTCACCTCGCACGGAGATAGGTAAAACCAATGCATTGTGGAGAATTTGTCTGCTAGCGGAGACTCCGAGCTTGCCAGGGGCACTGCGATCACTTTTCGCCCACTATCCGCCGGAGTTGCCAGTATTGGCTTACGTGGTATTTGGTTTAGCTTTGGTGTGGTATCCAAATCTTTTCATAGGAGCATTCGGTGGCACGTAACAGACGCCTGTGGCATGCTGTAGATCCCTAGGTTGTCTCTACTAATCCTGACGTCAAGTCAGTTTTATTATCATTTGTTGCTAGGGAATTCTTTATACTCTTTGTTGGTTTAAGACTAAAGCTTACTTCCCATACTTATTTTATCATTCATTACCTTTTGAATGGTGTTATTGCTTCATAGGCTTTGAGTCAGGCAGGTAATGAAAGGGGGGGGGGGGGGGGGTGCATCCCCATTCCCCCCCGAAATCTTTGATTTTGCTGGGGCCTTCCTCTCCCCCCTCCCCCTCATACAGCATTTTGTCATGGGCGAGCTCTTCCCCAAAACCAAAAATTCTGGCTACGTGCCTGCTTTGAGCGTGTGTCTACAACTGTGGATGCAGTCGGGATTACTACATCATGTACACTAACGTTTTGAACCCCCTTTGAGCGATCTGGAAATATCTCTTTCTCAATGTATTAAACTGCAATTTACTACAGAGGTGCAGCGGGGTGGTGAAACTTGGAAATAAAATATGAATGGATGAACTTGCCTCGTTCAAAATATCGGAACCTGTTTTGGGCAATCTATGGCGCGATTTCGTGGGTGACGCAGATGGTGCTCGTTGACTTGGAGGTGCTGCTGACAGATGGTGTACCTGAGACACGAGAGGCTGCTGCACTGCAACCGAGTATCGCTATACAAAAAATGGTTAAATTAAAAATTAATAAAATATTGTGATTTGAAAGTCATACATTCAAACAAGTGTGTCGCTTGCAAGAACCAAAACAAAAGTGCAAAGATAAGCTCGAGACGGCCGGAAAAAGACAAAAGCGAGACAAGGAGGGGCACTTTTCATTAAATTTAATAACTACTGCTGTTCTGTGGCCAAGGTCTCACTATCTAAAGTTTTTTTTTTAGTTGGTGCACTCACCTTATTTATTTACTTTTTTAATTGGGTTTGAAGGGGCCCTGCAATCGTGTTTAAGCGTCTACATTTTTGCGGTTTCCACGTCTCTGGGTTCAGGAAAGCCAGCGAGCATAGAGAGAGTAACTAAGTATTAATGCATCATATTTTAACCGGACGACGCGGAAACCTCCTTTACCTATGGAGATGACCCGCAGTGCCGAAAGTGCGCGATATCTGACGTCTTTGGTCCTGGACTTACTACTGGTCAGAGCCGCTAAAAGCTTCCTTTTAGTCGAAATACAAAATATGAGTGGCGCGAACCATTTCAATTATTCAGGGAAGTAGATTTTGTTCAATATTTTAGATCAGAAAAGAAACAAATGCAGTTTATAAAGTATGGATACAAGAGATGACCCGTCGACACACCCGCCATCACGTGGTGGAAAAGGCGGCGCATACTAGAAAGGGGTAGTGGGATCAGGGACCGACGAGCGGGGAGCGTAGGAAGATCCCAGATGTATGCAGCGGCGCTGCGGTTGTATATGGGCATGAGGATCCGACTGGTTACGAGCGTTCCGAAGGCCTACAACAAGCACGTTTGGCTTGTGGTTTGGCCGTTAGTGCTAAATTAGTGTTTAATCGCGCAGCAGATGTAATGCGAGCTGCCCTGGCTGCCCGCTTCATACAGCCTAGCCAGAACATGCTTTAGTGGCGCCCTCTCGAGCCATCGACACGGAGTGCGGCAGCCGTCAGTACTCGCTGAGCTCACTACCCCTCCTCTAGTTCACGGCCACTCAAGCGACCAAGGACATCATGGAGGAGGTTATGTTTTGCTTGTTTTTGTTATTTTAATTTGCCTATAACTTTTAAAATAAAGCAAAATTCGAGAAAATAAAACTTTCATTAAGTTACTACGTTAAGTGCGCTCAGGTTCGGTGCAAATTAAAAACCAGTTAAAAAGTCCTTGCAGGGCCCCTTCAAGTCTGCAGTGCTAACGCTGGAGCAAAAGGTTACTTTATTTTTTAATCTCTTTCCTAACCACCTCAACTAAAATACTGCCGGTAGCACCTCCAAATCAACAAGCACCGTCTGCATTGCCAATGTAATAATGCCGTAAATTTCCCAAAAGCTCTCTTTTTTTTTTCTCCCTCTCTGCAAGGTAAGTTTATTTCTTGAGATTTTTAATACAAGCTTCCACCACCTAGCTGCGCCTCTGCAATAAATTGCAGCGCGATACCTAGAGGAACCGATTTTCGTGGACGATCCAAAGCGGGTTTGAAGCGTTAATGTATGTGCTGTATAGACGTTCATACACTAGGGTGCAAGACTTTTTTTTATAGAATCGAATGATTCACTCCCCAGTGAGCTATTCCATAAAACAGTCAACGACTTCACTTCCTTAGTTTTTCAAACTGGTCAAAGGGCATAAATTTGTTTAACTCTAGGTTTATAACAAAAACAATTCTTGAAAAGGTGTGCAATGTTCTTATTTCTTGTTGTCCAGTTTGCCAGTCTGAGGCATTGTAACAAGTAGTGACAAGTGCTTTGAGACTAACCCATTAACGCTGTGTTTCAACTTTTCCTCGCAGAGATCTCAGCTGAAGCGACAGTGCTTCCCAGCCCACCCGGGCCAACCGCTGCATGCTTCGAATGTGCCCAACGTCACACAAGTAGACAGCATGGGCAAGAAGCCCCTACAGGCGCCGACGGCGGCCGCCGGCGCCACCGTGCTCAAGGGCGGTGCTGCTCTCCCCACGGCGGCCCGCACAGTCCCCCAGCCACGCCGCATAAAGACCAAGCTCTGCTGCTGCTTCGGCAGGAACGAGGTCTGCAACATCTGCCTCAGCAGGTACACAGAGGGCAGGTTTGCGCAAGACAAAGGTTTCTTGGGTTTCGCGTCCCGAGGCTCGTTCCAGCTATTTGCACCTCATGCACTTTTCTGCACCGGTGCAGGCCGGCGAAGGTCAAATAGAACGAGCCCACTGTTGCTCGACGGTGCATGCGTCGTGTTCGTGTCTACACTAATCTGTAATATGAACTGCCCTAGCACACAAGTTGTGCTAGATAGCTGCCAGCGGAGCAAGTGAAGCTGGCAGCGAAGCCGGGTGTTTCCGACTTTCGAAAGATTAGTTTTCAAAGTAAAACTAAATAGGGGAGCATGCCTGTTGTTTGGAGTATGCTGTGGAGTGTTAAGGGCCGTCCACACAGAACACGACTTTTCATGCTCCAGCTTTGCTTCCGACTTTGCATGCACTCCTATGGAGCGCTTGCAAAGCTCTCCCCCCACCCTGCCCTCGAATCTACCACTAATCCACTTTGCATACACTTCTATGTGGCGTCAAACCGTGTCTGCTAAAAGACTGAGAAGGTAGTGTCTGTTTGACCAGCCCTTTACTTTACTATCTAATCAGCTTCAGTTGGGCCACCTCAACTGATATCCGCGTGGCTGCCTCTGACCAATTAGAGGGCGTTCTTTTTCTCGTCGGCAGTCGACATGGAGTCCGGATAGTTATCCATCTACTAGCAATGTCCTCTTGGCACATTTTACTCATTCGACACGGCCAAGTGTTTCTGATCTTGTACAGGTAGTTTACGTCCAGTATATTTTGACAGTGCATCGTATACTGTAAGCGACATATTTTTCGTGGGCTCAGTATTTCGCGACTTGGGTAAAAGCTGAAATTTTTGAATAATTCGCGGGTTCTAATTTCGCGACGCGGTGGGATCTCAATATAGATTCCAATGTGTTTACATTTGACCGGAATCGTCTGAGGGGCCTATTTTTCGCGAATTGTAGGCAATTCGCGAAAATTAGGTAAGTCGGTTTACAGTCTACAGGGTGTCACAAAAGAAAATTTACACTGTCTTTTTTACTGCAAAAATAAGCTAGGCATCGCCGAACGCTCATTCTCCGTCCAAAGGTAGAGCTAGAGGTCACAACCAGATGCCAAAGTTTCAGCCCAATCCGATAACTTAATCAAAAGTTATAAGAGATTTTCTGAAAAGTTCAATGGGAAAATGAAGCCCATTTTTGCCCGTTTTCGGTTTCTGGCGCCATAGTGCCCCATGTGTTTGAAAACTCCGTCGGCCGCCATTTACCCATTGAATTTTTCAGAAAATCACTTATAACTTTTGATTAAGTTATCGGATCGGGCTGAAACTTTGGCATCTGGTTGTGACCTCTAGCGCTACCTTTGGGCGGAGAATGAGCATTCGGCAATGCCTAGTTTATTTTTGCGGTAAAAAAGACTGTGTAAATTTTCTTTTGTGACACCCTGTACATTTCACTTACGATGAACTGTGGCCAACGTTACTAAAACACTCTGTTGGGAAACTCCCATAGAGACAGCTTTGAAAAAATGGCCCCAATAAGTCTCCGATCACCGATCTAATGACGAACACAGCGCCACCATTTCTCCCGCAGCGGCCACTCGAAGAATTGCACGTGACTTGTATTTTGGCTTTAAGAACAGATATAGCGGTAGAGGTTACAGGGGTGCCACCCCCGTCTCCCCGGCGGACGCGCCGCGTTCAACTACTGAAGTTAAAATGCACCTAGGGCGGGACGCGCTACCTGAAAGGTTGCTGAGGCACGGTTGTATGAAAACAATACTAATTGTTCCGCAAAACCCTGCGAACTAAAGATGATAAAATCATCACGCGCCCATCATTTGGTACTAAACTCCAATAAATTTCATACAAAAAGATTCTTTTCCGTTTGTTTTTATGCAAACACAGGCTTTCAAAAAGCTCGAGGTGACCATAGTACAGACAAACGGAAAAGAGTGGCGCTGTTGTCGCATTTAGCTCGGTCTCGGTGGACGCCAGCGGCCCAGGTTTCGACGGCGAGTTTCCCAACTGAGTGTTTTAGTAACGTTGACTGTGGCAGACGATAATTCATCAGAGCCAGTTCAACAGCATGCGAGTGTCGGGCGACCTTCTAGAGCGGTGCAGCGGCGTGCGGGGCACGAAGCAACGTGCTACTTGCATGCTTGACTGGCCGGGATTGCTCGTAGCGTCCGCTGCAGTCCATTGTAAGGGGAAACGGAGTATGATGTGTGGTCTCTGTTAGTTGCCCAACATGTTTCTTTCTTTTTTCATCTAGGCCAGCCGAAGTGGCACCTCGAGCGGGAACACCGGGTTTCAGAGCCCCCGAAGTCCTTCTCAAGTACAAAGACCAATCAACGGGTGAATTATTTTGCTCTGTCAATTAGTACTTAGTTGGACCTGTGCACAGCTAGCCTTACAGTCTGACTGTGGGAATATGTGACGGATAAGTTGTTGCACATTAAAACACTGTTGGGCTGTTGGTAGTGACATTGTGAAGGTTTTTTTTTTTGGTTTTTTTTATAATGTTGGTTTTGTTGAGCAAGTTAAATGGAAGTTTTATCTTCGCAATCTAATGTCTCTAACTGAAACATGCGTCTGTCATATTTCGAATGAAGTTTTTGCAAGGGCTACAGTTGCCTGCACGTGTATGCTTTAGGTTGCAATACGATTTTGTGTACATGCCAATGTATTGGGGCAGGTCCCGTGGATTCGGCATGGACTTAGTTGCAGATGGCTTCGGAAATGCAGGGCCCGGCTGATCCCGCACATCTTAACGCTCCACAGGCAACGGGATGTCGACGTTAGCCGATTAGGAAACCCAAGTACAAATCACAGTGAAAGAAGTGTGATGATAATGAGTCGTGCCCTGCGTGTCTCGAGCCGACGGCAACAACAGACATATTTGACGCATCCCCGACCTGTTGCTCGTTATATCGGTTGGAATTTTGAATGGACTGTCAACCAAGATGCTCCCTGCCTATTCTCCCGCTGCAGCGGTCGACCTGTGGTCGGTAGGGGTCATCTTCCTGTCCCTGCTGAGCGGGCGCTACCCGTTCTTTCGTGCCCAAGACGACCTCACTGCCCTCGCCGAGATCATCACCATCACCGGAAGTGTCCCGGTCCAGCTGGCAGCTGAACGAATGGGTCGGTGCTGGCACTTGATCACTACTGTTTTGTCGTCCTGGTACTGCTGTAGTCTGTTCTCCTGTCTGTGAAATGCTGCGTTCAGGGATGGATCGAGCAGACGAATTGGACACGATGGTGGGCAGACAAATCTAGCAAGCCCTTGCATTGCTATATCTGTAGCATTTATCGCATACAGGGTGTGTCCCCTATAGTTAAGAATAAATTAAAAAAAAAAAAAAAACCGCTTCTCCACGTGGTGAATGATGTTGATTGGGGCGAAGCTCTGGTAGTGCTTGTCTGCGTAGACGCTGAGCCGCAGCATGCCGAGCCTTTTGTTCGTTTTCATCCATGTCACACTGCGGTCAAATGCTCAAATGCATATATAACCACGTTCCATACCACACATTGTCTTTCTGACATGGATGAAAACGAACGAAAGGCTCGGCATGCTGCGGCTCACCGTCTACGCAGACAAGCACCACCAGAACTTTGCCCCAATCAACATCATTCACCACGTGGAGATGCGTTTTCTTTTTTTTTTTTCCCTACACGAGCACGGGAGCACATGCTCACATGCGCGTGAGCTCACGTGCAGGAGCACGTGCACCCGACGGCGGACGGACATACAGACATGGCTAGCCTCTAAGGAGCTGCTCCTAAAAGGGTATTTGAAATTGAGCAGCAATCACTTCGGTAAAATGTCGTAGACCGCACTGGACAATGATGAACTAGAAACCTAAAATGTTTTGGTTAACTTTTTACTTACTTTCCATAGGTGGCATATTCTAGTCGAGGGTATGGTGCCTCTGGTCAACATATTCCATAGCAGTTGTTAAGATTGTAAAAACTAAAGTGTGCTTCAAGCTGTTCATTGGTAAATAAGTTGCAATTAGACCGATGCCAAAACGAGGGGCAAAAAAGCGACAGAAGGCCTGCCCCAAAGTCGTAGGTGTGGGCGACGACCTGTCCCGAGCTGATCTGGCAACGGCACTTTATTTAGTGTTTAGGTGGCTGTGGCAGAGGGGCGTTACGCTCCGACGTTGGCTCAAATGCGGTAAGACAAAGATGGCCTAAAGCGAGGAACATGCGTGAGCAAAAACCACACTGGGTCACTTTGCGTGCCACCACGTGGCGATGGCGCCACATGGTGGCACGGTATTCAGTCATAGTGTAGGATCGGCGGCGGTTGCCACGATTACACCTTTCTTTGCTGCTAGGCAATATTTGTCACGAGTCTCACGTCGGCTTTGCCACTCAATAGCGTAGAGCAAAATCCCTTGTTGTAAACCTTAACGACTCTTTCAGACCTCCTCGGTGGCGGGCAACAAATCTTGATTGGAATGTTCCACCTAAACAAAGGTTTCGAAAGTTGCGTAGTTCATATTAAGTAATAATTTTGCAAACTATTTTACTCTTGTTTCCCGACATCCGCCGCTGTCGACAACATTGTATACCGAAAGAATCAATTCCTTATTGTGCTCCTTGGCTAAGTCAATCCCGTTTTGTGTCGCAGGCAAACGTTTGACCCTGAGCCACCAGAAGCCAACGCTAGATCTCAAGGTGCTTTGCGAGAAACTGAGGGGCACGTACGCGAGTGTTCGGGAAACTTCGGCTTGGGGGTCTGCCGCACCCGCTGCGAGGCTACATCCCAGGGGCCACCACGAGTCGTGGCTGTGCGTCCCCGACTCGGCCTACGGCCTGCTTTCGAGGCTACTCGATCCCGACCCCGCTTCCCGAATCACCGCCGACCAAGCGCTGCAACACGAGTTTCTACGAGAAACCGTTCAGTAGCATTCCAACGTGAACTTGCGATTGACGAGAAATAAAGCCGGCTGCCACGAAGCTGGACTTTTCGGTTCCTTGTCGGTTAAGGGCCCAGAACCGAGACGGAGTTGCCAGACATACACTCCACGCCGCTGTTAGTGCAAACGAGCCATGGCGGGTTTTTTTATACTCTGTTCACCCTTAAGCTGAGCTTGCCTTTAGTGCAAGCTTTTTGCCCTTGCTAACACAAGTGTGAACGCACAGGCACATGCAACCAAAGCGCTGAGGCACCCAGCGAGCTCGCGCTGAAGGCAGAGTTTCTAGTCTCGGCACGGAGTATACTTTTTCCTCAATATAGAAGGGCCGTCGTCAAAACTACTATAGCAGTGGAAAGTGTTCAGTTGGGGCACTAACCCAGATGGTAAATTTCAAATACTGCCAGTACCCTTTCGAAGTAAAATGTGTAAAAGCGCCGAAGCCACGTTTGCACTAGTCATTAAATTGGCTATGCTTTCAGAGTACTGCATTCCTTTTCTTTGGCATTCTGACGACAATACAGTCGCTCTATTCAACAATGTTCTGGTTCGCTGCGGCATCATTGGACAGCGGCAGTCACGTGAGTCGCTATCGTCATCATCACATTTTTTATCTACAATCATCTTGGGTCCAGTGATCTGCTGCTGTTTTACTGTTTACTGCGCGCGCACGCTGAAGTTCATCGCTCTGCATGCATTTTTTCCTTCCTACGTCGAGATGCGAACAACACGACCTTGATTTGCTGCCACAGCTGTGGCTACGGCACCAGGCGACGGCTACAGCTTGGCTTGGCTCGGCTACAGTCACTCCTCCATCTGCGCGTGGACCCAAGATGGCGGCGCCTGACGCGCTTCAGACTCATAGTTTGGGAGTTTCGGTACTCTGAAAGCGTAGCTTTATTTAGTGACTCTAGTTTGCGCCAGCAACGTCGTGTAATGTGCGCCGTAAGGGCGCTCTGTCCGTGGCACGAAAATTGAAGGAGACTTTGTGGCCCAGCGGCTAATGTGCCGTTCCTCGGCAGTCCAGTTCGTAAGCCTCGCCTCGATGGCAACCAGATTAAACGCTCGCACGTTAGTGTTCCAGTGTGCTCGAATGCAATCCGTTCCCTCACAAATGCTTACAGTGAGAGAAGATGCACAGCGCCACTTATCGGCTATACTATGTTCACCCTTGAGCTGATACTAAAAGCTCTGCTTTAGCGTGAGCTCACTGGCTTTCGTAGTGCTTTGGCTGCACGTGCGTGCGCGTTCATGCTAGCAAGGGCAGGAAGCTTGCGTTGAAGGCGGGAGTTTTTAGTCTCAGCTTAAAGGTGAACACAGTGTAGCCCCAGAACATCTCTGATTCGTGTATAACAAGACTGAAGGTTTTGCGGTATTTGCTGAATGCGTTTTGTAAATGGTGCGATAGTTTTTCGGATAAATGGATTTACTCGCTGGACTCTCGAATCCGTCCCGTTCGGGAAGGCTGCCATGTTTGGTAGGTCAGCGGCATACTGCGCCCACCGTCTATGGCGGCGCGGTCGTCCCCTTGCATGCACCCGCAAACTTGGTTCTCTCTCGGCATCTCGCGTTTCACCTTCCGCGTTTCAAGCGTGCGGTTTTGAGTGGACAATGTCTTCAGCATTGCTCGCTTTTTTAAGTTTTCAACACTAATCACAGCAGCGATGAGAGCGATTATCATCAAGAGTTGGAAGCTGGTCATTTTGGCTTTGGCCTGTTGGCTGCCAGCTTCGGCGATGATGACAAGATCGTCCAATAATGTTTTGGACACAACCGTCGCGTCCGACGAGGTCCAGTCTTTCCATGCTGACCCTCACGGGGAGGCACGCACTTGATCGAATGACGTTTTAGCGAACGCCGCCGTTTCACCGAATGACACTTGAGCAAATAGTCGGCCGCTGTGGAGCGGCATTTACGGACGGACCCACAATTTCTATGGAAAAATGGGGCAGCTCCGATTAGCTGTTTTCTGTAATAAGCTGCATGAGACCGTTACCACGAAGTGGCAGGTATGGGTCGGTCAGGTGGGTTAACATTTTTGTAATCAATTGCCGCAGATTGTCGCCGCGAAGCAGCTTGGATTCAGGCGGGAGGGGAGGTGGGTGGGGGCGGTGGTGAGTTAACGTGCACCCCAGAGATACAAGCATGAAAAAATGTCCCTACAGCGTGCAGTTTGTGTTACGAGTGTTGATGAAATGTTTCTGTCCACGAAACAAGTTTCAACAAAATAATAGGGACCCAGGGAGGAGCCTGTACAAGTTAAATACAAAACGGTGGCAACATGATTCACAGCAGTGTTCTAGGCAAAACACACCGCAAATTAAGTTAAAAAATTGAGCAACAAGTTTCATGACATCCAAACTTTTGGCTGTTGTATGTTAAAGGAGCTGTGCAACAATTTCAATGCTCTGCTTAAATAATTTAGGAGTTTGTGTCTCCACCTTTCTGAAGTAAAGAACAAAAAACCTCGAGATCTTTTGCCTGCATGTCCTAGTTGTTATTTTAAAAGTTGACAAAAATTGAGGTTTTCGGCACACCTCAACTCTTTCACCATCTTCCAAGTCACGTGCGCTGCGACGTGAATGGGGGACGTGCGGGGTTCCGGTGAAGCTCGCTCTCTATAGCCATCAGTGAGCAGCAAGAACTCACCTGCTCGCAATCACGTGACCACGTGCTTGCGCAGCGCTATCAACATGGCGAAAGGAGGAAAGTCTCGTCCAGTTCCGGCCATCCCCCTCCGGCTTCTGGCAGCTGTTCGCGGTAGCAGATAGAGCTTAGGGTTTTGTTAACTTCGAACAGATGGCACCACTAAAATGCCGTATAATAGAAGTTTTGTCAATGATACCAGGTTTTTGACGCATTTATATTTATGTTGGAACGACAAGATTTATAGAAAAATTACCCTTTATCGAGCAGGTATTTGCTCAACTTCCTATCCTTTTTACAAGTCCCCCATTGACGTCGCGCTGCGTGGTTCTCATGGCTGTCGCTCGCGGCTGCAGGTCGAGAAATATTCAAACTTCTGCCTTGCGATTACGCAGCGGTATCACAACATTTCGAAGAAAGGAAGTATGTTTTCTGCCCTTTGTGACAAGATAAACAATGTCAAAAGTAGACGATGCAAATTTTTTCAACGTTAAAATTAATACACAGCTCCTTTAACTTTATGCAGCAACAGCAAATTCGCCTGAACAGTTTCAGCATTTGAAAAGTCTGTCGGCAACTATAAACCAGCTCGTATTTCAAGAGCATTTCTGACAAGTTGAGGGGATAGACTGCCAATAAGCAGACTCGTATTAATGCAAAAGCATTAACTGTCCCATGGAGTGAGCCGACGTTATCAGCCTTGAAGCTGTGCCAAACGGCACCTAAACTCCTTTCTCCAAGTGAAGCCACGATCTGGTGGCTCCCAGCTTTGAAGCCACGCGAAAAGCCTAGCCAAACGGCACCTAGTTTCCCCGATCCCATAGGAGCGGAGCGAAGCCGAAATCTGATGGATTTTGGCTTCGGTCCAATTGGTTGGTGTGCATCACAGTGTCAAGGAACGAGGCTCCTATTGGCCGCTGCGCGTCATTTTCACTGACTGCCACCTCATGGCGCTGCATGTCTGCGCCGCCTAACGCTCCTCTATCCTAAGAAAAATAGGGGAGGCACTCACTTGATCGAATGACGTTTTAGCGAACGCCCACGTTTTACCGAATGACACTTTAGCGAATAGTCGGACGCCGCGAAGCGGCGTTTTTGGGTGGGCCAAGTGGGTTCACATTTTTGTAACGAGCCGCCGCAGACTGTCGCCGCGAATTGGCATAAAGCGCAGCGCGGCGGGTGGGTTAACGCGCGCCCCCGTTATTCGCTAAAATGTTGATTCGCTCAAATGTCGCTGTTCGCTGAAACGTCATTCGCTCATGTGATATGGACCCCCTCACGTGCATGCGAACATGATTGCACGACAGAGGTACCAGCCGTGATGCTTGCAATTCATTTGCGTTTGCTTACTTTTGACGAAAATCTGGCACACGGGGGGAACTAGTAAAACGGTGGCAAACGGTTGTTCAGAATTTCTCGGCAACGCCTACAGCACTGAACACTTGTGGGATGTCTCAAAGTCTCTTTGGAGACATTGAAAGTGGACATTCATTACTTGCCGAAGGCAAAGCGAGGCTTACAGCAGCCTTGCAGAAAGTTTTGAAAAGCAAAAATAAAAGCACCCGCTAGTTGTAATGTACCTTTTTCTTGTGTACAATTTTGGATTGCACTGCAGTAGTTACGCGTTTCGTCAGTCGGAGACTGCTTCAATTTATTATGTTATATAACTAGTCAACCTAATGCTGCGATATTTAGTACTAAGCCGATCATTTTCAGATAAATTTGAATATGTGCAGTTTGGTTCTTATTTATCTATAGCGGGTACATATATCATTTAACTGAAGCACTGGAAAATGCGTCATGTCACTGGCACTTCAGTTACATCCAGGTGGTCTAACTTGACCATAATTTCTTTACTGCGGTGAGCAAGGTGCCCTTCATTTGTCCAGCACTTAAAACGAATATTTGGTTCTATTTTTCTAAGAACATCTGCTTTAAAAGCCACTTTTGCTGATCCGAAACACTGTTTTGGCTGCTCTAAAAGCCACATTTACTGCTATAAAACACTGTTTGGGCTGCTCCAAAGGCCAGTTTTGCTGCTCCAAAACACTGTTTTGGCTGCTCCGAAAGGTGCTCCAAAACAATTTAAGCCAATCACATCACTGCACTTAGCTACAATAGTCTTTTTAACTTCTTTGGTTGCACACAAAAGCCATCCTAGCCCCGATTTTCAGCCAGTTCGCTCTTGATTTTGAGTGGTTAATTTTGTAATATTGCGGTAGGCAAAATTTGTTGACAGCTCCTATTGAAGTAAAACTAAAGAAATGACAAAAGACAATCGAGTATTATAGTTCCATTAGATTTTATTCAAGGTATGTTAGGTTCAGGAGAGGTGTTTTCAAAAGCCAAAGAGCTGATCGGTCAAATTCAACAAGGACATTATATGCACTTGTGATTCTTGTCTGCATACACAATTATATTTCAAGGCTTGGTTTAGACAATGACTATAATTTATCAAGCTTTGCAAAGGAGCAGCTTTAGGCATATTGCCCTCAACTTGGCAAATATTTTGCTTTCACAAAGGGTAACAAAGTGGCACTGGCATTGTTTAGATTCTATGAAGTAACCTTGCAGCAAGACAACGAGTGTGTTGGTGTCCCATCTTTAAGGAGGTCTGGAAGGTGTCTTATCTAGTTTGTTAGGACAGGATAGTGGCACAATAGCAACAATGTTTCTAATATTGTGGCCAAACAGGCTATAATGTATATTTTTATTCTGAAAGCTGGTAATGATCAATTGGACAACTTGCCTACACTCTAATCAAACACAGCAAACCTCTTAGATTTTTAAATAATACATTCCTTCATTCAATTTCAAGCTTTCAAAACACAAATGTTTTTTTTTAGCTAGATATGTTGAATTTAGCTCTTAATCCTACAAGAAAAAGATCTGGCACATGTCCTGTTTGTACCAGATGGATTGAGAACTTAGTCCAAATGCCTAATCAGACACATGAAAGTAACCAATTGAAACGGCTGAGTGGCGATACCAAATTAGCGAAGTTGCCCTTCTAAGAAATCAGGGAAAAAAAGCTTTATCTTATCACTTGGCTATAGTGGAAACTTTACAGACAGAGCAGCACTCTTTTACACAGTAACATGCCATAGCTCTAAAAAAGCAAGGTGCAGACCCAAAAATTCAGTCTCTTTATGAAAGGTGGACACTGCTGTTTCAGTGTTACACCTGATCAAATCCTGTGAGCTTTGAAGCTCCTCACTGAGAGTGTGAGACAGACTACTAAAAGCCTGGAATGTTGACTAGGTAGCACGTAAAGCAGCGAATAACTATCCACGCAGGCTAGTTTGCCCCAGAGATTCGGCCTTGGTCCCTGCTTGTTATCCCTTGAGCCGGCCCTCAAATTGCATGTCGGATTCACTCCCTAAGCTTGCTTCTCGTCATTGTCAGTGTCCTCAACACAGCCTGTACACAGTTCATGCCAATAACTCTGCTCCTGTCTGCAATGCAAGCTGTAAGATACAAGGAAACGTCCAGTTGGCATAACAAAACCCGGAACTCTGGTATACACTTTTCTCCATAACTTTTTGCCTTGCCTATGACTGTCACCTGTACACATCACAACACGTAGGCTACAAGCGCGTTAACCATCCAATGCATGTAGCAGCACTCAAATACACATGGGAATGCAGTCCTTGGGCTCGCTGACTTGGCAGCCCAACACCACACACCGACTTGAACATCATCTTTCAAACTCGTGTTACACGGGAATTCACACAACATCCATCGTCCGTAATACTACAGTCAAATATGCTGGGCTACTGGTGAAGGGTCGACGTTAACTGTGTAGAACATATTGAGATATTAAGTGCGGTAATCTTTCTTCTAAGTCGCATTCTTTGCTTAGGTCTTGGTTCACAAAATGAGCTGGGACTCTGAACACACCTACAGTGTGCTTGTAACAATGTGGAGGGGAGTATGAGTGCCTTGAAAACATGGTTCATGACACTGCTGCAGAAAGGTGCAGCAGCATTTGCGCACCACCGGGCCGTTTGATCTGATCCGCTGCGGTGACACTGCAGCATCAGTTGCTGCCATAAGCAACAGCTGTTTTTGCAGCACACAGTTGCAGCCGACAACAGAAAACCATGAAACCCTGTGGTTCATGCTTGGCGAGATTCTGCACAAAATAATGTTTCAGGAAGCTTTAGGCATTACCAATGTTTAAAGAATCAAAACATAATGGACAGGGGTTTCTTTCTCTTTCCCTCTCTGCACAGGAACATGAGTACATGTTTGGCAACCAGCATCTACAACTGCTCTACCGCAGCCAGAGGGACATGGAAAACAGTATTTGGATAATTGACAGCCCCTGCGCAACATTTTGTGTGACCAAACCCAACAATGTGCATCAAGTTTCCTCTTTCCAAAACTCTACAATACACACGTCTGTATACATGATAACTGCTTCGATTTCATGCCAGCATGGTGGGAACGTACAGCTTCAGAACAAGCCCCGCTGATTCATCTGCTAGCATGCAAAGCAACACTTGTGACCTTCATCATCAGCTGTCTTGTTTAATCAAGCTACGTCTATAGTAAAATAGGTACAGTGTTATAAACATCTTCCTCTCTAATAAAAAATATATATCTCCTCTCCAATGATACTTTCAGGTGAGTATATACATATAGTTTCATGCACATCTTACTACTGTTTTTTTTTTTCTCTCAATATTGTGAATTTGTACTTTCAATACTAGAACGAAACAAGCAGATAGCTTGCTAAAGACATGTGACAAATAGACTGTCCATTGCTGATGTAAAAGCAGGATGATTGTTAATGATTGTCTTTAACCCCTTAACCGTTTCTAGTTTTGGAGAATTTCTGACCCTAAATTGCTCAATCCTGTCTTCAAAATTACATCTGTTGCCTTCAAAATCAAGCTTCTAGCCACAAACAAAATAAAAAAAAAAGTTTGCATCATTTTCATTTTAATTGCTGCCATTTGTTTGGCAGAGCCTTAAACTAAGCCACAAGCCCCCCCCCCCCGCAAGCCCAATTCGTCCAAAACAATCGAGTGCGTGAACCGGGAAAAGCAGATGAGCTATACTCGTCCTAAACGGTTTGGGGACGGCTCCATGTTGACAAGGTAGGCTCGTCCAAAATGGTTAAGGGGTTAAAGCAAATTATTGCAATTCAAATTTGTTCTAGCATCAATGGCAACAAAGCTTGTAACCAACTGAAACACAATGAAAAGCAGTGAGGTCATTTATGGCTCCCACATCTAAAATAAATGCTGCAATATATTAGGAATTCTGCATACACACAAAGAAGGACAGGCAAAAAGTGCCACCAGACACAAAAACAACAAAAAAATTCCTGAGTGTCACACACAACAAAATATACACTTGTAAATACAACTTAAAAAGATGAGTATGATCGCAAACGAATTGAGCAATATGTTACTAAAACCAAATTATATTCCGTCTAAACTCTGTGATAACTAAATTGCCTGGTGCTATACCTCAAGTATTGAGGACGATCAACTTGTTTAAAAATATGCCGAGGTAATTTATGTTGAACGTAATATGGTATAGACCGACTGAAAACTGTAATGGACGAGTCTTATTGCACTTTTTCCATGCATACGCAACAGTCTGATGAATATAGTATGTCAGAATGGTGGGTGGGGTGGTTTAGAGTTCCACAGATAACAAGTTTATGTTCAATGTTAAAAAACAGTCGTCAGTGCAGACATGAACATGAAGTGTACCGCTTGTGATTTCTATGCGGTTTCTGAGCATATGCAGTACAATTGGCACTGACATAAAATCAATATGACACATACCACCACGAAGACATCAAATATTGACCATTGTGATAGTGGTATATAAAAGAAAGATCAAAATTGTTCGCCGTTTCTCGCTGTCGGTAAAAAAAGCAACTGCAAAAGTCTTTTTTCATGCTTAACAGAGGTAGAGAGAAACATCAAGAGTAGTAACCAAAGATATACATAAAATCAATGTCCTTATATTCAATCTGACAGTGCCGCTAAACAAAGTATGAAACACTGCGTATCAAGAGCTGACAACGGCAGCTAGTACGCAAGTTTCACGACCACCTAATTCTCCGAAATCATCTTAATCTTTGCATTTGCTGAAGTTTGTAACATTGAGTTAACAAAAGCTTGACGAGTTTAGTGGCGCATACGATATAACTATACTTCCGCTCGTGTAATTATAATCAAAGGCCAATTTAACCAAAATGTATATTGAACGCTTTTCAGATTCATTTTGGAAGTCTTGGTCCAGTCCTAGGGTTACCTTTTCCGCGAATGTCTAGCGCATGCGCCTGAGTTTCAAACTTGGGTGTGATTTCAGAGAGTGCACCCTCGGCGCTGCCTTTGGTCGGCCCCCACCCACAGCCCTTAAGATAATCATTCCACGGTCTGAAGTATATTAAAGAAAACGTGCCGAAGAGAAACATAAATACCCATAGTCTCCGCACAGAAGGTCGATGCCGAAAATCCTGAAGGAAACCTCCTGACATAATAAAATCAACTGAAGTCGGGTGCATGGGGTTTAAACAACAGAGTGTCCGCAATTGAGCTCTAGTGCATCCCAAACCTGGTGCCAGTACAAATGCACATACTTTTGCTCGCGTTCCTCGCGGTTGGCACTGTTTCTCATCGTTCTCTGCAGTGGATGATCATGATATGCGTCGCATTGTCTCTCGCCGCCTCCAGAGAGGCGAAGGCGAGGTGTCAGGTAACGGAGTGGTGCATGCGCCCTTGGGCCTCCCGTTACGTGCTGCTCTCGAGGGGGAACGCCAGGTGGGGGCTGCCGCTGGGCGGACGTGACATGGGAAAGTTACGAGGCCGGCAGCACCCCAGCGTGCGAGGAGTGACGGCATGTCGGCGCTGCGCACTCAGTTGGCGGGCTTTGTGGTGCAGGGCATGAAAAGAAAAGAATGTGTGGGGTGTATCAGGTTGTTAAGGTGCTACGACGGTACATGCACAGCACGGCTACTGCATCGCCAGTTTTTCCCGTTTCGTCTAGAAACTTGAAAAGCTGTCATGAAATGTACAAGTGCTGTGGAACGTTCTCGGAGCATCCTAAGCAGGATGCTCAACCTAAGCAATGAAGTTGAGTGCCCATTCGTACCGTCTATAAAAAAAATGTAGAAAGTGTCAATTTTTTCATAGTTGCACAAATAGTCGCACAGTGTACGTATGCCAATCAGATCACTTGAGGTAGAGTGTTCCAAGCACTACAAAGTTTTGTTTTGGGCAATGAAAAGAAGCACGTACTAGTACCTAAAGTTTTGTGATAGATATATAAGAAAAAGTTTTCAGCTTTTGTTTTTTTTCAATCGAGGGTATATGTATTTTTAAGAATATACATTTTGTGAAAATGGATACAAATGTGAAACATCAGACACACAAATAAAGCAATCATTATAAGAAGAACCAAAAACCACAAAAAAAAGAGTGTAACAAATGTTGGGAAATTTGAATGGTCAGCTTCATGAACGATACGCTCGAGCAACAAGCTGCACTTAGTGAGAGAAAGTGGTGAAACTTTTAATTGGCTAGTAACGGAGGAGAAAGTAATTTTACACTTTGGCACAATCGGAGAGCACCAATGGGATAGTACTACAACAAAATTTTGGCGCTTATTTCTTGGTGTATATGTGTTCAAGGGAGCAGTATCAGTACTAATATTTTGTTGAAAAAGTCATGAAATGGACTTTTAAAACTAATTTAACTATTAACAAAGGGCACCTGGTGGATGTCACTAAGGCCTCGTTTGTAATAATGTCCATCTAGGAACCTTGACAGGTAGTGACGATAACTGTCTCGTCTAGAACTATACATGCTTTGAACCTGACATTATTCTGACAGCTCTACGGCCAGCACGAGAGAAGAGGGGAGGAAAAAAACTTCTCACTCAACGTGACTTTTTTTTTTTTTTTCTGTGTGTGTGTCCCAGACGTTACTATTCTTCCTCTACAAGATTATAGAAAATTAACCCGTCACTCTAAATTCACACAAAAGCAGCTTTGTGGTTAGTTGCGGTGGACTGATCGCTGGCGTGTTTCGACCGCTTCGGTGGCTGGAACGACTAGGGCATCCTGACGATGTCAGTTTCGCTGCAGCTTTGCTTATCCCGAGACAAACTATGTCACGATTGCGCCGGATGTGACATGCTCTCTGCTGGATGCTCTCGGAGCGCTTGCCAGAGTGGGCCGTTTATAATGAAAAATGCAGTCATCAGGCTCAAAATACAAATGTGTCATTGTCATTTACGGATATGGTGTACCATATTCAGCCTATTTCTGAACATGACGGGTATTATTTCAAATTTCGTTTAAGTATTCCCTTTAACTAGAGGGCTCAAAAGGTTGAATATGCTGTACAGGTGCTGGTGCACTGACAAGTCAGCCTGCCTGTCAGTCAGCATGCACCCACCTCACTTTTCAATGTGAAATCTTCAATTATCCCAAAATTTCCGGAATTGAAGGGAGTTGCCTTTTGACATAAATATATTTGTTTGTGGCCTGACTGACTGAATTTATAAGGTTCCACAGTGCAGTAAAAACAACTACCAATGAGATAATATTTCATTTGCAGCTTAATATGTTAGACCAGCCAGCATACATGCAGCTATTACATTTGTCCTCCAGAGGGGGAAACACGGTCTACTAAAACTCCCTATTGGAGCAAGCCATAGCCCACTTGGAGGTAAGTGGAGATGCGCGCGTGGGAAGGAAAAAAGGGGCGCCAGAGAGGGGCGCGGGACAATCGAACTAGGTTGGGCAGCATGAAGATGTCAGACTTCCGTCGTGGGCCAGGCCCCAAGAGGTGTGACCGAGTCTCCCGCATCCCAACGGCCTGTGGCGCCGATACACCCAGCACTGACTCGACCTTGTTGGGAGCGGGGACTTGAGACAGTCTTCACATCTGGTACCCTACAGGAAAGAAGCCTCCCGCTGCGACCAGAGATCCGGCTACCTCCAAAGCTCTCGAGACCGAAGCGCTCCTACCACTCTACTCATCTTCCCTGCGGCATCTAAACCAGTCTTCAGCCGGTGCTCTTGCTCGCCGAACCTGTGAGTTCCAGCTAATCTCGCCACTAGTAATTTTGATATCTTGTTTTTGTCTCAACAGTACATAGTGCCGCGACTGTTTTTTTTATTTATTACTGCCCTTACGATCGTCGAGTTTTTTACTAACGATGCAACTCTATCTAACTGTTTACCGTCTATAAGCAATGAATGGCGACTTCGTGACGAGTTCCTCGAGATTGCAAAGTTTTAGAATCTGCGCCCCGAAGCACCATGCCTTACCCCAACGTTCCCGCAAGCCCCCTCGGAGAGCCCACCTGTGCGCGCGTGGATGTACCACATGGCGGCCACCAGGGCCATGCCGATGGCGAAAGAGGAGAAGGCGATGCCCACGACGGCTTCCATCATGACGCCCACAAAGACCACGGGCGGCTGCTGGGCCTCGGTTGGCTTCCTGGGCCGGGGCCGGGACGAGCCTAACGTGGCTTTGGGGGCCGGCAGCGGGAAGGTGGACCCCTGTCCGCTGCCACCCATGGGCAGCGACAGCTGCTGCTGCTCCCCCGGGGAGCTGTGCAGCATGGGGAACCCTGCAAAGACCGGACACGCTGCGGTCACCGACGGGATGATGACGGCAGGGAGAAGTTACGTTTGTCCTGCCCTCAGCACGAGCATGTTCGATCACGCTTGAACGTCCCGTGCATCTTGAGCGCGCCTGCGCGACTAAAGCACGGAAGGGGCACGGAGCGCGTGCTGGAGATCGGGTGTTCCAAATACACGCTGTCTTTTTGAATCTGTCAGGGACTATAAGTAAGCTACCGTATTGTCTGGACTAGAGTCCATCGGCTATACACGTTTGAGTTGAAATTTTTACGCGATGTGGAGTGTCTACAGGTGCAAACCATACGAGGATTTTTTTTTTTTAAGATTGCTCATTGTGACGAGATGCGACAGATTTGGTGAACAATGAATTATGTTAATAATGATTTCTGTACGATACGAGCTTCTTTGTACACTAATAAAGTGGGTAGTTTTCAAAGTGTGCTGTGCGGAATAGTTTTACGTGCGGAATATCCACAAGGTGTGGACTAAGCACCGGGTGCAAACCATCTAAGGAGAACTTCCTTTTTTTTCAGCCAAAATACGTCCCTGCAGACTATATGCCGGGTGAGGACTATAGTCCACAAAACACAGTATGCTTCGGTGCGATGCCACTTTGGTCACCATGTTGTTTGAAATCCTTGCTGCCAGCTATCTGAATCTTTATCTTAAATAGCAGGAAACGCTTTTCGGTCCTCCAGAAATGCTAAAACGGTCTGCGACAGAGCAAGACGATATTGCCCGAGCTTTCCGATGGCGTATGTAAAGCGGAGGAAGTGACATTTTTTAATTGTAACTATCACCGATTGCGCCTGCCCTGCAGGCAACAAAATGGCAGCGCCCATAAGACGGTTGGAAAATGAAGTCTCGATACCCTAAGCATGGCTCACTTACTGACTCTAGTGCAAACGGAGTCATGGGACACTCATGGGGTGCCGCTTTCCCTGAACTTCTGCTCGTCTTTGCCCAACAGCGTGCGAGAAAAACTGGTATAACAAGCTGAACCCGTTTAGGCCGAATTGTAGATTACTATCATATTTACTCAAATATAAGTCGATTACAGATATATTGTAATCAGTGTTGGATAAAGTACATCTTAAAACTAAGCACTTCGAGTGACTGTAGTAAGTACATTGATCACAATGCACTTGAAGTGAAGTACTATAAATACAAAATACTTTCAAATTACAAGTACTTTTTAACATAATTTTTCATTATGCCCTTCCTACACCTATAGCATATTTTTTTTAACTTGTACGCATTGCTTTAGGGGTAAATGAAGGTGGATTAGCTATTTTCGAAAACGGCAGCGAATATTGGACAAAGTCAAGTGGCTACAGAGGAGTTGCTTTACTATCACTGCCAAACTATTTAGCGCAATCAACTTATAAGGCACTTATTTGTATCTCAAAGAAATGACCGGATGACGTCTCGAAAGACGATAAAGCGTTTTCACATTACGATATGCTGTTTTTTTCTGTTAGAGGTTAATGAATTTAACCTCGGAAGTTGTGCATAGTACTACAGTACTGGGAAAGCCAAGGACACAAGCACGTGATCCTTGCAATAGCCTAATTTCGCAGAGCGCAAGAAGGCACTGCCCAGACCAACACGCTCATCTCCGTGCCTTTCCCAGCAACAAGTCCGAATTCGGGGAATGTATTTTGAAATCAGAAGTTGTACTTTCTTCGGAAAGTACATCAGAAAAAGTACTTTAAAAGAGCTGTGCAACGATTTTAACGTTGAAAGAATTGGCGTCTTCTACTTTTGACATAGTTCATCTTGTCAAAAGGACAGAAAACACACCTCCTTACTTCAAAATGTTGCGATTCCACCGCATAATCGCGAGGCAAAAATTACCGTATTTACTCGCATATTGGTCAATACGTCGTATAGGTCGACCCCCTAACTTCGGGACCCCCGAAAAAAAAAAAAAGTTGAAAAATATAATACCGGGATTCGCGTATTGGTCGACCCCCCAGTTTTGATGAGGCGATTTTTGAAAAACAGGTCGACCTATACGCGAGTAAATACGGTAGAATATTCCCCGACCTGCAGCCGCAAGCGGCGGCCATGAGAACCACGTAGCATGACAACAATGGGGGTCTTCTAGAAAGATAGCAAGTTGTGCAAATACAGTATAGACCACTTACAACGTAACCGCTTATAGTGCAGGACCGGGTACAACGCGGCTTTTTAAACCACCGGTTTGCCTCCCATAGAACTCAATGTATTTACATACCGCTTAAAATGCAGGCGCGCGAAGGGGAATACTGGTTATAGGGCGGTTTTTGGAACAGCGTGCCGACTGACCGGCGCTGCGAGCACACTTCCCTGTGCGACACTAGATAACGGCGCGAGCCGCAAGCGGCACTCGCGGGGCAAGGAGGTTGCTCAAAGAAGCGGGAAGAAGTGAAGAGAGAGGCTTCAGTTGCCATAGCGACGGAGGGACGCACGCACGTGTCGTTCACGTGCGTGCGTCCCTCCGCTGCGTTGGAAACAAACAACCGCAACGACAGACCAATCGCAGGTCGAAGAGAAGTGTTCGCGCGCGTTGCAAGCCGGTCGCGGGCCGGCTGCTGCGGCTGCTTCTATCCACGAACATGGCGTTGGTTGTGATCGTCGACGTAGACGGCGTGGTGGAGAAGCTCATCGTTCCGCGTAAAAGCGCTATCCTTGACTGTGAATTTTCGTTGTGTGTCGCTATGATAACCCAGCACGTACTAGAAGGGAAGATCCACCTACTCGTGCGGCAATGTTGTGGCGGCACTCTCAAGACGGCAGAAACGCCCGTGTCGTCGTGTTTGTTTACTTCGACTACAGTGGTGCTTTCTAAGCATTTGTGTTTTCGAACATCGCCCGGATTTCTTATTTGGAGCATTTCATGCCTGTGCTCAAGTTGAAGGTATATTACTGGCGCGTACCGTATAAAAGATGCGAATTTTGACGCGTTTTCATCGCCGGAGAAAAGTGATTAGGGTTAGCAATCCTGAACGCTCGCAACGTCCGTCCGCAACCCGCGACGCCGTTAAAAGGCTGCGCCAGGCAAAAGTCACTCATTTCTTTCAAAATGTGTGACATTTGAGAGAGAAGTGTACTAGTCTGGTGAAATAAAGACTTTCCTCAAAATAAGCTTTATTTTTCATCGAACATAAAATAAATTCTTTTACAAAGGTAAGTTGTCTGATGGCATGTATTTTGGCCTGAAAAATTGATGTTTTGGTTATAGCGCGGTACCGCTTATAGTGCGGATTTTCGCAACTCCCGCGACATACCTGCTCGATAAAAGGTAACTTTTCTATAAATCTTGTCAGTCTAACATAAATATAAATGCGTCAAAAACTTGATATCATCGACAAAACATCTATCTTAGGTCCACAAAACCATCAGCTCTATTGCTACCGCAAACAGCCACCAGAAGCCGGAGGGGGACGGGGACACAGCCAGACGGGGATGGCTGGACTTGGATGAGACTTTCCTCCTCCTGCCATACTGTTCACGCTGTGCCCGCCAGCACGTGGTCACGCGGTCGCGAGTGGATGAGTTCTCGCTGCTCACTGGTGGCTCTAGAGAGAGAGCTTCACCGGCACCCCGCGCGACCCCCGTTGACAACAAAGCGCACGCGACTTGGAAGATGGTGAAGGAGTTGAGAGGTGCCGGAAACCTCAATCTTTGTCCATTTTTAAAATAAAAATCTAGGACACGCAGGCAAAAGTGTTTTTTTTTTTGTTCTTTACTTCAGCAAGGTCGAGACACCAACTCCCAAATTATTTAAGCAAAGCAGTGAAACTGTTGCACAGCTCCTTTAAGTGAAGTATACATACTCAGAGAGTGTACATCAAGTAAAATACAAGTTTTCTAAACCTACCTGAAGGACAATGTGCTTAAAGCACTTCCTAGCACTGACCGTAGTACACTGTGTAAGTGCCCACCCAAATTTGGAAATCTTGAAAAACTAATGAATAGGCACTTGTTATGGCAGACAGCAAAAATGCAGAAGGGGCACATGATTGGGTGGACTTCACCACTTTGTACCAGCACATCTGTGTCAGGCTTCACTGCCATGCGTCGATGTGCTCAGAGAAATGGCTGACAAGGGAGAGCATCTTAGTTAGCTGGGTGGGTTTCGAACTGTAGAATGGGTGCTTGATATGTCCTTTGATTATTTTCAAACATTTCAAAAGTAGTGGGCAGGTGTTTATTGTGACATGGGTACCTACTCAGTATGTTATGATTGGTGAACCCCTAAGAACCCACCGAGAAATCTAAAGAGAATATTTGAATATAGGGCAACCTTTATTCTTAAAGAAGTAGAAGGGAAGGAAATTTATATGAATATTTAGTTCACAGTGGGTCTATTCACTGCACATGAAACTAACTTTTTGAGTGCCTTGATTATGTCATTTTTTGGACTTCCACAACAATATGCCTCGAAGTTCAAGCACTGGCGTCGCACCGCTTGCATTAAGCTTCACTGCTTTGCACTAATGCTCTCATGTCAAGCTTCACCACTTTGCACCTGGGGATGTACATGGAGCTTCACTGCTTTGTGCCGGCGTGCTTGCGGAAGAGGCTGGTGCAGGGTAGCAACATGGTTAGCTCAATGAAGTAAGATAATTTGCTCGCTATTATAAGCCGGCATTCTTTCATCACAGTTATAGGTCAACCCCCAATTTTAGACAGCTTTTGCCAAAAAAAACAACATTATATTTGAATAAATGCAGTAGACACTCGGACAGTGAAGGTGCAACATCCACGTGCAATTAAATATCAACAAAGTGCGTATGTGTGTTACTGTCTCCAATAACATACCAAAAAAGTGCCTACCAAAGACTGTGAGGTAGTTATATTGATAACAATCACTTTAGATACTGTAGGTAGTTTTAATAAATTGTGAAAAACAGAGGGCCAGCACTTGAACCAGTGACAGCACGTGAGACTAAGGCCCCTGAATAAGGAAGGTAGCGACATCATCACTCTCCTCCTCTGACGCACAAACTTTTTATCCTTACTTTTTGCACTTTTACACTCGCGCATAGACGGTAGCGCCATCAGGATCGCTCCAAAATAGCGGGCAGCCTTCCTATGACATTACGCTTTCGGCGTTACTTGACTGGAGGGCAACTCCTCCTTCGCCGTGTGCGCTCCGTTATCTTAATTTTTTGCTCTTTCGCACTCTCGTGCGCCGACGGTAGCGCTGCCTGGACCGCTCCGAAATAGCAGGCGGCATTCTTCAAACGATGTCGCTACTTTTCTGTATAAAGGGGCTTTACGTGAGACAACCTGGAGATTAGAGACAGTCTTTCACCAAATAATGACACATGACGCTTCAGAATATTTTAAAATGAAAATCAAGATAGTTGATTAGGTGGCATTTTTAGAGATTACGTAAATGTTACCAGGCAAAACCTTTGATGGCAATCTGTATGCCTGTTTGGAAAAAACACTCATAATTAGTGTAGTCACGGGCAAAGAAACCAAGTATAAGTGATTTGTGAATGCCTCCAGCACAATTTAGGTACCTCTTATATTAGTGTACTATAACTATACCACTTTAACATTTCCATTTTCACAGGTTCATCCCAAGTTGCTGAATATTCCTGGAGTACTACACTAAATTTCCTTGTCTGTGGATGAGACTTGAGCTCTTCAATTTCTTTTGTGCAGTCACATGATCAAACAAGCCAAGCATGTAATTAAGAACCATTACGTTCAAGAACACAACTGGTGCATTACCTTCAAGTATACTACTCGCATCCCCTAAGATGGGGGTATTGATAGTCCTCGTTGTTTGCTATGAGAGACATCCACTGTTCACAAGTGAACATATATAAGGAGAATGATCTGGCCAGCAGGACTGGCACTACAGGCACATGCTTACCCTTGGCTGGTCCCCCGGCAGCCGCCATAGCGGAACCGTCCCTGCCAAGAACCACAAAGGGGCCCCATGTCTCCACGGCAGCCAACTTGCTCCCTGGTGCCTCTGATCCGGCAGAGTGTGCCAAGGCAGCGCACGGTTCCCCGACGTCTTGGCACTTGGAGGTAGGAAAACCGGGGGATTACTAACTGATTTGCTCCTTTCAGTGACCGAGAGAACGAGTAATCTCCCAAGGAACCACATTTTGTAAGGTTCCGATTGAATTTGACGTCCTATCCACAAATTCCAGGCTATAAGGCACCTCAGGTCACAGTTTTGATCCCAAGCCTAACCTGAAAGCCTGACCTTGAGCCTTGAACTAATCTCGACACAATAAAGCCTTGGTCAGAAAGCATGAGACAAAGTGGCTGTTTATAAAAGTAATCAAAACTTGATACAGTATTTTACCGAAAATACATGAAAATAAACGAGGAACAAAAACCACAGTTGGAATTTGAATTCCATGCGTGCTGGTTGTTACAAGAATTAAAGGAAAGCAAGAAAAAAAAAGCTGCCAGTTGAGAAATTCCTTGTCCTCTATTGTTCTTTTTTGGTGGTTTCTGTTCATCCTTGAACTTTAATTGCTTCTCTAATGTACTCTATAGTGGCATATATTCACCCTAATCTTAGCCAACTATCTACTACATAGTGCATTGGCAACATGCCATGCACTATTTGAAACTTCCCAAGTCTGCATAGCAGAAAAATACATTGGCCGAGGACTTACTCGGAGAAAAGCTAGCCAGCACTATTGAGAGTCGCTTACAAGAGCCCCTAAAGACACTTGTTTGCTTAACCGAAGGTCTAAGAGTAGCAATGTCCCAAAGCACCCCCCTTCTACTGGCTTCTGGCAAATTTCATTCCTTTCAACTCCTAGTAAAAGGGACACTGGGCCGATTTCCACTCCTGGAATGGCCAAGCCATTCCATTTCATTCCTCTAATTCCTTAACTTGAAAAACGACTCTGGACAGCTACACTGTGTTGCTGCAAAAAGTAGCATAAAGCTAACACTATCAAAGGCATAGGAAACAGCAAGAAATATGCAAAACACGTCCTTAAAGCCCTGATTCTACTAAGCCGAGCTGTGGTCGCATGAAGCGCTTGGTGGCACTGCAGGCACCGATCGTACAATGAAGCGTAAAACCCTCGCAACAGACAACAAAACTTAAAATTACCTACATTTTCTGCAAACAGACCTCATGCCTTCCACTTCTAGGTGATACATGACAGCATGTTTGCTTAATAAGGCCTTAAAAATGTCTGCAGTCAGTGACAGGTTAAGAGTTCAGGAGAAGCTCCTCCCACCCCTTCCCACCTTAGCAGAGTGAACGGTGGAGAGGAAGCAACCTCTTCTCCAACGTTCACTCTGCTAAAGTGGAAAGAGGTGGGAGGAGCGTCCCCTGAACTCTTAACCTCTCATTAACTATAGTTAACATGTGGCGAATGTAAGATGCCACAGGTGGAGAGCGATGGCATGCTTCACTCTATGAAATGGCTGTTTTTAGCGTTACGAGTATGTTTCGTAACGACTTGTTCAAGGCAGATTACAGAGAAGGTACCTAGTTGAAGGGGAAATGAAGTCAAGGAAAACTTGCTTTAGCAAAAATCATTACCATACCAGCAGGTATCTTAAACCTCTATGATGAAAACAATAATTGCATTCAGTTTCAGTCATTTTTAGGACACACATTCCTCATGGTGCCAAAAGCTGCCCACACGTGGCTTCGTCACTTGCAGAACCCATACTTCGTTAAACCTTATGATGGATCGCAGAGAACGCAACAAGCCATCGAAGCCAATCCAATGCGCCTTGTAGCCTTTGGAAGCAATGCTGCAATGCGCGAAGCCCGTAAACATGTGATCATTCACAGGTTTGAATCGCTGGGGTGGTTCGTAGTATCCACTGCTGTCTGCTGTAAGGTTAAATGGAGTATAGGAACTTCGTAACGAGATGCTCGTTAACCCAGTCTGTTACAGACACAAGAGCCGGTTATGCCACTTCTGACTCTGTGTACGCCTCTGGAGGGAGAAGACCCACACGCGAGAAAGGCAGCCGACGTGGCTTCGTCCCAGCCGGTAACCTATGACCGGCGCTGTAATCGCGCATGGCTACAACAGTCGCTTTGTCGTGTCTCATGGCGCCGAGAGCAACATTTTGTTTGTCTACAACTTCTAAGTTTAGGTTGCTTTGCCGGGGGTGGCCACTTTCATCCTTGAATGAACACGAACCAGTCAAAAAATCAAGCCGTCAGTCGCATTAAGTGGAGTTATGCTGTCTCAAGGGCTACCTTGACCGTCCGATAACATTGTGACAGCAGGCCGTGGGCCTTAGCCGAAGATCGACACAGCTCACATAGGAATCGAGCCCATATTCCATTCCCACTCCATTCCGGGCAAAAAGCACCCAAGTCCATTCCTCTTACATTCCTCCCAGTGATGCTGCCATTCCATTCCCATTCCATTCCGGGGTTGCAGAAGTGTGGAATGATTCCGGAATCATTCCAACTCTGGAGTTGCCACTCCACAACACTGGTGAGTAGTACCTGTATGACGCCCGCTTGCAGGAGCCTGCTTGAAGCGGAGCAAGCGTCCAACTTGCACTTGAGAAGAAGGACTTCCCCGGCCAGTTCAGAATCCAGCTTGAAAGAAAATCGCTTCCAACAGGGGACTTGGAGAAAAGACCCCAGGCCCCTGCTACCAAAGTGCTGCAGTTTCACTCCCATTCGATTAGGGCAGCTGGGAAGCAAAAGACATTCTGGGTTCAGAGGTTAAGTATGTACATTCCTCAATCATTTGAAATTTTACAAGTGAAGAAGTTTTGGTCTGAAGCTTTCATACCCTATTGCCTCTACTAGCCATAGCATTGGGTAGGTTTCTTACTTTCAACTATGCATCACCTATTTATGTAATGAGGGAAATCCTGGAAAAGATTCTGGGGAACAGTTGCTACTATGCTAGCTGATCCATTCAAAGGGACAACTTACTATCAGTGGACGTGAAGTGTGCTACCACAGACAATATAAGCTGTATGGTCATTCTTACTTCTTTGGCGTACCTGCCCTTCTTTGAGATAGCTATGGTTCAAACTGGGAGTGAATGTGAAATTAAGGTCCCATACTTCAGACTATTTGGCAACTTGAGAGCTAAAAGACAAAAATTACGAGGCAGCAAATTGATGGTTGAGGCAAATCGGTAAAAACCACAAAGATGATTACCTATGAATGCGATAGCATTTATTGTTGCACACAGCCATATTTAGCAGGGAAACTGAATTGGTGCATAGGTCATGACATCAATTTTTCCGCTAAATTAAGCGGGAAAACTCCCCACTAAATTTAGCGTCTCTCTAGGACAACTCTAAATCCCTGTCGTCTTTGAGATCACCCTAGAGGTCGTTTTTAGGGTCATCCTAAACGACATTCTTAATGTTGTCCTCTAGGACGACGTCAAAGACGACATCTAGAACGACCTCTAGGATGATGTCCAGGACAACCTCTAGGGTGACCTCTAGAACGACTTCAAGGATGACATCTAGAATGACGTCCTAGGGGATGACGTCGAAGGTGACGTCTAGGACAACCTCTAGGACGACGTCAAGGTCGTCAGCTCCTTCAAAGAGGGTGCGAATGTGAAGGAGTACATACTGCTGCTCTGCATAAGTGCGGCGCAATGGGGTGCAAGCACAATGAGCTGAAATGGTCTACTGTGCGTACTTACTGCACATTAGGAGGCCAGAATATACATGGCTAAAAATCTTAAGTAGTAGCTTAATAATGCCATTGCATTAATAGGGCTTGTGGGGACCGTAGATGCAGAATTAAAGGAGCCAGATCGGGTGTTTCAGCTCTTATTGTCTGCTGAGGTACAGTCATGCAGAGTAACCTTCAATTCTCTTAATGTCACGTGACGCTGTGATTCTCTGCCGAATTTCGCCAAGTCTTCCTGCTAAATTTAGTGGGCCCCGACCCTTCATGCAAACGCAACCTTCAAGCTGTCTTGTTCAATTCCTGCACTTGCTTTATGTAGGCATTACATGTATATTCAATGCCTCATTCACCACCTCCTTTTGCAGAAAAATTGCTCAAGGTCTACAACTCTGCTGAATTTACTCCCATACTCCCAGGTTACTCCCAGGTTCTCAGCCTCCCATTGAAGCTGAGAACAGCTCAGCTTCAATGGGAGGCTGTTAATTTTATTGCACGGGTGAACATGACAGCAACTGGTCAAGCCCAGCATAGGAATGACCAAGGTTCAGTTGAAGCACTGAATTTCTAGCTTTTATTTTGGGATAAAGTCTATGTAAGTAAGCATAGCTTTGAATAATTTGCCATACCCATCTTTCAGGAGTATCCATTTCTGCGAAACCTGCGATTCGGGCCGACTCGCATTTGTGAGCCAACACTTTGTGACCATGGTGCATAAGTCTGAAACTGAAGAAAGATCCATTTGAGTTTTCTAAGAGTGAATGTGTCCACCAAGGCCTAACATTCTATCAAGACCCACCATTCTGAATCTCCACATGAACATAGGCGACGGTGTCTGCCACCAGACTAATTGGGGCTTGAGACAAGGGCCTGGTGAACTCTGGATCGTGAAACACAGTCATGTCGTAGAGTGTACTCGCTTCCACAATCTGTCAAAAGAGATGAAAGAAAATGCCCTCAGACGATTGATAAGATAACCCCAAGACATATACCATGTAATTGCGTGTATGGTTCGCACTCGTGTAAAAAAATTCTTTGCATATTAGCCGCCCTTTTTCCGAGGCCTGCAGACCGCTTCCGAAGTGTGGCGCGTGCTCCGCGTCTCCGCCATTTTTACTCCCCCATGCTCGTGTTTCTGCTCGCACTTTTTGCCGTGCTTTGAAGTGCAGATAAGAAAGATTACAGGAGTGAAGCTTCGGAAAGCTGTCCTTTTTATGGTTTTTCTATCATCCACGGTCGCCTTCTACCCATGTGCTATGAATTGGACACTTTCGCCCATGTGCTGCTCTAAAATCAAACACTCGGATTTCTGAATGTTGCCATTAGGCCAGTTAGGCTTCGTGAATGTTTCTTTCTGCTAAGTTGGTCTATAAGGGCCCCACAACCAGAGAGCAGTAAGCAAGTATTTTCGAACTGTCACTTATGTCCTGGAGTGTGGCAAACATGCATTGGGTCTCCAAAACGGTGTCGACAAGGTCTGCATATGGTGCTGGATAAAGCGTGCGGTCCAAGGCGGGCTCAGTGGTACGCTGCAGCTGCTCGACGTACCGTATATGTATTGCCATGCATAAGACAACCTTCTTTTCCAGAAATGTATCTCAAATGAAAGGGTTTGACCTATACGCAAATTTGACCGACCTATATGCGAGTTTACACGCATTGAGCCAAATGACGGGTTCTAGGGACTTTTGCCTGCATGAAGAGATAGTTTCGTATTGCTTGTTTAAGACAACGTCTGGGTGACTTCATTTTAGAACTTAAAACATATTTTGAAAAGGCCGTTCAAAGGTGGGTCGTTGACCAATGAAGCAAAAGCTTTAGTGTTTCATATAATGATATTGAGTGCAAGGCATGTGCAGTCACTACTGAACTGAACATTGCTCGCAGTGAGTTTAAAATTTTGAAGATGTGGATCACAAACTTCATAAAGTGCATTGGGCTAAGCCTGAGATGGCAGATGCTATGGCAGAAGCTGCCGGACGCCTACGAGCAAAAGCTGCAGGAGTTCCATCGCTATGTTGCTGACCCCTGAACGCGGAACAAATGCCGATCAGACGCCGGTTTGGTTCGACATGCTGAACAGAAGAACCGTCGTTGAAAAGGGGTTGTTGTCAGGTGAACTTGCTAACCACGAGCAACGAACACAACTGCTTTACCGCAATGTTGTGCTGTACGGCCGATGGCCACAAGCTGCCCCCTACCTGATGTTTAAGCGAAAACGATGTCGACCAACGAACAGTGATCGTTTGCGCCAACAAGAAAGGCTTTTTCAATGAGTATAGTGTTTTAGAGTGGTTTCAGATCGTCTGGTGTAGGCGTCCGGGTGCCCTCTTAAAGCCCTGGAGCATGCTCGTCCTGGATTCCTTCTGTGGTCACATCACGAACCGTATTAAGAAGACGATAGCGAACAAAGGATGTGACCTGGTGATCCTCCAGTGGAGGGTGACGTCCACCCCTTAACTCCCTGACACTGTTCTCAATAAGCCTTTCAAGGACCATGTAGGGGCCTTCTACAATGAGTGGACAACCCAGGAGGACAACCCCAAGATGCCGACAGGTAGTGTGAAGCGTGCCTTGTTGAGCACTTTGGCCCAGTGGATGAACGATGACTTATACACGACAATATACGGTAGGCATCAGAATGGACGTTGAGGTGAAATTCTATGGAATTAATGGTTATTGTGAACCCTGAAAAGGCACTTAGTGGAGAGCTCAAAAGAGAACCTCTGACCACTTTTGAAGCCAGTCAGACCCAAGCACCGGGGATAATGCAGGTTACGACGATCGAGACCAAAATAAAGGAGTTCTAGACCACTGCTCGCTATTTCAAGTACATCCATTTTTGTTATGACATCCAGAACTATTTTGTTCCTATTTGTATGTGGGCCGCACCTAAAAAATTAACCCCGAAATTTGAAAAAAAGAATAAATAAATGTGACCCCTACACGCGTCTCTAAGGTAGACTAGCCTGTTTCAACTTGCACACTGATCAGACTTTGCATAAATCAGCTTCATGCTACTGCATATTCTAAGTTACCGCAGTCATGATCAGGTGTGCAAGCCAACAAATATAGGCACTATCTAAATGCATCTCTATGGTTCTGAACCTTTTTCTATCTCGATTGGATGGCAGTCAAGGAACAATTCCCGGTATTGGCATTGATGCAGCGAAGCTGCGAAGAAGCATATAAACCTTGTATATAGCTAGGCAATTATGCATATACTAGGGAGTGTCTGGCTCAAAGTTAGTCATCAATCGGTGCCCAGATCTGTTAGAATAGCACTTAACGTGGAGGAAAACCGATTTACTTGGGGGCAGAGACTGTCAAGGAAATTTGAATGCTCGGGGAACCCGCAGGAGTGTTCTGGGTCTGAGAATCCACCATCTGGTCAGTAACCCACCTCTCCGGAGCCGATCAGACGGTGCACTCCAGCAGATTTGCCTGCCTGCTCTGCATCGAAGCACTGCACTTTGAGTGCAACGAGCAGTTCCTTTGCCATGGCACCCTTCCCGTCTCCATTGATCACTCCGAATCCAGACCCGTCGTCCCAGTTTCCATCTTCGTCGTCGAGAAATGCCTCCTTTCCCGTGGCTGACTCGGTGCTTGATCGTTGTTTGTCTCTTAGCAACCATATAAGGACCTGCAGAGAGTGTTGCCAGCATTTTTATGTTTAGTTACGAATATAAAAGTCAGTTCCTATGGACAACTAGGGTCACGGCGACAACGGGATAGTGAGACTGTTAGAACGACTAATAAAGTTGCTTGGGAGAAGGCCTCGGGAAAATGGATACAGCTGGCTAAGTGCGGAGCTGGGAACATGGCAAGTTTGGGCATCTTATCAATGCCGAGCGACTCTAAATTAAACGAAACAATGCCTGGCGGCATACACAGTATAACCTCGTTATAACAGATATGGCTACAGCAGACATTCGGTCATAACATACCGATTTGTAAAGTTTTGGTTGGTCGTCCTATGTATACCATTTGGCATGCTTCGCTTATTACAGATTTGGTTATAACATACATTCGAATATCATAGACTATATTAGAAAGTCCGTAAGTAGTTCACCATTCCATTTAGCGGACTCTTCGACAGCAGTCGGACATTACGCGGCTTTGGTTCGGTAGCAACATATCCATTATGAAATATCCATTTTGCAAACTGATATGTCACCCCACTCGGCGCCCCGTACAATCGAAAGCGCGCAGTGATGACGATCATCGGGCAGCTCAATAAAAAATCATTACCTTTAAAAAGTTTGGAAGACTCAATAAGCCAGCTCTTTTTTAATATCCATTCATGTTTCATCAGTCTCGCTGGTAAGCAAAAGAATCCAGTCCTAATCCACATCAAAGTCTGTAGTAGGAGTATCTGCGTTCTGCATACTCCTTTCACAACAGACCAAAATCTCCGTCACTATGAAAGTCCGTCATAACGAGTTTATACTGCAACAGGTACATACACGCTGCTATCCAAGACACGGTACGTTGCCGAGAAAAGTACCGAGGCTGCGAGCCCTCTCACCTCGTGACGGTAGACGGTGGCACCGGTGTACGACTCCACGATGTTGGCGTTGCATGACCTGAGCGGCGACTCAAGGATATAGTGCGTCTTGTTCCTGCGGGCTCGGCAGGAGGAGTCCTTGAGGGTGAGGACGACGTGGACGGGACCTCCGTCAGATTTAGGGGTGGGGCGGGGGGTCAGCGGGGCAGCCCCTTCTTCGGAGGGGGCCTGGCCCGAGACATGCCTCGACACATACTCTATGGCAGGGCTGGGAAAGGCCACCTGCACCTTCTCCGAGAGGCAGCTCAGGGCCATGTCTTGTGCCAGGCGCAGGCGCAAGCTGTCTCTCAGGTGGCGTTCTTTGCTGGTGTCTGGGTACGAAAGGACGAGGGCTCAATTATTACGACGGCCGTTACGCACGGGATATGCAAGCAGCATGGTGTGGAGTATAAAAACTGAGAGAGTAGAACAACAACAAAAAAAAAGACTAATCACCCCTCTTTTTTTTTTTTGTGTGTGTGTTTACAACGCCACTTTTTTGCAATGACAAAAATGTTAATAGGGAGTTTTAGAATAGCGTACACAGATGCCTTGTGTATGCAAAGAATGGCGTTGTTGCCACTGCGCACACGCCGAACACTAACCGCGTTTTGCACCTAGCTGAGCTACATTAGCTTCGCCATTCTTTGGAAATTGCGTGCGTACACAAGGCTCCTTTGCGCTCCTCTATGGTGAATTCGTGATGTGCGAGAAGTTGGCTAAAGCCAAGACGAGCACAATTAGAAAATGACGGCTCCCAGGAACACGGCTGCTGCCGCTTTGGTGGCCATCGTGAGTGCGACGTCAGCGGTATCCTTACGACTGCGATCTTCAGTGAAATAAAAATTGTTACTGTATCCTAGTGGTGTTGCAAGCACGAGGTGCTTGGGTTTTTGCGCCGCGGCATTGAAATGCTATTTTAAAACTCTCTTGCATAGCATGTGCTAATGCGAGCGAGAAATTTTGTGCCAGCATGCACTAAAATTGCACACATTTGTTCTAAAAGCCCCAAATATGTAAAGTGGTAGCAAATGACCTAGCTAAATGTAGTTTTGCGTTTAGAAAACATTTGTTCTGAACCTCTATATCTCTTCTTTATTTTGTGTCTGTGTATGTTTAAGTGTCGTTTATACTACAATGATCTCATGGCAGAGTCATAAAATTGAGAAAAACCTACAACAAGGATTCAATAGTACAAAGAGTGCCAGAAACACAAAATAAGTGGCCAGTCTTGATATAACCTTGATATAGTCTTGTATCCCAGATGAAACAATGCAGGATCATATTAACTGGGGTACATGTAACATCTGTTATCATAACTACAAACTTAAATAAAACAAAAACACCTAGAGGTTCTTTTAAGGATCTCAGAATGCCGTGGTACTTGTGCACTTGACTTCAAGCACCTCCTCATACCTTTGCATGCACAACATTCTCAGGTTACGCACCCTTGGTGTTTTCACGCCGTCTGCCCGTCAGCCATAGCAGGTGCCCGTTAGAACCGATGCCGAAGGCAGGGCGCATTTTGGAGGCAGGGGTGTCCCCACTTTTTCTTTCCACGTCTCGGGTTCCATTCTCTTCCGCCGAGTCTTCCTTCACTTTGCCATTCTCAGGTACGGAGGAAATGAAATGTTGCAAGGAAAATGAGGAGGAGGAGGACCTTGCCGAAGCATTGGCATCCTTCAGCTCTCCACTGGCTGAAACCAAAACAAAAACTGTCAGTGAAAGAAACCCACCACTATTACCATATTTACTCAAAAATAAGACCCTTTTTTTTAGCAGAAAAGATTCTGTATTTATTTTCACGTGGAATGCGGAAAACCAATCGTTCCGACTTGCTACAAAAATCCCTAACAAAGAACATAGCAGAGATTACAATACTACATCCAAATAAGTGACTAGAATTAGCACTGTGGCATTAATGAAAATCCTATCTCAGGTTGCATTTTAGAACGGGAACAGAAGCGACATTCTAGTTGAGAGAAATAATTCCCTAAAGGCTGGTTCATGCATGTGCGTAAGAGTCTGATTGAGTCCGACTGCTTACGACGAGAGACCACACTGGTGCCATCTATCGGGCAGCCTTAGAACACTTCTGATCTGCGTATAACTAGGCTGAAGGTTTTGTAGTATTTGCAAAATCAAATCCATGCACTCTCTATGAGAAACAGTCACTTATAGCATTGTCGGAATTATTGCAGGCCCATGGTGAAATAATGATGCATAGAAAATTAGAATTTGTAGCGACTATATTCAAAATTTCTAACAGCAGTTTTGAATAATACACTATTCGATATTCGCTTCAAGAGTAACTGCAAAATTCTTACTTTTCAGTGTTGATCGCGGCAAGTTAGACCCGTTGAGCCCGCTTCTAACTGAGCACAGGTGCACTGCAAAGGAGCAGCACCCGCGAAAGTGAGCTCAGTGGGTGTAGCTTTTCCGCAGTGCACCGCTGCTTGGTGAGAAGCGCACTCAACGGGGAAACCCGCCGCGATCAACGCTTGGAAAAGTTTGAATATCGGAATTGCGTGCTTGGGAGAAAAAGCACACTTTTAAGGCATCTGGTATATTTAAAAATAAACGGAAACTTTGTTAATCTTGATATCTACATCGCAGTAAAATTTTCAAAATTAAACTGGCTGTCACATGAGAGTAATGTGGTGCAGAGATGCCCCAACAAACTGCAGTATCATTTCTGGTCTTTATTTTTTTTCAAATTCGAGACTGAAGAAAGAATATTTGCATATAGCAAGATTTGTAAATCCACCCAATTACGTATAGCTGTGCATCTCAATAGGTTTAATTTTATGTCAAATCCGTTGTTTACTTACCGTCCCAAGGCATCCGACTTTCTGAGGTGACAGTCCATAAATACAATTACTAGGTTAAAATTAGCTTATAAATGGACAAGTGGAAGCTTGGGAACAACCGTCACGAGTTTAGCTGGATTTTCGTTTAAGCACGGTGCAACAGTAGTGAAAGGCTGGAAGAAACTATTCAATATTCAACTAAAAAGAAATATTCGGCCAAAACCACTATTCGCGTTGAACTCTAAATCCACTAGCATGTTCTCTCATCGTGAGCGGTTTCAAGCGGGCACGACACAGTCGGACCCGCTCAAATGCCGATGTGAGGACCAACCTTAAAGCCCTAAGGGTGCAATGGGGAGCCCTTCTGCCTCTGGCGACCCCCGAAAAGCATGGACAAAACAGTATAAAGGGGATTGGTGGCCGAGCCTCGACGATGCACCGCAGCTCCAGCACACGAAGCAAAAGCTTGTGCCGCACAACCCAGTAATCCTGGGTTCAACCCCTACCTGTGCCTGTTTCAATCCGGCGCGTCGTACCGGCTTGCCTGCGGTCACATGTCAGTACCGGGTGATGCATGCTAAGGACCCCAGGATAGCAGCGGTACTGCACTGACTAAATTTCTTGAGTACGGCGGAGACAGCAGACGACCGCTGGGCCCGACTACGTACTAGGGTGACTTCCCGCCGTTTAAACAAATGTACGACGCAATTTTAAAAACTGTGCGGGAGGTGTGTGGGGGATGCTCACCGAGGCCTCTGCCGCTCACGTACACTTGGATTCTGGTGGCCCTTTCCACCTGGACGTAGGAGTTGGCAGGTCCCACCAAGCGACGCACCGTGTGTAGGAGGTCCCCGGATCGTTCGGGCAAGGGCACCGTCCTTACTTTAACTGCCAAAAGGTATGAGGTGGCCTCCGAGGTGACCGAATTTTCGGTCTGCGTGCGGCGCAAGAGAACCGACACATGTCTTAAATTAGAGTGTCACATCAGAGAGGGATAAAGTAGAGAGTGTATAACCAATAATCTAGGGCGGCACATCTCGACTCTTGCATCACTGCAGAACCCCGCCTCCCCCAACTTGTCTTAGAGGTCATTTGCAGACCCCCACTGAATATGCTTGTGCGACAATAATGCGTTCCATGCATTGAAAAACTTATGTCGACATAAATCGAAGGAAGTCGTCAACCTGGCTGAACGTAAATCATGTTTACTGTCTTTGGCCTCCTGTGGGCGAGTCCAGACAAAGTGGTCTCGCAGCGGAAAGTGAAAATGGCAACACGAGTCCGAGAGCTTCGTCAGAAGAGCACTGACAACCAGAAACCAGCAAAATTACACGGCAACGCATGAGAACTTTATTATAGTACCGTATTTTCCGGAGTATAAGGCACACTTTTTTTCTAGAATTTTCGGCGGTGCTTCTTTACACAGGTGCATCTTATATACTAATTTTTACTTAGAAACTTTCGAAAAGTGGGGGGTGCGTCTTATACAACTATGAGTCTCATACACAAGAAGCACATTTTTTTCATTATTTTTGGCGGTGCACACAGGTGTGCCTTATATACTAATTGTTACTTAGAAACTTGCAAAAAGAGGGGGTGCGTCTCATACACAGGTGCACCTTATACACCGGAAAATATGGTAGTTGCAATGATATTCAGTCTGGGGATCTAAATCTCTACAGTTCAGTGCCTTACTTATCCTCGGTGGAGTGATCACAGAATCAGTGCGGACCCCTGGGCATTTGCGGACCACAATTTGAGAACTGCTGAGGTAGGCTAAACAAGGTTGGTCAAGCAAGTTTGGCCAAAAGTAGAGCTTTGCCTACACTCTGGTTCCCATTGCTTTAAAAGGGAAAGAAATAGCGAAAGATGCACAAGAAACTAAGGAAAAGACGAATATACATACTATAGTGACACACACTTTCCCCTGCCCTCTGTCAATGACCACGGGTTCTCTCATGCACGCTACTTTGGTACGCTTTAGTTTTTTGGGCTTTCTGATGTCAATCAACAGCTTATAAATGCATTGCACAACTGTTTTTTTTTGTAATGCTTTTATTGTAATTAAACCTTTTATTGTAAAGGTAATTTGGGACCTAAGCTACACAGTAGTACACCTCTGTGCAACCTCTTTTTTTTTTTTATGGAGAGGTACACAAGTAAAGTTTAAGTACCATAGTTGTTAGCCTTACAAGATAAGGCTATGTGCAAAAATTGGTGTAGGAATTTGACTATCTTTACAACATGACTTCAACTGTATTTTTAGAACACCTTATTTGGTTGGATTTTAAACATGAAGAGTCTGCATGATATACAACCAGTCTTCGGTCAGTTTTTATCAAATCAAAATCTGGCTCTAAGTCAGTTTTAGAGCACAGCCTCATTCTATAATTGCCGTGGCCGTTCCGAGACAAAATGATGACTGCCTTATAGTAGTAGTGAAAGAGAACAACGCACCATTATCTCGACGTTGCCCTGAACACCGGGCTCCGATTCCACCTCCCATTTCTCGAGATCGGATTCACACTTCAGAACCAGGACTTGGGATTTCTCAAGAGCAGAGCCAGGCTTTGACATGAGCTGCACCACCACCGAGCTCTTGCTCAAAGACGAGCCCAACTTCACCACATGAATTTCCCTGAAATTAAAAATTGGCCAGAAGATCTTCAGTACTCTTTACTGGATCTCTCTACTTATGACTGGGTCTAAAAAAATATTGAGGTATTTGGAACTGTTGAAACTTGGTTTTTAAGTGAATTGAGCAGGTGAACCATTCTTGCTCTGCTCATAACCTGTTCTTACCAAGAGACATTGCGTGCACATTTCTTTATATACTATTTGTTGTGTTCCGCTTTTATGTTGGCAACACTGTACATACCATAACGTGATCTGGCAACCTATGACTCGCATTAAAAACGCTTTTTCGTTCAACGTTCGAATGGACTAGTCGACCCTTTCTTCGTGTCCTCAGGACACTACATAAAACAAGCGGTGATAGATTTCTTGCGAGGCGTGTTCAGTCGGGAGGGCTATCCGGAAGAACTCGTAACAGACAACGGGCCACAGTTCAAGTCAAAGCTCTTTGAAGACTTCCTGAACCAAAGAGGAATCAAGCACTGTGTCTCGTCGGTATACTACCCACAGGCCAATGGGTTGGTCGAACGATTCAACAGGAGTCTGAAGGACTTTATTCAAGTTGCAGTTTTGGAAGGACGACCGCTTAAAGAAGCCGTCGTGGACTACTTGTGCGTATATCGGTCTACCCCACACTCAACCACAGGAGTGTCTCCTGCTCAGCTCCTCCACGGTCGTCAACCAAGGACCCGACTTGACATCATGGGCCTTCCGTCAAAGAACTTCTTCCAGGAGCCAGCCACGGCAATGGAACAGTTACGAGCTCGTGTCCAAAGCAAGCAGCGCTCGACGAAGGAGTATACAGATGCAAAAAGAAGTGCCAAAACTCCAAAATTCAAAGAGGGAGATTTCGTACGGGTTCGTAAACCCACAAATGGCGGTAAGGGTGAGCTATCATATTCCCGACCACTGAAAATACAAAAACAGGTGGGTCCAGGCACTTTCCGCTTGGAAGACGGACGCAGCAGGAATGCCTCAAAGCTGGTGGCTGTGCCTGAGGAGTGCGTCACGGAAAGAAGTAAACGGTTGCTACACTTGCTACCCGTTCCTGGAGATGAAGAGCAGTCAGCCAGGCGAACAGTCTCGGACAACCAAGGCGAATACTCCGTTGGGGAGGATCGCGAAGCTTTGGCAACACCATGTCAAGTTTCTGGAGGCGCAGACTTGGTTGACGAACATCGCCTAGCAGCTTCGGAGACGCCAATACAAATTACGATTGGACCAGATTCCATTGAAGAACAAAGTCGGGAAGTTTTGACATCGCCGGTACAAGTGTCACAAGATGAATGTCCCGTTGTTGGACTTCGACTGGAAGATTCTGCCGCGCCTACACAGGCTCGAGGAACGACGTGGTCGGACGGACCTTGCAGAGGACCGTCGACAAGAGAACGACGGCGTCCCTCCCGTCTGCAGGACTTTCATATAAATGAGCCATTTTTTGCTTAGTTGTTTTGTTTTTCAGGGGGGGATGATGTTGTGTTCTGCTTTTATGTTGGCAACACTGTACATACCATAACGTGATCTGGCAACCTATGACTCGCATTAAAAACGCTTTTTCGTTCAACGTTCGAATGGACTAGTCGACCCTTTCTTCGTGTCCTCAGGACACTACACTATTCAAGTGGTTCTGAACCATTGATGTTTTGGGGAGAGCCCTCCCTTGGTCAGCAAAAGTGACAGGGGACCCCAGCCACTCGGTGGGAGGGGGGTTATTAGATTATTACGATGGCAAAAAGGTAGATGAAAAAAACTGAATGTGTGCAAACCAAGTTCGAAGCTCTGCTTCGAACTTGGTTTGCACACATTCAGTTTTTTTCATATCATATGTGCTGATCATATGTGCTGATCAAATCATATGTGCTGAGTGAGTAGGGCTAAAAAGCCCTACTCACTCAGCACATATGATTTAGTTTGTTAATCTTTCTAAAACAGCCAGCATAAAAAAAAAGTTTAATTGCTGAGTTTCAACTGACGTTTGAGGGACTTCAGGGACCCCCCAGGAAGTCCTTCAGGGACCTTAAAAGGTCTGCGGATCCCCATTTGAGAACCACTGTATTAGTCAGTGGTAGCTATGGGTGGTCCTATGCAAGACTACTAGTCAGACTACGTTCCTAGAACTATTTGTTACTGAACCTAGCAGCTTGTTTGTGATAAAATTTAATGTCTCAACAGTGAATCAAAAGTTTGTAATCCTGTCATCTTATACCAGCAACACAGCAGAGCACAGGCTGTATCAAAATCTATGTTCGAGTCTGACGACTGAAGAATGATTACATCATAGCAAGATACATAATCACTCGATCTGCATGAGTGAATTCTATCTAGTGGTGCCCACCACTATAAACTGTCTATGTCAGATAAAAGTGGTTATCCACATTTGCACTTCTTGCACGATATTCCGAAACATAAAGCTACATATTTTGCATAAAAGCATTTCTAATTATTTTATAGCAGTTTATAGCCATTAAAAAAGATGCCCTGAAGTCATTTGCAGCAACATCCAATGTGTTTTTGCACTTTGTAGATTACTGCTTCTGCATCTTTCAAAAGTCTGAAGTGGAAAGATTCTTCTCGCACGTCAAATCCGTTGAACCGGCCATCCAGCTCACCGAGGAACGTGAAAGGGATGAGGACGACACCCTACCCTTTTTCGACGTGCTCGTGACAAGAGAACATGAAGAGTTAAAGGTTTCTGCGTACAGGAAACCCATGCATATTAGATGGTATCTTCAGTTAGATTCCAATCACCCGGCATGTGACAAAACTTCACCTGTCACAAACCTTCGGCGGTCAGGACACTGTTCTCTAGGGCAAAAGCTATAGTATGCTCGTCTGAAACAAACAAAAGAAAGGAAGAACAAACCATCTGCGCAAATCTAAAGAAGAATGGGTACATGAGCACCATTATCCACAGTGTTGCCTGTCGTCAAGCCCGAGCCGACACCAACAGCCACAAGCAGGTACACAGCCTTTCTCAACCATGTGCATCTGCGTACCCTACACTAAAGGAACAAGCAAATCGCTGGCACGCGTGCTGGCCGAAAAAGGAGTCAACGTGGCCCACAAGCCGATGTCTATGCATGGACAGGTCATGCCCTAACCAAAAGATCGCCCACCGAAAAAAAAAAAAAAAAAAAGCAAGGCATAGTTTATAAGATCCCTTGCGCGGATTGCCCAGCCACTTACATCGGCAAGATGAAGAACTTCAATGAAAGAATTCACAGACACAAAAACGGTGTGCGCAAATTCGACCATGTGCGAAGCGCAGTCGCTGAGCACCACGACAACAGAGTCCACCGGACTGCTTGCAACAACACCAGCATCATTGATGCAGAAACAAATTCCCAACATAAGACTTTTCATTGAATCCTGGCACATTCAAACGATGCCAGGAAATATAAAAATTAGGGGTGGGCGAATATTTGAAATTTCGAATACGAATCGAATATTATACATTTAAAGGAGCTGTGCAACAATTTTAACGGTGAAAGAATTGGCATCTTCTGCTTTTGATATTGTTCACCTTGTCACAAATAACAGAAAACACACCTCCTTTTATCGAAATGTTGCGATTCCGCCGCATAATAGCGAGGCAAAACTTAGAATATTCCACAACCTGCAGCTGCGAGCGGCGGCCATGAGAAACATGCGGCATGACGTCAATGGGGAATCTTGTAGAAAGATAGCAAGTTGTGGGAATACCTGCTCGATAAAAGGTAACTTTTCTATAAATCTTGTTCCAACATGTATATAAATGTGTGAAAAACCTGGTATCATCGACAAAACTTATATTATACAGAGTTTTAGTGGTGCCATCTATCCTAGGTCCACAAAACCGGCAGCTCTATCTGCTACCGCGAACAGCCGCCAGAAGCCGGAGGGGAAGGGGGACAGGGCCGGATGGGTATGGCCGGACCCGGATGAGACTTTCTTCCTTTTACTATATTGTTTGCGCGGCGCCCGCCAGCACGTGCTCATGCGGTCGCGAGCGGATGAGTTCTCGCTGCTCACTGATGGCTCTAAAGAAAGAACTTTACCGGAACCCCGCGCCTACCCCATCAACGTCACTGCGCACGTGACCCGTAAGACGATGTACGAGTTGAGAGATGGCAAAAACGGGGATCTTTTTTGTTTTTTTAGATAAAAACTAGGGTATCCAGGCAAAATCTGTTTTCTGTAGTTCACTTCAGAAGTGTCAGGCATCAACTTCCATAATTATTTAAGCAAAGCCCTGAAATGGTTGCACAGCTCCTTTAATATTTGTATTCGATTTGTAAACTATGTCTTTGGTATTTTATGAATATTCGCCGTAACACAAATATTCGAAATTAATCTAATATTGGTGAACGAATTCACAAGCGTAGGTTTTGCTTTCGGCTTCGGTTTCGGTAAGGAAGGCCCATTGACAGCGACATAGCTGCATGGTGACTTCAACCGAAACTGGTGCCATCGGTGATCTGCAAGTTTCTGTGCCCTTGTGACCCCTGACTTTTTAGACTGTTCACTTTCGCGTTCGCCCACCTGTGTTATGGCGGATGGAGGTGTTTGTGGGGAACCGTCTGCGAAGCGGAGAAACAAACGGGAAACGGCACCAAAACGAAAAGAGAGGAGCACTATTTGGAGATATTTTGCGAGGGTGACGGCATCGATGGCGCAATGTACAGCATGCGAGTCAACGCTTAAAGCGCCCACAGGTAGGACAACGCCCCTTGTCAACCATCTTAATTAAAGTACATCTTGCGTTGTTGAAAGAGCATTGTGGGATTACTGCTGGTACGCCAGGAAAGATCAACGGACTCTATGCGCCGCACGGAGCCCCTGCCAGAGAAGGAGGGTGCGAGCGCTAAATAACAAGCTGGCTGCCATGGTGGCACTTGATCTACAGCCTTACAGCATCGTGGAAGACCACGGCTCCAAAGAATTTCTGACAGAAGCCGTTCACAAATATCGCCTGAAGAAACCCAGCCGGAAGTTGCAACACAGTCAAAAGAGCAAGGCTCAATGCCGGCAGCAATGTTTGGCAAGCATTTGACCACTTAGCCAAAAGTGCAAAGGGAAGCAAAGTGGTTTCAGCTTCAGAATAAGAAGTTGTAGTGTATGCAAAGGAGGCACTGCTAAAGAGAGAAAGTAATCCGTGTGAGTGGTGGCGAACTGTCGGGTGCTTAAGATATCCAAGTCTGGCGAAGCTTTGGATCAAATACCTGGGAAATAACTGCAGTTCCGACATGTGAAAATAAAAATGCTGTGAATAACTGCACCTGCCTTCGACTATTCAATATTCGATTCGATATTCGAAACTAACTATTCATATTCGAAAAAATTAATATTCGTACACTCCTAATAAAAATGCATAGCGAATTGCTGAGCAATTGTGTTGTCCATGAAACGAGCGGTGTCTATGCTCTCGATCAGCACTCTTCGTCAGTTAGTTTAGCAACTGACTTAACGCGTGGCGTATGCGTTCGATAGCAACTCCTGGAATGCAGATACCGGCGCTGACCCGGGTTTTAAAAACGGGTGACAGGGTGTCAAGTCGCTATTGCCGGACGCAGAGCGGATGCCCCGCAGGGCTTTTCCACCAAACAGCACTTCAACTCACAGCGATGTGTCAAGACATAATGGAAAAAAACTCCTCCATAATCTAAATGGTCTGGGTTCAATTCCCGCCTACGCTTTTTTACTGCGATGGTCTCTTCTCCCCCACTCAAAAGCAATCGGTGTCGAGCCTCGCGGCCACACTTTCATCCAGGCTTAACTTTTGGGGTTCATGAAATGTCAAACACCTGGACAAAGAAGGCTTTGCGTTAATATGAGCATTGGCATTTTTCCAACAGTCTATGTCAATTGCCATAATTACCCCTGAAGAGTAGAATAGGCCTCAAAACATAGGGTCTCTATTTTTAGGATTTGGTTGGTTGTCGTCCTTTATTTATTGTTTTCACAACCGGAGAGAATTCTCTCGAATGTTTACTTTCAAGTTTTTACAGCAGTTATTTGGTAATATATTACTGCTACTTTTATTATAAAATAACCACTTTTTCAATACAAATTACAAAATGTAAACGACTTTATATTTGGGGGCTTCATATATTGCAAATTTTGCAGAGTGTGGGCCCCAAAACTATTTTGCAGGCATAAAATTTAGGGAGGAGGGGCATATGCTCCCCTCAGTACCCTTCCCTCCTCCTCCTCAAGAGCTGCAGTCTAATTCGGTCACATCAAATAAGTTCCTCACAAGGATGGAGTCATAAAGTGTCAATATTTATATATTAATCCGAGCATCAATAGCTATACATGAATACTGGGTCAAAAAGGCTCATGAGGTTCAAGATGTGTCTATGTTATTAGGTAAAATAAATATATAGAAGAAACACCAAACATGCTCATTACTCAAGAAGCCTAAAGTACTATACATATCTTGCAAAATTCAGTCAAAATTAAATAATAGAAATTACAGCATGTATGCAGGTGATTCAGCGATAATTAGTCATAACACCTGAGACTGTGATGGGGAAAAATTAAGAAACTTTCAGGTCAAAGAAGAAGACACTATTAAGATTAAATAATGGATTTGTTATTCCAGCAAAGCACTATGTTGATATTTTAGAGCGCAGCTCTTAGGCGCCCGTTTCTGGCTTCAGCGGCGTCGGCGTAACCGCGCGGTGCATTATGGGTAAATTTTCCTCAAGGAACCCGAGGTCCTCTCAAAGGACCTTGGGTTCCTTCAGGAGGACCTCGGGTTCCTTCGGGAGGACCTCGGAGGACCTCGGGTTCCTTCGGGAGGATCTCAAAGGACCTCGGGTTCCTTCGGGAGGACCTCGGAAGACCACGGGTTCCCTCGGGAGGACCTCTGGAGGACCTCGGGTTCCTTGGGGATGACCTCGGGTTCCTTCGGGAGGACCTCAGGAGGACCCCAATAGGACCTCGGGAGGACCTCGGGTTCCTTCAAGAGAACCTCAGGAGAACCTCGGGTTCCTTCAAGAAGACCTCGGAGAACCTGGGGTTCCTTCGGGAGAACCTCGGGTTCCTTCAAGAGGACCTCGGGAGGACCTCAGGTTTTTTCAAAAGGACCTCGGAGGACCTCGGGTTCCTTTGGGAGGACCTCAGAGGACCTCGGGTTCCTTCGGGAGGACCTCGGGTTCCTTCGGGAAGACCTCGGGTTCCTTCGGGAGGACCTCGGGTCCTACGGGAGGACCTTGGGTTCCTTCTGGAGGACCTCGAATTCCTTCGGGAAGACCTCGGAGGACCTCGGGAGGACCTCAGGTTCCTTCGGGAGAACCTCAAAGGACCTTGAGTTCCTTCGGGAGGACCTCGGGAGGACCTCGTTTTTCCTTCGGGAAAACCTTGGAGGACCTCGGGTTCCTTCGGGAGGACCTCAGGAGGACCTCGGGTTTCTTCAGAAGGACCCCGGGAGGACCTTGGGAGGGCCTCGGGTTCCTTCAAGAGAACCTCAGGAGAACCTCAAGTTCCTACAGGAGGACCTCGGAGAACCTCGGGTTCCTTCGGGAGGACCTCGAGTTCCTTCAAGAGGACCTCGGTAGGACCTCAGGTTCCTTCGGGAGGACCTCGGGTTCCTTCGGGAGGACCTTGGGTTCCTTCGGGAGGACCTCGGGTCCTACGGGAGGACCTCGGGTCCTACGGGAGGACCTCGGGTCCTACGGGAGGACCTCGAGTTCCTTCTGGAGGACCTTAGAGGACCTCGGGTTCCTTCGGGAAGACCTTGAAGGACCTTGGGTTCCTTCGGGAGGACCTCGGGTCCTTCGGAAGGACCTCGTAGGACCTCGGGTTCCTTCGGGAGGATCTCGGGTTCCTTCGGGAGGACGTCGGGTTCCTTCGCGAGGACCTCGGGTTCCTTCGGGAGGACCTTGGGAGAACCTCGGGTACCTTCGGTGACCTTGGGGAGGGAGGGTGTCACGTGACCCCCCCCCCCCCCCCCCCGAAGTCACATGACCCCCCTGAGGTCATGTGACACCCCCGAGGTCACATGACCCCCCAGGTCACGTGACCCAGTACCCTTCCCTACTCCTCCTCAAGAACTGAGCTCTAATTCGGCGTTAGAGGGAGTTGTAAACGGTTTTCACTTTTTGCTTTCCTCTTATCTGTGAGATGCATACAGTTTTGTGTTTATAGCTGTTTTGTATGCCCACAAATATCTCCCATTCTCAGCTTTAGTAAGTTGTTGGCCTTAGTAGATGTAGCTGCAGAAATCTCCCTAAGCTTACCAAATTACACCGCAGGATGCAAATTAAAGCATATCCAGATCCCTCTTGTTTCTCTTCATCAGCAAGTCACGAGAATAAACAAAATAATGCTACTAATCGAAACATCAGAAAGAAAAGCGAGCAATACAGTCACAATGCAGCGGATGAGGTAAAAAAGAGGAACAAACCTGTCTTCCTCGGCAGTGGCCGGCCGACTGCATCCTTCGGAATCCTGCACTTCAACCAGGTATGCTGCCACGTGACTGAGAGGGCTCAAACTGGTGCGATTACAACTGGCCGGCTCCGATTGATCTGGAGATACGACGGCAAGTTAGGGAACAAACCGTTCTCATGATAATGATGGGCATCTTCACAAAAACAAATGATAGAAAAAATAAGAAGCGTAATCCCCGATTAAACATAATAAAGGCAGCATGAATTTACACACCGCACGGTGCATCTTAACCAACTGCACATTTTTGTTAGTGCGACTGAATAAAAGTTATCAGCAAGAGCTAAAGTTAGTGCAGTGATGTCTCATTCCTCCAAAAAAAGCAGTCAGAACGTGAGTTGTTCATAATAACGAAATGGAAATGCATGCATTTACCCAGTTCATCCCCAAAAATGTGGCCTACACAGCAGAGTATCCATATTGCCGCGCGCCAAGTAGGCAGCGCGGCCGTAGCCTAACGGTTATCGCGCTTGCCTCCCACGCGAAGGGCCAGGGTTCGATTCCTGGCCGCGGCTACGCATTTTTGTTGACACTGTAATGTGATGTTCTGGTGAAATCGAGAACCGTCTAGCTGATTCGAGGTCAGAATGTTCTACGCGTCGAACCTTCTACGTCGAATGCTCCAGAAGCCAACGTGTGTACAAAAGCGGCTCCGCGGGCAAGCCGGAATCAGTTTCGCCCCAGCGTTCGACTCTGCTGCTACGCCGACTTCGACGCCCAGGACGCTCTGTTATTATCTTTTGTACCCTTTTATTTTTGGCACAAGTTCGCCACATTAAACGTTAATTTCTTCCTGTTTATTTATTGTTTTTCTTAGTCACCACCCGTGACATTTTGGTGGAGGTGCGGGGTACCGCATGTCCGTGCAGCGCAGCCCTCCGAGTTCCCGCAGTACAAGTCCGAACCCGAGCTCCCGAGGACCCAACGAAGACCAGATTGAGACTCGATCAAGTCGCCGCACCCAAGGGCTACACCCGGAATACGGACTTTTACCACCCAGGACCAGGCAGCCGACGATGGCCAACCAGTCGCAGACCCCCGCCGCTCCTAGCGTCGTCTACCTACCCGTCGCTCCTCGGACACCGGCTCCATTCCACGGCGAGCAGTACGAAGACGTCGAAGACTGGATTGACCAGTATGAACGCGTCGCCCGCCACAATTGCTGGATCGACGAGCAGCGCCTGCACAATGTCTATTTTTCGCTCGAGGGGACCGCGAAGCACTGGTACGAGAATCATGAGTTCTCCCTGACGTCGTGGGACATTTTCAAGACCGATCTCAAGTCTACCTTCATCAACCACCACTGCCGGGAGAGAGCCGAGGACCTACTCCGAACCAGAACCCAGGGCCCCAACGAGAGTGTCACCGGCTTCATAGAGGACGTCCTGCGCCTGAGCGCCCGCGCCGACCCTCGGGCTACAGAAGAGAAGAAGCTACGAATCCTCATGCGGGGCGTGAGAGAAAACATCTTTGGTGGCCTTGTCCGCAGCCCTCCGACAACTGTCGAAGATTTTGTCACCGAGGCAACGAACATCGAGCGTGCCCTGCAAGCCCGAGCCAGCCACTACAACCGACTCCCCGACACGCCTGTTGCTTCGACGCTGGCATCTTCCCGAATCGACGAGGGCCGCATCCGCGCTGACAACCTTCGTGAAATTGTCCGGGACATCGTCCGGGAAGAGCTCCGGAAAATTCTACCCGACACTGATCGCCCCGCCTCGATCTCCATCGCCGAGGTCGTGCGGGAAGAAGTGCACAGAGCCATCCAACCAGAGGCTTCCATCAGCGGGGCAGTCCCCAAAGAACCCACGCTAACTTACGCCGCAGTGGCCCGACGGCCACCGCCTCCTACTCGCGCCTATGTTGCGCCGCCCCGACGTCACTCTCCTGCACCGCAGCACAACCGACGCCACGACGACCAAGTCCAGTAAGCCTGCACGGAGCCCCGCGTACCCCGAAAGACCGACGTGTGGCGCACGGATGACGGACGCCCGGTGTGCTTCCACTGCGGGGAGGCTAACCACGTTTACCGGAGGTGCCCCTACCGCCAGCTCGGCCTGCGAGGATTCGCTCCAAACGACCGTCGACCTCGTTCTGAAGAACGACCAAGGGACATCGAGGAATACCTCCGTCGCCCTCCGTCACCAGCGCCCACCGCACCACGGGGTTCCCGTTCTCCATCCCCCCAACGTTCCGCGTCGCCTTTCCGTCGGTCGCGCCGTGACAGCCTGTCCCCCCTATCTCGTCGGGAAAACTAAGTGCGGCAACGCCTGGAGGTGCCGTTGCCGAAGACGACCCGAGTAAAGAGCCTCCAAAAACGCCGGAGCGCTCCCACTCTCCCGACGCCACGCATCGCTACGACGCCCCTGCAACGGTGTCCAACAACCTAAACGTCGTTATCGACGGCCACGACGCATCGGCACTCGTGGACACCGGAGCAGACTACTCAGTCTTGAGTGGGAGGCTCTCCCGCCGCCTTCGAAAAGTCATGACGCCGTGGGATGGACCCCAAATACGAACCGCCGGAGGACATCTCCTCACACCAGTCGGGAGATGCACTGCTCGCGTCGAGATCCACGGTGAAACGTGCCCTGTCAAGTTCGTCGTTCTGCAAGACTGTTCGAGGGACGTTATCCTCGGAATGGACTTTCTCTGCGAGTATGGCGCCGTCATCGACCTCGGAACAAACCGGCTGACGCTACGAAAACCTGCTCCACCAGCAGAGGAACCCCAAGCGACGACACCCACGGTCTGAGTCCTCGCAAACCACGTAAACCTACCACCGCGGTCGAGTGTTTTCGTACTTGTCGGGATCGATGAAGCTTCCTGTGGCGAAGTTCTTCTCGAGGGAAGCCTCCAATTGCTCCTGGGAAGAGGCATAGGCGTCGCAAGGGGAGTAGCTGAACTTCAGGATGGGCGGACTGTGGCCCTCGTGACGAACTTCCGAAACGAAACGCAACACCTCACGAAAGGTGCAGCCGTGGGCCACGTCGAGAAACTCCGAAACCCCGCCGAAATCACCGCGATGACTGACGAATCCTCGCCGCCCCAGCAAGACAGTACGTCGCCAGCGCAGCTCGACATTGACCCTAAGCTTCCGGACCCTAAACGGCGTCAGCTGGTTAACCTCCTCGCCGAATACCGCGACTGCTTTGCGACGTCGTCGAAGGTGCGCCAGACCGCGGTTGCCAAGCACCGCATCGTTACCGAGGACGACGCGCGCCCTGTGCATCGATCGCCGTACAGAGTCTCCGCTAAGGAAAGGGAGGTGATCCATCAGCAAGTTCAAGAGATGCTGAATGACGACATAATCCAACCTTCAAGCAGTCCATGGGCCTCTCCAGTCGTGCTGGTTAAGAAGAAGGACGGAACTCTTCGGTTCTGCGTGGACTACCGGCAGCTCAACACGGTTACGAAGAAAGACGTCTACCCACTCCCCCGCATCGACGACACTCTAGACCGGCTGCGCCACTCTCGATACTTTTCATCGATGGACCTGAAGAGCGGCTACTGGCAAATCGAGGTCGACGAACGGGACCGAGAGAAGACAGCCTTCGTCACGCCGGATGGACTGTACGAGTTCAAGGTGATGCCCTTCGGACTATGCACGGCGCCAGCAACTTTCCAGCGTGTCATGGACACCGTACTGGCAGGGCTGAAGTGGCAGAGTTGTCTCGTCTACCTTGACGACGTCGTAGTATTTTCAGCTGACTTCGACGAGCACTTGAGACGACTCCGAGCTGTTCTTCAAGCCATTCAGACCGCCGGACTCACACTCAAGCCGTCAAAGTGCCGGTTCGCCTATGACGAACTGAAGTTCCTTGGCCACGTGGTTAGTAACGAAGGCGTCCGCCCAGACCCCGAGAAGACTCGCGCCGTCGCGGCATTTCCAGCGCCGACAGATAAGAAGGCCGTGCGAAGATTCCTTGGACTTTGTGCCTATTATCGACGCTTCGTTCGGGATTTCGCAAGGATTGCTGCACCACTTACGAATCTCACGAAGGACGCCGAGAAGTTCGAATGGGCCGAGGAGCAACAGCAGGCATTCGACGAACTGAAACGACGACTCCGGACTCCTCCTGTGCTTGGACATTTCGACCAGGATGCGGAAACAGAAATTCACACGGACGCAAGTAACGCGGGACTGGGCGCAGTACTAGTCCAAGTGCAAGAAGGCATCGAGCGAGTCATCGCCTACGCAAGTCGGACATTGTCCAAGGCGGAGAAAAATTACTCCACGACTGAAAAAGAATGCCTTGCGGTCGTCTGGGCAATAACGAAGTTTCGTCCGTACTTGTACGGGAGCCCGTTCCGTGTAGTCACGGACCACCACTCGCTCTGCTGGCTTGCGAACCTGAAGGACCCGTCAGGACGCCTCGCTCGATGGAGTCTTCGACTACAAGAGTTCAACATGACAGTGGTCTATAAGTCAGGCCGCAAGCACAGCGACGCCGACTGCCTGTCCAGAGCCCCCGTCGAAACCCCTTCCGGCTGCAGCGACGACAATGACGACGAGTGCTTCCTAGGAGCAGTGAACACCGACGATATGGCACGACGTCAACGGGACGATCCTGAGCTGCGCGCATCAATCGAGCACCTGGAAGGGGGCAGGAGTACCGTGCCACGTGTCTTCTCACGAGTACTGCCGACCTTCGCCATCCGACAAGGTGTACTCTACAAAGAGAACTTCGGCGACAACAACACACCGTGCTTGCTGGTAATCCCGAGTGACCTTCGAGAGGAGATCTTCCAAGCGTGCCACGACGATCCGACATCCGGACACCTTGGTTACAGCCGGACACTGGCCCATATTCGTGAAAAGTATTACTGGCCGAAGCTCCCCAAGACCGTCCACCTATACACACGATCATGCCACGAGTGCCAGCAACGCAAGAAACCGCCGACGAGGCCGGCCGGACTTCTGCAGCCCATTTCTCCTCCAACTACACCCTTCCAGCAGATCGGAATGGATCTACTTGGTCCTTTTTCGCCTTCGAAGTTGGGGAACCGCTGGATCATCGTCGCCACAGATTATCTCACGCGGTACGCCGAAACGAAAGCTCTTCCTTCAGGGACTGCTGTGGAAGTCGCCAAGTTTTTCATCGAGTCCATCGTCCTCCGGCACGGCGCTCCCGAAGTTCTGATTACAGATCGCGGATCTTCGTTCATGGCCCAGCTGACGCAAGAGATCCTTCGTCTCAGTGGCACCGGCCATGTCGAACCACTGCATACCACCCGCAGACCAACGGGCTGACCGAGCGACTCAACAAGACAATCGCCGATAGGATCTCTATGTACGTCGACGTTGAGCACAAGACGTGGGACGAGGTGTTGCCCTACGTCACGTTCGCCTACAATACGGCGGTTCAGGAGACCACTGGATTCACCCCTTTCCAGCTGGTACATGGTCGGAAGGTAACGACCATGCTGGACGCAATGCTGCCCCATGAGCCATCTGACAATGAGAGCGACGACGCCCAGGCGGTTGCTCAACGCGCCAAAGAAGTCCGCCAGCTCGCCCGACTCATGATTCAAGACCAGCAACGCGTCGACGCGGGCCGCTACAACCTTCGTTGCAGGGACGTTCACTTCCAGCCCGGAGACAGGGTGTGGGTGTGGACGCCCATCCGTCGCCGCGGCCTCAGTGAGAAACTGGTGAAACGGTACTTTGGACCATACAAGGTACTTCGTCGCCTCGGCGAGCTGAACTACGAGGTGATGCCCGACGGAACAAGAACATCATCACGCCGCCCACCACGACCTGAAGTCGTCCACGTCGTGCGCCTAAAGCCGTACTACGCTCGATAGGACTGTGGATCTTATGTGTTTCAAGTGACTCTTTAGTTTGCCGTTCTTTTTATGTGCTTTGTTTTGTTTTGGGATGCATCGGGGCGATGCACTTTTTAAGGGGGGAGTAATGCCGCGCGCCAAGTAGGCAGCGCGGCCGTAGCCTAACGGTTATCGCGCTTGCCTCCCACGCGAAGGGCCAGAGTTCGATTCCTGGCCGCGGCTATGCATTTTTGTTGACACTGTAATGTGATGTTCTGGTGAAATCGAGAACCGTCTAGCTGATTCGAGGCCAGAATGTTCTACGCGTCGAACCTTCTACGTCGAATGCTCCAGAAGCCAACGTGTGTACAAAAGCGGCTCCGCGGGCAAGCCGGAATCAGTTTCACCCCAGCGTTCGACTCTGCTGCTACGCCGACTTCGACGCCCGCGACGCTCTGTTATTATCTTTTGTACCCTTTTATTTTTGGCACAAGTTCGCCACATTAAACGTTAATTTCTTCCTGTTTATTTATTGTTTTTCTTAGTCACCACCCGTGACAATATTACCGGGGTCCGCATTAACCGCTTAACCGGTTTGGGCAAGCCTAGCTCATGCACCTAGAACCGTCCCCAAGCTGTTTTTGACTAGTGTAGCTCGTCCGTGCGCACTCGCTCGCCCCTTGGCTCTTCTGGACGACCCAGGCTTGTTTAGAACATAGTTTGCGGCACTGCCAAGAGATAGCAGCACGTGTTTTTTTACTGTACACATTTTTAAAAATAGCGACCGGTGGTGGAGACATGTGCGGCCTGGGTCGCACATACAATAAAAATTTTAAAAAGTATTTTAGATTCAAAAGTTGACAAAAATAGAAAAGAAAAGAAAAAACTTTTCGCCTTTCCACTTTGGTGAAGAAGGAAGATCAGCGAAGCTGTACTATGGTAGGAATGAAGTAATGGCCGGCCTCAAGATGGCAGACCAGAGTGGAAGGGCTTAGAGTGCCTTCATACACACGCGCGCTTTTGCTTGAGTGGTGACATCTCAGCCATTTTTCCGCCCAGTCGTTTTTTTTATGCATTTTGAAGTGCGCGCAATCCGGTGTCAGTCAGCTCGAGCGCGTAGCTTTGGCTAACGCATAGACGCCATTTTACCGCCCAAGTCACGCACCGAGCACTCGAGAGCGTCACGCGCTGACACATCCAGGGCAACAATGGATGTCTTCACCCTGAGACAGACAGACATGTAGGCACCCTAGAAGGGCTAGGGAAGTTGTGCCATCTACAAGCGACGGCGGCAAGCGGACAATCTGCAAACTCAACACTCTGGACAGCTACTGCCGTCTATGAGCGATGGCGGCAACCAGAGTTTTGCGTCGACATTTCTTTGCGGGGGACACAATCCTGGGGAAACTAGCCCTTAACAGCTCCGCTGTAAAAACGGCTAAGGGGCTAACAAGACATAACTGTTCTAGTTTTGTAGGTAGTAGAGCACGTGGAGAGCACATGTACATGCACGCTCCATGTGCCAAACAGAGAGCAGACGACGAAGTGACCACCGTGTAAGTTTTTTGAGCCCGTGTGACCGCCACCATGGTTGCGTTCCCTGGCCTGAAACGTTATCCCGAGATCATGTCTTCCAGCAATCGAGAACGAAACCACTCGGTAGAAATAATGCGATAATAAATTATTTACTCCGTATTTGCCTATTATACGTTGTGCTCTGCGATTAGTGATGCCATAGAGAAGAAATATTCGCTAAAAGTGTGACATTTAAAGACAAATGAGAGACTAACATGAGCAAGTCTACTTACTAACTCCAACTTTGAGCACCACTGAGTTTGCAGATCGTGTGGAGGAAAAAGAAGTGAGGACGCCATAGTAGGATTCCGTCCAGGCAAGGAGGTCTTCGAACAGTCCCGTCTTTTTCACCACAGTCAGGCTCACCGGTGCCCCAGAAACCACATCAGAGCCAGCGCTGACCTGCAAAAGCGAACAACGGTTTCGACAAATACGACGACAGAGCTGCAATTGCCACAGCTAGTGCTGCTCCATTCACATGCTGCATCTCGTGGCATGCGAGGCAAGCAATTCTACTGTCAGACAACAAAACAAAAGTAGATAAATATGGTAACTAGCATTTTTTGCCTATCGATCCCCACATAATGTTATAAGTAGCGTTCAGTGTTCTTGGTAAATGCCGATAAACCCCGAAAAATAATTACCGAGCTGGTTTCATTCAAAACGGGAAAAACTGAAAAGCCCTATATTAATGATGTCCTTAAATGAGAAAAAAAACCACGCTTTACGGGAAGAATCTTTGTTTGCAGCAAAAACTTTTTCTGCACTGAACTGCCTGCCAGGCTGCTTTTTTCCTTTGCGAACCATGTCCTTTGTTTCGTTTACTTCGCTTATCGGTACGCAGACTTCGTCGAAGTATGTGAGTCACACGCATGTTAACTGCAGGTTGGGGAATCCCATGCTCGTGTCCTGTTTTCTCAAACACAAGCCTCGACAAACATCTTTTTTTTTCTGACATCGCAAAATGGCTCCAGAAAACACTGCCTATGTAAAAAAAGAATAAACGCCGAAAAATGATCCCCGAATTAAAAGAAAAATAGATTTCCAAAACATGGAACCCTATGCAGAGAGCAAGTTGTCTGCTTTTTGCGCAGGGGCTGCGGTGACGTCAGAACGACGCCGAGTTCTGATTGGCTTTGATTGAAAGGATAGTGGGTAGACCCCAATGCCAGATGCCTTGAGGTCTACCCAGTATTTTTTTCAATCAGCCAATACGAGCTCGGCGTTCTGACATCATCGCAACCCCTGCACAAGAAGCATACGAGCTTGCACTTCGCATGTATTCCGTTTCACACCCAGACTGACCGCAGCCAATCAAGCAGTGCCAAAAGCACATCGTCATGGCCCCCTTGTCTTTCTGCATTTGCTATTACCAGAGCTGAACCAATCGTGCGTAGAAGAAAGTGCAAGATCACGTTACATTCAATATGCATAGGTAATCGGTTAGGTTGGTAATGGCAAGCGCACAAGGACGATGAGCGCCACGACGATACACTTTTGGCTCTGCTCGATCGGCTCGTCGAATTGACGAGTCGGATGGGGTCGAACTTAAAGTGAAACGAAGCATAGTTGTAAGCGATCAATTTCTCACAGGTAGCGCGTAGATTCTATCTCAGGTATGGTACAAAACATTGAGTCTAATCGTATGCGGTTCCCTTTTCCTCGTAAAGGCTCACAATGGCTTCTATCTTGGAGGAATTCGGCAGCCTCTGGGTGGCGAGCTGCCAGTGAACGGGGGTGGGCGTCCACAGCAGCACCACCAGGGGTCCTGCGTGGGTGCTCCGCTCCAAGCGGGGCAGCACCAGCAACTGCACCTGGGCGGCAGGCTCCTCCACGCGGATCACGTGCACCTCCTGTCCACGGCGGGAGTAGACGAGCGAACACGTGAGACCCCCGTCGCACGGAGTGTACTCGAAATGCAATAACAGCGCAACAAAAACTAAGACATGACTGTGTGAAGACACGCTATTGCAGAATGTAAGCAGTGTTCTAAAAAAAGAGACAAGGTCATCCTAAAACATTTAGGCATGTCTTGATCATATGATGAACTCAGAGATGGACAGAATTTGTTGCAAATGAGCTGGGCACATCTGTTTTGTGTCTCTGTGTGTTTGTGACATGTCATGAGGTTATGTGATGTAATGTCATGATGTCAGATGATGTCACGATGTCATGTGACATCAAAATCCTTCAGATCAAGGTCATATAAGCAATATAGCCCCTATGAGGCTAAGATAACATATGTCACTTTTCTCATAAAACCCAACCCTATAACACATTCTGTGTAAAAAATATTAACAAGAAATGTCCCAAGGTGATTAAAATATTGTTCTGATTGTGGACTAGCACAGACAAATGAAATGCAGCAGGTTTATAGCAAGTGTGCGGGTGCTCCGAAAATGCCTAACGGGAACATTTAAATTGGTGCTAGACGTAATAATCGTGCAGGCATAACAAACATCTTGTGGAAACGTGTGAACCAAACGATGAGGTCACACCTACTTCTCCTTCATAACAACAGGGCAGGGACAAATCTCGTCTTGTCCAAAACATTTGTGCAAGTTTCTTTTGGACATGCTCTAGAGTTACTACAGCAGCGGCATTGGTGTTCTTCCAAAAAATTAATATGAAATCCAATTTGGGAAAAATAAGGCTCCCGTACAAGGCAAAAAGAAAAACCCATGGATTGCAAAACATGAAACTCAGGTGAGTAAAAATTCTCAACACTCCAAAACATGGTAACAATACCGTAAAAACATGGCTTTTTAAGTGCACTTTTTTTATCCAGAATTACATCTACGTCATGTACCGCTGACGGAGAAGTTGAGATGGTGTTATCAAGAGAGTAGTAATCAAAGAAAAAGGGAAAGTTTTATGCAAAAACATTATGACCTGTGTTTTTTGAGGTGTAGGTTGAGACGGCATTTCGCATAGTGGTGATTTATGAGACACAAAATCAGCATGTGTGCGATAAATGTGCCTTCTTAATGAGGCTGACTTAGTTCTAATTTAAATTTTATTTATTGAATGGGCCCCTAAACAGATGAGGGGATAGATCAATGTGATAGTGATAACTGCCTACCATATGCAGCTAGCTGCATGTACTAGTCGCAATTTGATTCTGAAAAGTTTACTACAAGGTGGAGTCGTCACATCAACATCCACCAAGTTCCTTCCTTTTTTTTCCCCCCAAATACCCAACTTAGAGGAAATGACTCCCACGCTGAAGGGGTGTTTTCCCTTGAGTGCGCGGTTGCGCTGCGGCGAAGCGAGACCAGCAAAATTGCAGCGCACACTCCGTGGTTGCCACTTCTCCGCAGTGCACAGGTGCCCAGTAAGAAGCACACTCAAGGGAGTTAACTATAAAAGAAAATCCACTAGAGAATTTGGAGCAAACACTCTGCACTCCTGCCTCTAGAGTGGTAAATGCTAGCTCGAGCTCAGATGTTTATAAAGGTACTACCAACATAAAAGCACTTCTGAACCACTTCAAATCTATCAGTGGAATTTCCCATAACCCGTGATTCCCATAACCCTCCCAAACAGACAAGCAATGACAAAATATTGCACGACATCAGAGTGCTGTCTGTGTTCTATACAAATGCCGTATAGAATAATATGTAGTTTGAATTGATAACCACAAATTTCTAAATTCTCACAAGCCTACCGTCACTAAACGGCAGTGTAGCGGGGCCTGAGATAAGACAGAGGAATAAACTTTTGGCACATTGTTGGCACAAATTTCTGATATTCTGCTTAAATGTAGCAGAGTATAGCACTTTGGCAGAGTTTGGCTCATATGGCGCAGCAATCACATCACTTCCCGGTACCTCAGAGTTGATCAGAGCGGACAAATGGCAGATGTGCACTTTTATTTTTATATGCAGTTTTATTTTTATCGTCTGAAGTCAAGCAACTGGCAGGAGCAAAAATCATAATTCAATTATAGTCTTTTTTTGTAGCAATGTCTGTTTTTTTTCTACAAATTCGAAAGGAGACCTAAATTTCAGATTTAATCTCAGTATGCTCAAATATTTGAAACAGGCTGTTCCTTTCCTCCAGTGTCGCTTCATAATCCTGATAATTCTCTTTTTATCGGTTCTATGGGTGAATGGGCAAACCCACCTGAGACCTTTGTGAAACGTTCTTGCTGAAGCAGCCTGTCACCTTGGACTGTACTTCGAGTAAGGGCCGTATCACGTCGCCCTCCATCCGGGCTGTCAAGTCACATTTTTCATCCAATGAAGCATGTTCTGCAATAGAATCGTGAAGACTCTGAAACACTCTCCTGTCTGCAGAGCTCAGTAGGGGAGAATAGGGAGGAATGGGATCGTGGAAGGAGTGGGACAGTCAACCTACTTCTTCAGTGAATAGTTCCAAAAAGTTGATGAACTGCTAGACTTGTGACACCAAGGGAGCAGTACTTTCAACTAAAATGGCATACCTGCTTGATGTGGTGTAACAAGATTTGAGTCAGTGGTTGGCTACTTCGACACTCAAAGGCAGGTAGCAAAAATTTGTTTTGTTAGATCCTTGAACCAAAATGGTTTGGCCAACGGCTGCAGTAAATTAACATTGAAAGGATCTGTTAATAGGTTGCTTTTAACCACCGCTATATTTATCTTAACATTTCACCTTCTGGCAATATTGGCAACTTACTGTGTGCAAGGCACTTTGGAAGGAATGGGACAGTGAGATAGTGAAAGGAATGGGACAGTGTCCCTGTTGTCCTTTCATAAAGATTGGTGCTCGACTAGTAGATCAACACTAAGATTAACCTGTAATAATGAAGAATCATTATTACAGGTTAATTATTATTACACGAAGAACAACTGAACTAAGGGAGGAGGGTTACTATTGTCTACAGCAGTAGTTCTCAAATGGGGGTCCACAGACCCTTTGGGGTACGCGAAGGCATTCTAGGGGTTCGCGAAGCCCTGCCTCGTCATGCAAGCCCGGCAATAAAAGTTGCTTTTTTTTCTGATTGAGAAGAAACATTCAGATTTTCGCTTGAGTTTTCTCGTGTGTATATCAACGAGAGAAGTCTATTTAACACAGCACTTCATAATATGCATTTATTAAATCATTATCATAATTAACCTATACATTTTGCTTCCCCTCTCCACGAAGGGGGTCCTCCACTATCTCTACCGATCCACAAGGGGTCCGCAAAGCATCAATGGTTGAGAACCACAGGTCTACAGCCTTATCCACTGACACTAATTTTCATGATAATAAGCTAATGAAGAGACTAATGCACGGCAGCATGGTGAAAAAGCAAACTGACAGCTTGACAATGTGCTGCCGATCGGAATACATGAACTTGCAAGCTAAGTGCCCACACTTTAATTATCAAGGACACCAACTTCTTTTAAACATCACCGACTGGAAAACTTTCCTGTAATGATGCGTAGAATGTAAAAAAAAGAAAAAGCAATAATGTATTTACCTGTCTTTTTTTTTTAATTAAGGATTTGAGAGGTGTTTCGATGACCCATTCTAGGCTGAGTAGGAAAGTTTATCAACTATCAGCCCTGATAAAGTATACATTAACAGAATTTCATAAGGTTGGCCTTAGGAACTGAACAATTTCTTATACATACATTTCCTTACGACATATTCAGGATGCGAGGTAAATGACGGACTAGTCAAGTGAACTACATGTTTACCAAAAAGTTGTGAAATAAAATTGAAGGAAGCAAGAGAAGTGACCTCAAGCCAGTTTAGCTGAAGGGGGGAGATGGGTCTTTGGAGCCAAAAACTTTCTAAAACTGCATTCTTTTGAAAATGGCGATGTTGACCTCTACAGCTCTTGTTCTGAATCTACCCCGCTTCTAATTTCGTGGATGAATATTTGAGCTATAAATCAATTTAGAATGTCTATGTGGGCTGAATGTGCATTGAAGTTGACTCTAAAATGATTATAATGCAATTAAATGCAAAGGTGCAAGCGAGCTGGACAAGAATGACGCAAATAATCCCCGGAGAAGGGGAACAAGGGGGACAAAGGACAAACACAAATCTCTAAACACAACTAGGTGACTGGTGCACGACCGAAAAAATCCACCTGGTCCTGGTATTGAACTAGGGACCTCTCCCTTTCCAGTGGAGCACTCTACCAACTGAGCTAAACAGGAGTTTGACATCAGTAGAGCAAACGGGTGTTAGACAGGTGTTAGACTTTTGTTAGACTGGTGGCAGCTGATAAAGCCCGTTTGCTCTAGTGACGTCTAACTCCTGGTTAGCTCAGTTGGTAAGTGCTCTACTGGAAATGGAGAGGTCCCTGGTTTGATACCAGGACCAGGCAGATTTTTTCGGTCGCGCACCACTCACCTAGCTGTGTTTGGAGATTTGTGTTTGTCCTTTGTCCCCCTTGTTCCCCTTCTCTGGGGATTATCTGCATTACTCTAAAACATTGTTTTCACACTACAAACTTTTTGGACCCGTTAAAAATTTGCAGGAGGGATATCTCAGCATCTAGAGCAGACAGAAATATAACCTTTCCTGAAACATGTAGCTAAATGTGTGAAGCATACATTGTTGAGAGCAGATTTTTAATATAAGTTTAGAAAATTTTCTATTTGATCTTTTGGTATATTACTTGTTAGCCATGCATTGAGTACTGAACATCAATGTGTGGTAAAATCACTAGTAAGGGGCTTATTTTAAAAGGACTTCCAACATTGTATTCTCTACACCTTATGGTGTCTAGCAACATGTTAAAAAAATATCTCGTTGAGTAGTTTTTTTCCCTATCATTCTTCCAAACAAAGGCAGTCAAGTTTTAATTATCTTGAGAACAAATCTACTGAATGAGAAAATGACCAGATATATGAAATCAGCACAAAAAGCTGAATAAGCTCGTGCGGTTTCATTGGGTTTGGTCATAAAATAAGAAAAAGAGCTCCAAGACTAGTGTTCCCCCCCCGAAGTCAAATGCCAGGATCTGTGTAGACAAATTTAAATATTTTTGAACAGATGCATTTTTTACTTTCAGCGGCATCACCAGCCACTGAAAGTAAATCTGACATCCCCAATGCTGCACTGTGGTAGTTTCAATGCAGATGGCTTGTTTTGGACATCACATATTGCATATACCTCAGCTGCTCACAAGCTGTCTGTGACCCATTTTTCAACCTGGGAACCCCACCCTTAGTGCTTAAATAAATTAACCGAATTAGATAGTTTAAGATAACGATTAAAGCACTAGAGTGACTGCAGACATGGGACCGAGCACAATGCACAGTTTCTTTAAACTCATAAATAAACCCATCAAGCAAATGTTTATACCACAGAAACGATTCCAACATGTAATCAAGAGACTGTTTTCAATTTTTGATGAAGGCAGAGTATGATGCCTTCAAGAGAGACGCATAGTAACTCCTTACATTGACTATATTAGTTGTCAATTAAGGTCATAAATGCGCAATCATAAATATACCTTGTGCTTCTTGTTTTGAATGTTCTGCCACTATCCCTGAGAAAACCTGCATTGTCATAGGTAAATGGTCTGTCAACTCTCGTGCTCATCCACAAACTCAATCTGCGCCAGTGCTAAGGCCGATTCCTCCCCTGAGCCTCCACACAGATATCCGGTACACCGCCGATGGAAATAGCCACGTGTTTTAAAATTGAGTGCAGAAGTTGTACAGATAATTATGACATGCACTTAGGTAGTAAACATTAGCATCTGATGACACTTGACAGAGCAAGGCAAAACATTGCCAATGCACGGAGACGAAAACGGAGTGTCGAGTTGAAGCCACCTTATTGCAGCTGTGTCATGTGATTCCTAAATGGTAGTGCCCAAAAGATGAAGGGTGGAAAGGTCTATATAGTACACATATGGACTGAAAGTTGATTTCTCTACTATGTATATGCAAGCTCGGTCACTTTGAATTAAAATGCTACCACAACCCCAAATCCCAAAACTATATTTTTACAGAAGAATGATGGAACTAAGGGAGGGGTCATTAGTGAGCCAAAGTTATGACTTAGCGATGCACAAAAAATTATTGGCCAGCGTTAACAGGCCTCATTGTGTTCAAGGCCGGCTTGCTAGAAACAGCGTCTCAGCCGAGAATGGGTGGAAGAAAGCACAGCCAAAGCCGGCGCACGAGCTGAGCGAGACTCAAACTGCGTCTCAAGACGCTCGCGCGCCCCAGCCTTTGCAACGCTTTCTTTTACCCAGTCTCGGCCGAGATGCTCTCCTAGCAAGCCGGCCCAGGTATCAATTAATGGATAAACATGGCACACAGCAATGTGAGCTCACTCAATTGAGCACAAACCAATGGGGTTAAATGCCACCAAGTCATGAAACAGACTGCCACAATTCAACTGCAGGGAATGGTGGCAGTTCATTCCAACATCCCTTCCAACAGCTTGGCGCAGCCGGAGCTCCCCGCAAGGCATTTTTACCACTTCGGTCTGATCACCAGTGTGCCAGCTCATAAAGATGTCTCCTGTGCATAAACATGCACAATGTTTGACGTTACTGTCAGGTCTACTTCATAAGTTGTTTTTGTTCTTTGTTTTTTGTAAAAATTGAATTTTTAGCGTTTACAAAAAAAAAAAAAAAGAAAAAGAAACAGAAAAACGTGCAAAGTTATTGTTGCTCTGTTAAACTAAACTCCATTCACCCCCAAGCTGAAAGGGCAGTGGAAGCTGCGTGCTAGTTGAACAAGTCATACATCCATCTTTTGCCATGTGATCATGCTCCCACCTATACCCACGTGCAGAGATCAGGGTCGAGTATTGAAGGGGAAGCAGATGATTCGTCTGGCGAGCATGTACATACTGGCACCGACTGCACCATCAGCTAAGAGGCGAATGGAATATATAACAAGTGCAAATGCCAAACATATCAACACTGCAATGGTCAGAATCAAACGATGAATTAAGTCAATGTTCCTCTTCGCGTAGGCTCGCTAGGGCCGCCTCTGGTTCGCTGCATACCGTGGGTGGCAGAAGAAGCAGCAACCGCAGCAGACGAAGAAGCCGTGGTCCCAACGACGACCGCCACCACTGCCAGCGCCGTCACCGTGGCAACCAGGCAGGGCAGCGCCATGGCAGCCATGGCGCCGCCTCCACGCGCCTTCGGGTGGCTCTGCAGCTCCTGGTTCGGTCAGAAGAAAAAGCAGGAGAAAAAGTGTGCTTGTCACAGTGTGCGATATTTCTCGAAACATACAGGCACCATCAATTTACATTTGAACAACGCAACGGCGCACAACAAAATAGATTCGGTGGAAAATTAGAAATTTCCTGATTGTTTCAATGACACCAAGAACATTTCTATTTGTCTGTAACTTTGGGTTTTCTATTATCCTAAGTACAGATAGACTGAGTCTGTGCCATAAAAGAAATGATCTTGAAATCTACTTTCGTGATTATAAACTAAATTCAACTCATGGCCCCAATATTCCCTATCCACATAAGGGCAAGAAGGGGTGCATCGTGTATTAATGTTTTAAATTGTTTTTGGGAGCAATTTTACAAATTTTACTAAAGCAACTTAATTTTACCACTGGTTGCCACAATACCAAACTGGAACTCATAACAAGTTGTTTAAATCAACGAGAAAAGAGTCAAAGTACAGGCTAGCTGGTGGAAGTCAACCATTTCGTCGTTTACCCTGAGACGGGTTTTTTTAGAAGAGACCTGTCTGTTTTTTCTGTTACTTCTGCTCTTCCAAAAAAAAACCAGTCTCAGGGTAAACAACGAAATGGTTGTTTAAATCACCCTGCCTTCCCCCCCCCCCCCCCCCCCCCGCCCCAAACCCCTTTCAAACAAAAGAAAAAAAAAAATATGTACCTACAAATTTAAATTTAAAATCATTTAAGACTGAATAGATGCGAAAGTTTGTTAAAATATTTAGCCTCATTTTGAAATGTAGTTGCTTTAACTCTACCAGCGAGGGCAACGTATTCAATCTTAAAAGCGCGACGAGCGCGACCAAACAGCTCAAAAAAAGAAAAAAAAAAAGAAAAAAAATTGCACGATATATATATATATATATATATATATATATATATATATATATATATATATATATATATATATATATATATATATATATATATATTTTTTTTTTTTTTTTTTTTATGCGTTTTACAACTGATGTACGTCAAGTTTTTTTTTTTTTTTTTTTTTTTTTTTTTGATTTGAGCATCGTGCCGTGTCGTCGCTCCTGCTGGCTCCGCCCGCCGAGGCGCGGAGAGAGTTGTCGAGCGCGGGAGAGGCGGAAAGCAGAGAAGGAAAGTGACGTCATCACTAGTCTCCAATGATCCTTTTGCACGTAGAGGCTTTATTTGCACAAGAATAGTAAAAGCTGGAACACGGGAGGCATGTGCAACTAGCAGAAAGTAGAGGCGCTCCAACGTACGAAGCCCGTGGACATTGGAGGGAGCGCCTGTGAGCCAACCTCCCGTGAGCCAATAAGCACCAACACCTCAACGGGGGTCGTGACGTGAAACGCTTCGTGCATCAACAGTGTAAATTATTTGCTTTCTTCTAATATTTCATATTTTTGACGGCTCAAAAGGATTAGCGATCACAGCGACTCCAAGTTGGCCTTTTGGATAAATACAATAGGAACCTGCATCCGCAAGTGAGTAATTTGTTGTCTGAAAGTTTAGACCGTCGGAAGTTAGCCTGCTCCAGGTGTCTCCATTAAAGGGGCGGTGCAATGATTTTAACACAGAACGAATGTGCAGCTTGTATTTTTTATATTGTTTACTTCGGCATAAGTAAGAGAAAAAGTGCCACCATATTCCAAAATACCTCTATTTTGCTGCGTAATCGCAAAAGAAAAAACCCTTTTTTTCCCATCCTGCGGCCACATGGTGGCCGCAAATGGAACCTGTGGTGTGACGTCATTCGGAGTGGTTTTTTGTAAGTGATGGTGTTAGGCAATTGTAAGCTTGATTTAAGGCTAAGTTTAAAAAATCTTGTTGTTTAGGCATGCCGGAGATACCAATTTCTTTTATTTTTTTTAATGAAAACTAGGGCAAGTAGGAAAGAATATAGTTTTCGGTCCTTTGTTTTATATGTGGCCGGGATCAATTCCCGCAATTAATTAGCAAAAGTCCGCAAATTGTTGCACCGCCCCTTTATGTACGACAAGACCCCCACGTGGGAGGCACTCACTTGATCAATTGACGTTTGAGCGAATGCTCACGTTTCACCTGGGTTCACATTCTTGTAATAAGCCGCCGCAGACTGTCGCCGGCAAAACAACGTAAGCGCAGCGCAGGTTCATATCAGATTCGCTAATGCGATATGGACCCAAAATTCGTGTGATTTCTGCGCAACTTTTCACGTATGCCTTCACAGCGTGTTTTTTTTTTTTTTTTTTTTTTTTTTGGGGGGGGGGGGTGTATAAATAGTATAGAAATTAGACGCTCCGTGCATGTGATACGCGAGAAGAAATGGTCGCTTCACATGTCGGCCAGGGTTGCCAGGTTGGGCTATTAACTACTTTGTCATGCATTTGGCGTCGAAATTTGGCAGTTGGCTATGTGGCTATTTTTGGGCTATTTCAAATCCTAACGCGGCAGATTTTTTTTTTTTTTTTTTTTTTTTTGCTTGGTTTAAAGTACATGTTCAAAAGACTTCAGCATCGACACAAAGCGACAGTCCACCCATTCTGGATTCCCGCTTTCGTGGTTTTTCTGCATGAAGATTTGTGGGCGGGATGCAAGAACCTATTAGCTCAAGTCAGCTACCGTGACCTGTTCAGCTCCGACGAAATCGCTTTTGCATTAATTGTGGCTTATTTTATGATCTTAAGTTATTTCTGCTTCCTGCTGGCGTCTGTTATTTCCTCGAGTTTCCCACCATCCTCCTACAGGAAGCACTTCATCCGAGGAAAAATAATACTAAAGGCAACTCAAGACATCCTGCAGAATTTGATGTCGTCCGATAACGCGTGCTCTACCGGATATAACAATGGAGGCTTTTCCGCGAAACATAGAAGTTTCTTAAAGCACAATGAGCCATAACAAAAGACAACAGATTTGGGACAATGAATATTCCGAACAAGGCCAAGATCAATGCGCAGGAGCAGCCCTGTTTCCATTGCTATCCGAACTTGCCATCGCGCTCCCGACACTGCCCATGTCGAATGCCGCCATGGGGAGAGTATTCGGCCACGTGTCCCTCACAAAGTCAGGCCTAAGGAAGAACATGTCCCTACCTACTCTTCAAAACGTCCTCTATGTAAAGTTTGTTTTCTTTGGGAAGAACGAGTTCTGTAAGGACATCAACCCTATACTGGAGAAGTTTTTGCCCGTTTTAGCAAGGAAATCATGTATGAGGCGAGTGCCGGGCACGAGCGAGTGCTTCATAACTATGTGACTGCAAAAACGCGAGTGGAAAATTTTTGTACTTTTGTGCTTGAAGTAAAGCGTTCAATATATTTCAAGATGTCGTAGCTCTTGCAAGCTGCTCCTAAACCCTAGACATGTAGACGCAGTGCCTTCGAATTGAGCTCGTACATTCGAGCGCACGATTTTTGGGGCTCTGCAGAATATGGCTATTTTTGGGCTACATAAATCTCTTGCATCTGGCTACTTTTGGGCTACACCTTCTGGCTTTTGGCGGTTTGAGCTAGAAACCACCTGGCAACCCTGGTGTCCGCTACTCTGGTTGTAGTTGCAATCGGAGCGCTGGCTCTTCCGATTCAAAGGTTTAACGCTTTTCAGAATTGGATTCAGAGGGTGAGAGGGATCATCACCTGAAGAAGCCCCGTAAGTACCTACGGTTCGGAGTCTGACATCGCCAGAATATCGCAGAAGTGGGCGCACCAAGATAAAATCGAATGGAATAAAGGCGACAATTTTTCGCCCTCGATATATTTGTCTTCGATACTTATCAACTTCGACAGCCAGCCAGCACTGTGAACAGCTAGCTAGCACTGTCCTTGCTACGGGTTAAATTACAAAAAAAAAAAAAAAAAATAATAATAATAAAAAAAAAAAAATTTGCATTCTTTTTTTTTTTTTTTTACATTTCTGTTGGAAACGAAATTCGACCGCTGAGCAGAGTGGTGAGTTGGGCTAGCTAGTTGGTGTTGCATTTTAAAAGGGCAAAGACAGCGCAAAAAGACACGGACAGGGAAGATGGACACACACGCAGCGCTAAGACACCTTATATATATATATATATATATATATATATATATATATATATATACTTAATAATTACCACCGCACAGCAAGCGTATCATCCATGTAATCTCTTCTCTCCTAGCCACTGCTTTTTTTGCGCCGTAAGTGTTCTCGTCTATGTCTTTTCTATAAAATATACAATTCTAACCCCATTCTTAAAAGAGAAGCTCTTCCTCGACCCACCTTACGTTTCTCCACGCATTGATCATCAGTACAACGTCGGCGTTCCTCATTCTCGAACCTCAGCCTATCACGATTCTTTCATTCCTAGGACATCATCAGAGCGGAACCACCTTCCGGAGTCATTAATATTATTACCCTCGATAGACGTGTTTAAAAGTGCTGTTACTAATTATTTTTGCGAAAGTGCCCCGTGAGCTATCATGTCTTCTATTACAGTTTTTTTTTTTTTTTTACTCACTTTTCTTTGTAACGCCCCCAGGGCCTTGAGGATATGTAAATATATATATATATATATATATATATATATATATATATATATATATATATATATATATATATATATATATTGTTACGTTGATAATGAAAATGATTTACTAGACAGTGAAGAGAATTAGAAACACAGATATGGTGGTTAGTCCTTCAGAGCGTGCACCGCCGGCATCGTCCTCTTTTTTCCACCGTCGGCGTCGTCTTGCCGCATCTTCTTCTTCGTCACATTATCCCCCTCCGGGCGAAAACGGCGTCTCGCCGTTAGCTGGAACTATGTATGGTTTGAGTCGCACAACGTGGACGGTGTCGGCTTGAGTGCGGCGTGTATCGTGAGAGAGTTGTAATGGTTCCACCACATAGGTGACGTCACTCGCTCGTGCGACGACACGATAGGGGCCGGTGTAGCGCGGAAACATTTTCTGAGCGAGACCAACACGTCGTTGAGGCGTCCATACCAGAACAAGGTCGCCCGGCAAATAGGAAACTGCACTATGTA